GAAACCAAGGCTCAAGAAGCCAAATGATTTCTGTCTTATAAAAACCTTTCCGAGGCCGGAAAGGATGATGAACTCCAGGCCTGCTCTTCCCAGGATATAGCCCAGCTCCCTCATCCTGCAGACCTGATTCAAGATGAGACTTGGTGAGGGGCTGACAGCTCTCCACAGGGTTTGGAATAAAGCGGAGCAAAGCATTTTGCCACCGTCCTTTATACTGTGTATTACTCCCTGAAGAGGCCCCTTCTGTCTGGTAAACAGCTGCAGAATCTACAATTTCCATTCTGTTTGAGAGGTTGTTCAAGGTAAAAGAGGTGGAAAAAATACCAAGGAGTAAAATCACCAATTTAGATGAGCGCTACCTGGCCCAGGGTGGGTTTCTATCCTCAGAGGAGAGAAATGTATTTACATTATGAGAGGAGCTGGGTCCAATGGGAACCCCGTGTTATTATTAGACTTCCTCTTGAGAAGGATTTGTAAATGAAAACGTAACTTGCTATTTTAGTATTTTGTTTTTCAGGGAAGAAAAACCCTTTGCAAAAACAAATTTAAAAGGAAAAACTTATCCATTTCGAGCACTTGTTTATTTCTAATTTGCCAGGCTAAATCCATCTTCTTTCATCTCTGATTTCACTGGGGGCTGGGGAGGATGAGGGCTTTTCTTCCTTTTTCTGAATCTGAAAGGACTCTTCAAATTCTAGCAGGATTGAATCCTTTGGCATCTGCGGCCCTTCTGCTTGCCTGGCTCTCGGGCGGAGCTGCGGGCAGCAGCGCCGCTCAGTGGTCAGATGGGGAAGGGCAGGCCAGGGGGTTGGGGGAGCTGCGGGGTGGATGTGGCCACGGCCTCTCTGTGAACCGTTTCTCATTTTTTAGTGAGCGCCCCACCATAGTGCTGCTATTCTATCTCCTCAGCTACCGAAAATCTCGAGAAAACGGGTCTTTCAGCTGCTTTTGCAATCCCAGTGCAACTGTGGGCTTGACATTTCCACGTTTGAGTCAAATCTCCTATGGTACATGTTTATGAGTACTTTCTTAGCTTCTGTTAACATGTATTCATTGTTCATCACACAAGTAGCTGGAAGTTGTATTTAAGCAAGAGATGTGTTCCTGAAGAATTTCAAACATAATTCAAATTTTGGCTAATTCTAGGCAGACCTCAGGAAGGCGTGTGGGCTCACTGGTGCCCTCTGTTTCTGGAAGGGCCAGGCGGCCCCTCCCTCTCCGAGGACTGCCAGCTTCCCAGCTTTATCAGCAGCGCTCCTGGGCTGGACTGACCCTGACTCAGGCCTGCACTGGGCAGGTCACCTGCCTGAGGGGGTAACCACGCCCCCCTGGACACGTGCGCTCTCCCAGGTCCCTCCTTCCGTTCTGCTCCTCCCCCTTGGCCGCCCCGCCCCCACCCCCACCCCATCTAGCGTCCCCTCCACACTGGTTTATTTAGCATGTCTCTACTCCCAGATCACACTTGCCCTCTACCTGGGGGTGGGATACAACCTGGAGCATACACTCCACAAAGATTTGTTGAGTGAATGCCTAAAGAGCTAACAGGACAAACCCAAGTGGCATCTGCTTCTTCCCAACACCACCACGTTGAGGGCTTCTGGAGGAATTTCTCATTTGGAAGATGAATGTTATTTTTTAAAAAACTTCATAGAAAAAAGTCAAGTGTTAATGTTTTAAATTGTATTATTTCAAATTCCTTAATTGACACTTGCACAAAATATAACCACATGAATATATTCTTGCAAGCGAGTTAAACTATTATAATTTAAGGCTAAAGTCCTTTTTACAAATACGCCTATGGGATGTGGTATTAAAAAGAGACTTTTCACAGGGTGGAACTAGGCCATCTCCAAGCAGTCCAACAAAATATAGAGTAGGACTCCACCGAGCCAAGTCAGTAGGTGGTTTTATCTTTTATTCAAAGGGAACAAGGGACTTCCCTGGTGGTCAGTGGTTAAGACTCCGAGCTTCCAATGCAGGGGGAACAGGTGCAATCTCTGATTAGGGATCTAGGATCCTGCATGCCACGCTGTGCAGCACTTTTTTCTCCGTCTTGAGTGATGCTCAAGAGGACTGTGCTGGTTCAAGCACCTGCGAAAGTGACTTACTGTTGGACATCAATACTGCAGATCTTCCCAGCTCTACTGCACTTGGAGCTCTTGAGCAGCACTGCATAACTTACCTACAACATAGTGAGGGCATCGCTTTTATGTGGAAAGTTCAGTAAGAAAGCAAAACCGAATTTGACCCTATCATCCAAATTCATCTTGTTTGGGTACTTCCAGGTTGTAAAAGTACGTGCAGGTGGCGCCACCTGGTGGTTTCATGGGGAACTGCAGGACACAGAGCCCACTGGCCTCACCAGAGCCTCAGAGAGGTGGGAGAGAGCCACTTGACAGCCTGCTTCATTCAAACCTAGTAAACTCTCAAGTCCAACTTTCAAATTATTAGTGAAACTTCAAAAAAGTTCCATGTGCAGTAAAGTGCACTATGATTTTTTCTTTAAAAAATTTGGAAATCTATAATCCGTCCATGCACCTAAATGGGTGCAGTGTGAGTTATGATTAATACAGTACAGTCGACCCTTAAACAACATGGGATGAACTGTGTGAGTCCACTTATATGCGGGTTGCTCAGTAAATATATTGTGAAATTTTGGGGGGGATTTTCAACAATTTGAAAAGCTCAAAGATGAACTGCATGGACTAGAAATACTGAAAAAATTAAAAGTGTATCATGAATGTATAAGATATCTGTAGACACTAGTCTCCCCTTATATAGGTATAAGGTGAGTGATATTTAAGATAAAATTAATGATGTTATTTTCTTACTGCCTTATAGTTTTATTTTCAAAGAAGCACATGACTGTACAGTATGCCTGTCTTGTAGTTGAAGAAAAAGCCTATCAATAGGTATTATTTAAAAGTATAACAATGCTCCTAATATTGTATTATCAATATAACATAATACTGTGTGCCACAGAAATTTTGAAACGATTCACTCATGAGTATGTAGGCTGGGCTACCAAGAATCAATTGTATGGATGATGCTAGGCGACCAGAAAGCATCAGTATTTTTGCTTCTTCATTATCAACACATCAATTATTATCCTGTAACTCTTTTGACCCCATGGACTGTAGCCTGCCAGGCTCCTCTATCCATGGAATTCTCCAGGCAAGAATACTGCAGTGGGTGGCCACTCCCTTCTCCAGGGCATCTTCCCCACCCAGGGACTGAACCTGTATCTCCTGCATTACAGGAAGATCCTTTTCCGTCTGAGCCACCAGGGAAGCCCCTAAATAACTATCAATTTCTTTTTTGCATTAGCTTTTAATCTGTGACGTCCAGTGTTAGCGATACTTGTAACATCTACAGCGCTTGTATCACATGAGACAATTGTGGTGTAAGTTGTTCTAGTCTATCGTTTAGTCGGTAAGTCGTGTCTGACTCTTTTGTGACCCCATGGACCAGGCTCCTCTGTCCAGTGGGATTTCCCAGGCAAGAATACTGGAGTGGGTTGCCACTTCCTCCTCCAGGGCATGTTCCTGACCCAGAGATCAGACCTGTCTCCTGCACTGGCAGGCGGATTCTTTACCACAGAGGCACCAGGGAAGCCCCGTTTGATGTCGGTCCTGACAGACGATTCATCTTGCAAACAGACCAGGTAAAGTTATATCAGTGAATACAGCACAGGACTGTAAGTGTATTTTCTCTTCCTTCTGATTTTCTTAATAGTATTTTCTTTTCTCTAGCTCACTTTATTGTAAGAATCAAGTACATAATATATGTAACATACAAAATATGTTAACTTTTTATGTTTCCGGTAAGGTCTCCAGTCAGCAGTGTTTATTTGCTAATTTTTATTAAACAAGAAGAGTCGGCAGGTAGGGAGGCAGGAAGATTCTGTTGGAGTTTTGAGGGGGGTGGGATGTGGACAGCCATCCAGGTGAGTGGGCACGCAGTGTGACCGGGGAAATGCAGAGTCGCTCCGCAGCTCTAGAGGCCTCCTGGAGGTTTGTAAGCAGTAATTAGGTGACAGTCGTGTCAGCAGTTGCTTTGTTTTCCTCTAGCCTTCAACCTGCCTTAAGCCCTTCCGGAGTCGGGGCGCGGGGCTGGGGCTTCCCCAGACAAGGAGAAAGGAGGTGCAGAGGACCGGGGGGTGTCGGAACCCCGGAGAAGCTAATGATGGAGCCCGGAATTTACGCAGGGTAAAGAGGGGCGCTAACAAGAGCAGCGGGACGGGAACGCGGAGTTCGGCGAAGGTGAAGAATCGTCGGAGCTGGAAGGGCAGCAAGAGGTCAAAGGCTGCCTGAACTGACCCGAGAGGCACGGTGCCTAGCGACTAGTTAGTTACCAGTGACTAGCGAGTTCTGGGTGTGGCTCCGGGACCAGTGTCTAGCTGGTGAGTGGAGACGGAGAGGAAGCAAGGGCCTAGCGGGAGTCACCTGCGGACGCTGGAAACACCGCGAGTCGTGGGTCGGCAGCTGGTTTGCTAGTATTTCTGCGAAACCCTCGCCCCCGACCTCAACTCGGCGCGCAGTGATGAGCATCGACTCGTGATTACGGGACAGTGACTCGAACGCACAGTCGGGTTTGCAGATTGACACACGTTTGGCGCAGATATAGGACGAATGATCCAGGCTGTTCGGGCCGAAGAACAAAAGGAACGGATCGCAGCGCCCACGCGCGTTCTCGGGAGAGGGTGGCGAGGTCCACGGGCGTAGGGTCCAGCCTGTCGCACTACCTGCCGACCTGCCGTGGTTAGAACCGCTTCCGATACATAACAAGTGCTCAACACACGAGCTCAACCCCGGAAATGGATGCGCGAACCTCCGTCTCTGCTCACCGTGCCTGCGCGGGAGCCACGCGTGCGACCATTCAGCGCGCTCTGCGCCTGCGCAACATCTGCCTGCACAGCGCCTGCGAGGCTCCCGGGCCGCTTCGCCGCGCTAGGTTTGAGCCCTGCAAGCCCCGGTAGCACGGCGGCGGCGCCGTCCCGGCCTCCTCCTCGGCGTTCCCACGCCCACTCGGCGGGCTCTCGACCTCCACGTCAGGGCCGCGCCGCGGAGATGGCGGCTCAGAAGATAAACGAGGGGCTGGAACATCTGGCCAAAGCAGAGAAATAGTGAGTGAGGGGCCCAGCGCGGCATTGGGCGAGCGTCGGGGTCGGCGCCTCATAGGCCAGTCTGAGTCAGCACCGGGTGGGGGGGTGCTGGGGCGGGGGCGGAGCCGGGCGCGCGGGGTGGGGCCGCCGCGCCCCGGAAGCGCTGCCCTTGGTCGCCGGAAGTGGTCGTGCCACGGGCAGTGAGGGTGCCGCCGGGGTCCGTCTCTCTGCATCTTAGAGGGCGTGTTGCTGGTTCCTGGCACGTTGGACCCAACTATGTTTTAAAATCTCTAGCTTTTCCCAAGTGTAGCAACAAGACGACTGAATGGATGTGTCTTGTCTTTGGTGGGATTTTGAAAGTTATACTATAGTGGACAATGGGGCTTCCCAGGTGACTTAGTGATAAAGAATCCGCCTGCCAGGGCTGGAGACGCGGTTTCGAGCCCTGGGTCAGGAAGATCCCCTGGAGAAGGGAATGGCAACCCACTCCGGTATTCTTGCCTGCAGAATGCCATCGACAGAGGAACCTGGCCGGCTACAGTCCATGGGGTCACAGAGAGTCGGACACTACTGAGTGCGCGCGCGGACACACACACATACACACACACGGTGGAAAATATAATGAGGACTTCGGGGTTGGGGTGGGGATTAGAATTTTGCTTTATGACGGTGCTTTCTCAATTTTGTGGATTAGAGTAGACAGGCTGCATTTTAACCATTTTGTTTTTCTTACCAGTAGTGCCCTTACTGAGCTTGAGAGTTGTTTACAAATTTGAAACTTACAGCAGTATTACACAGTGTAAACTTTAAATAAGTTTAATTGGCCAAATTACGTCTGCAGGTTATGGGGGCTTCCCCGTCTCTCAGTTAAGGTGCCCCCCTGATTCTTTGGCTTTCACTAACTGAATTCAGAATTTAAGATTGTGTTTAGCAATTTTTATGCTCACCCAAGTTTGACAGTCACGGGGTTAGTTTAAGCTGTAAGTCTGAAGTTACGGAAAGCATCGTGGAAAGGACACAGAGATAGGGACTCAGGATTGATTGTCCTGTGGTCCTGGAGAGCTGCTCTCATTCCAGTCATTCTGCTCTCTCTGGTTGCCGTTCGTGTCCGCTGCAGCCTTCCTGCTGACGCCCTCTGTGGGTTTGTGTTCTGTAGTCTTTCTGGCCTCAGTCTGCAGTCTCCCTGGAGGATCTTAACCCGGCCCTGATGTGGCCCATGTTGATGGCCCAGGTTATCTGTGCCTCTCCTGAGCTGCAGTCTCAGGAATCCACCTGCTCACTGCTGTGCCTCACCTGTCTCAAACTTTAGTGCTCCTCAGGGCTTGTTACAGCCTGGATGCTGCTGATGCTACCCTGTTTCCGGTTCAGCAGGGCCGGGAGAGTCTCAACAATTCATAAATTTCTAGTGAATTAGCAGCGAATAGTGGCACTGCTCAGTCTGGGGACCAGGCAGTGATTACCTCCACTCTCCTTGGATGTTATGCAGATGTTTCAGAAGAGGGAGACCATGTCTGACAGTGGGAGGGAAAGTGGTGAAGTGTGTAGTTGTCAGGAAGTTTGGACAGAGGTAGACTAATGGGGACTTTCCATTTGATGATTCCCCTCCCTCCCTTTTTACAAACCTACAAAGTACTTACCAGCAAGGTTCTGACTTAAGAATGTGGTTGGTAACTTCTGTTAACTGTATCTTCCTTTCATTTAGCCTGAAAACTGGTTTTTTGAAATGGAAGCCGGATTATGACAGCGCCGCTTCTGAGTATGGAAAAGCAGGTATCTATGATAGTTGTCCTGCCCCCTGCAGTGTGTTATGTTCATCTTGGCATGATTCTCACTCTTAGTGCTTCCCGTAGCATCTTAATTGTTAGAAAAAAACAACCAAAGACCTCCTTAGACCCTGTGCTTTTCCAGGTGCTGTTTGCAGGTGTCTCAAGTGCCGAGTTGCAGACCTGGCTATGTCCCTCTGCCATGAGGGCAGACGGTGGGGCAGGCGCAGCTATGGGCTTTTAGCATCATTAGTGTTTTCTTGAACTGCAGTCAGTTCATACTATATACTTTGAGGAGTTCTGTCATACTTTTCTCCTATTTCTGAGTAAAGACTTCCAGTTCACTTTATAAAGCGCCTAAGCCTCACTCTTAGCACTTGTGCACAGTGCATGTTAGATTCTTGTTCTTTACAGCCTTGCTCAGAGATATGCTGATAGGTTTTCATCCAGTGTTAAATTTATAGGCATCTTTTAATAACTTTATCAGCATATAAGGTAAAAACAGTCTGAAATTTCCAACAGAAAGAGAACTTATTACAAATTCAGCATTTTTAGTTATGGAATGACAGCTTTCAGCATATCTATGATCATTTTGGATATAAAGCATATATGATTTTGAAATAGGCTGGGCACATTTTACTGTGTTTCTGCAGTGGTTTTGATCACATGTGTTAGTCTTGGATAAAAATCACCTAAGAAATGTGCTTTTGGCAGACTTTAGTTTTAGTATATCACCAGGAAGAAAGAAGTCAGGTAAATTGAAACTAATCAGCACAATGTAGGATATAGTTTCTAGATAATAATTATTAAAATAACTATTACAGGTTCATGTTTTACATGGGTTTTATGAACACTTCATACAAGAATGTTTTTGTAACTGGAGAGCATGACATTTTGCAGATCTCCTCCATGAGGGAAATTGAACTTGGAACGTTGTTACATATGCACCTGAGACCATTTCTGCTTTCAGAAATAAGTACTTCAAGTCAGATTTTCCCATTAAAACATTCTTTGTTTATTTTCTTTAAGGGCTTATGCAAGATACATTTCATCAGTAAAGTTTTATGACAGCAAAATGTAGAAATTCAGGGATGAAATAGTTTGTTGTTTATTTTCAGCATTTTATTAAAGATAATTTTAAGAGTGTTTTTTAGCAAGTAATGTTTTCTTAAAGCAGTATACTTTTCACTTATTTGTAAGCAACACTTCATGAGCTTTCCAAAGTCTATAAGATAGTATTTAAAGATTGTGCCAAAAAAATTATAAAAATATTGAGTGTGCTTATTGGACTTTAGTTTCAAAATAATTTAAATGATAGAATAAACTTTAACTGAGTACTGTTTCTGTTGTTAACTGTGAAACTGGTGAGGAAAGGAGCTGTCTTTGTGACGACCCCTGTTATTTGACTTGTCACTTGGTTGATGTGATCTAAGTTGTTCAAAGTGTACATGCTGGTGTTAGAAAGACTTAAGAAAAAAAAAACTTTTGAAAATACTTGTAGATTATTGATAATCAAAAAAGTTATAAGAAAATGGCTTAGGAAAAAGTAGTATTTATAGTTTTATGAAGTTTCCTAAGTATTTGATTAAGTGTTAAGTTTATTTTCTAATACCTCACACATCATGCAGATTTTGGTATTGATTCATTTGAGGTTTTTTTAAAAATGATGGAAATAGAAAATCTGTTTTTATTTTCATCTGTTTCAGCTGTTGCTTTTAAGAATGCCAAACAGTTTGAGCAAGCAAAAGACGCCTGCCTGAAGGAAGCTGTGGCCCATGAGAACAACAGGGCGTATCTTTTCAACCTTTGGAAATCGTTATGAATTTGCTGCCTATGGGGTACAGTGCTGTTAGCTTAGAAGCCTCTTAGAACAACTCTGCATGTCTGAACTCTGAAGGTGATTTATGGAGACTTGATTATGATCCACACTGCTCTGCAGAGCTGCCTTTGAGAGTTTATTGTTTCTGGATTTGCTCGATGATGGTTTTACTTGGGATGAAATGAGAGAGATGGAAAGAGACAGGTCCTGAAAAGCGAAGAGGTGGTGCAGGTGGTAGAAACAGTAACCGCTGTCTAACTGGTTTAAAAGTACAGTCTTCCTCAGGTACTTGAAATAAAATTTTTAAGTAGTTGAAAACAAATTTTCCTGAGGTATTTTGTAATCTTATCAACTAAAAAATGTTTGTTTTATCTCACTTGCAGATTATGGTTATAGTAACCTTGCATTTTTACTGAAACATCAGATTAATGCATAATAGAAAATAGAAGTAGCTTAAAAATCTGTGTGGTGTTTTGTCTGTTTTTGTGAATTGTGTAGTTTTTAGTAGAGATCCACAGGCATTAAATGATTTCTTTACCTGGTTTGTAGGGTTTGCCTTTTTGAACAAATTGGGGCAGTGATTTAGTTAGCCTTGCTTTTTAAAATAATGGATCTTTAGAAACTGTTGATTTTTTTTTTTTTATTTCCCTTAATTGTGACTTTGTTACATCTATTCAGCCTTTTTCACGCTGCCAAGTAAGTAAATTTCCTCTGTGTGTCCATGTATTTGTAGATAATTATGTTTTAAGTGTTGTTGCTTTCCCTTAGGTCAGTAAATTTTTCCTAAGTTATAAGTCCAGAAATAGTGAATTCATGTGTACTGATGTAAATAAGATAGGCCTTTACATTTGTTTCAGTCTTCACCTGAAGCTTAAAAATGAAGTCACTCCTCACTAAGATATTCAGTATTTAAATCACCGTCATGTTTTTAGGACTATATTGTTTAGTAACCTGTGAAAAAAAGAGTTAGAAACCCTGTTTTCCCCCCTTTGTTAATATAGTTACTGGTTCCTGTTCAGAGAAGCAGAAAGTTTTCTTTTGCTTCTGTGGAGAAAAAAATACTTGTTTCAAAACTTGGATTTAGGTTTGTCAGGTAGAAAGTCATTTACCTTCTCTGAGCTTCATTTAATTTTGCATTTGCAAAGAGAAGTCTCTTTACCTTAGATGCCTGCTGTTTCCAAGGCATTGTTCCCCATGTAGATAAATGGAAGAAAAATTTCATTGTTTCGTAACAAGGGCCTAAAGTAAGTATGTATTGCCTGAGCCAGTTTAAACTGATGCAGATTCTTGTGTCTGGTAGGAGATTTCTCCTCCCATCAGGATCTCATCTGAGAACTTGTATTCTCTCTGCAGAGCATACGAGCAAGCTGGCATGATGCTGAAGGTCAGTGACGATGGGGCACAGCTGCCCTGTAGGTAAAACGAGTTAACGGTTTGTAGTCTTAAGGACGAGACCAGCAAGTGTGACATCCTCAAGGATTTGTCAGCTTAGTGAAGGATGAATGGGCAGGTTTGAAAACAAGCCATGCGAGGTCAGCATGGAGACACAGCGCATCAGCCTAGAGTAGATAACACCTGTCAACTTTACACCTCGCCTTTTCATGATTTTTTCCAGTTTTTAAAAAAGGTTTGGATTGGGGATGCTAGATGTATGGCTCACATGATGCTGAGATTCAGTTTACTAGTAAGATACGTAGAGTTACTCTGTTGACGGCACTCAAGAGTAAGAGGGTTGCAAGCGCCAGTGCACACAGGGGAATGGCTGAAATGGAGGAGGCAGGCCTGGACGTGCCGGGGGTGGGGAGAAATGTAGCTGCCAGGAGGGGGTAAGTCCCCACAGCCGCCCCTCTGCCCCGCTCACCAGTGCCGTGTGGGGGCGTGAGCCTGCTGATGCTTTTGATATTTTGATATATGAAGCCACCAGCAGACCTTCTGTGGACGTGTCTGATGACAAGATGCGGATGGTTAAAGCGCAGTGTCCTTGGAAATGAGACCCAGTCCTTGGACTGCTGGTTTGCAACCTGGTTTGCACAGGCCTTGTGTATAGCAGGCACTCAGGAGTATTCCAGCAACTGTAGCTGCTCAGGAAACACTGAAGAGCAAGTGTCTTGGCTTCTCCTATTTGTGTAGTTTCTCTGAAACCCTGTGAAGGACTGGGCTCTGCAGGATTAATTGGTGTGTTTCTGGGGTTTGGCTGAAGGAAGCCTGATGGGGAGAGTGACTTTGCGAAGGCATTTCATTTTCAGTATATATATCGTTGTGTCATGTTTTGGGTCTTTTGCCTTCTCCAGTTTCAGATTGTTAATTCCGTATTTCTTAATTCATGCATTTACTGCTTTGTGCCCTATTGTTTGCCTAAAGGAGATGCAGAAGCTCCCAGAGGCTGTTCAGCTGATCGAGAAGGCCAGCATGATGTACCTGGAAAACGGCACCCCAGACACGGCCGCCATGGCCCTGGAGCGGGCCGGGAAGTGAGTGTGGACAGGGGCTCCGCCTGGGAGTCTTTTTGATAAAGGCCGGTGAAAACAATTTTCTCTTTCTCGTATAAGTCAGATATTCTTGTTTCATCTAGGCTGATAGAGAATGTAGATCCAGAAAAGGCTGTGCAGTTATATCAGCAGACAGCCAACGTGTTTGAAGTAAGTGAATTTGTTTTCTCTAAGTAGACTTAGATTGTTGAATTTTGTGAGAAACACAGTGGCTACTTTGAAAGCTCCACTGTGCTCACAAGTGAACTCTTCTTTGTAAGCAGCGAGATGGGTTCTAGTGGCTTTGGTGTCACTGCCCCTGCTTCCCCCCACCCTGTTTCTCCCCCATCGCCTCCCCCCCATCCAGTGCGGTTACTTTTTAATCAGATAATTGTTGGGGGAAGAGAAAAATTCCTACCTTAAAGCCACCCACACTCTCTTCTCTTGGATCCACAGAATGAAGAGCGCCTGCGGCAGGCCGTTGAACTCCTGGGAAAAGCCTCTCGGCTGCTGGTGCGCGGGCGCAGGTATGCACCCGGGTGCACCTGTGACCTGTGACCTCCAGGCCATGTTTAGCAAGGGCTTGTTGATCGTTTGGGTACAGCCTGGGCACACCAGGCCCATAAGACAGCAGCACATTGGGTTAAACATTGAAAGATCCGCTGCTGCTCTAAGTGCCGTCCAAACGTGCATTGGGCTCTTGTTGGTTAAGACCTGGCTCAGCTGCTATAGAGATGGCTGTCTGGTCTGTTACCTGGGGTGGGGAGGTCACGATGTCTCTGGGGGACAAGTGTCTGTAATGTTCACCCAGGAATGTGGACAGGTTCCTGATAGCTGGACAGTGTCGTCACACAGGTTGTTTACCATTTTATCCTTCAGACTTAGGACCCACAGCATGAGTAGCTGGATCCCAGATAACTAGGATCCTGTGGAATTTCCCTGTTTTTACTTTACTGCAGTTTAAGCTTAGTAACCTACCTCCATTATTAATGTTGTGCAGAGGAGAATGTGTGCGAGTGGACAGGAGAAGATGACTGTTGAGGAGCGTGGTATCGAGGAGGATGTTTGCTCACCTCTCCCTGTCTGCCCACTCTGTGCCCCCCCACCCCCAGGCCCCCAATCACTGCCTGTTTTGGGCCCTAGGAGCTGTCAGGGCCTGACAAGGTTGGGGTGGGTGCTTGAGGATGCGGACCCAGTGGGGGTCGTCCTTCCAGCAGCCGGTGCCCCGGGGCGTCTGCATGGCCTTCCAGGGAAGGAGGGGGCTCTGCGATGGCGGAGTCAGGCCTGGCCTCTCCAGGGCTTCTTACAGCCTCTCTCAGAGCAGTTAATTGAATCTGATGGATGCTCATTATTGGATGGTCCTTATCAGACCCGACTCCCATATGAAGCAGCCTGTCCTGAAGTCCTCTCGCTCTGTCTACTGGGGGTCTGGGAGGGCAAGTCAGATGCAGTAGTCACGCCGAGTGTGTGGAGCTCACGGAGGGTGTGGGGCAGTGGTTACAGCACCTGATGCCACCTTCGTTTCTCTAGAACCTGTGACGTCAGACACATCATGCCGTGGTCTCTGATGTGGTGCACTTAGACCTGCCTCTTTCGGCATTTCTTGTTTTGTCTTCAGGTTTGATGAGGCGGCACTCTCTATTCAGAAAGAAAAAAACATTTACAAGGAAATTGAGAATTATCCAACTTGTTATAAGGTATGTTTTCAAAGTGCTTAGTCTTGGCTTTTCCTTGGATCATATTGGTGTAACTGTGTCTGGGATCATGTTTCATGAATATTTGTTAATTTTTAAAAATAATACCTTCTGGACCTCTGTTTTTGGCTGAAATGGAGTGATCCTACGGTTGCCTCTCTCCAGCTGTTCACAGCCAACACTGCTGGGCAGAGCACAGAAGACAGTGCCCTGAGGACTCTTGAGCATTGAGCGGTTGGGAAAGCTTCTGACTTCATGTCCCCTCTGCCTCTCAACTTTGAGAGGAGCACCCCCCCCCCCCCCCCCCCCCCCCCCCCCCCCCCCCCCCCCCCCCCCCCCCCCCCCCCCCCCCCCCCCCCCCCCCCCCCCCCCCCCCCCCCCCCCCCCCCCCCCCCCCCCCCCCCCCCCCCCCCCCCCCCCCCCCCCCCCCCCCCCCCCCCCCCCCCCCCCCCCCCCCCCCCCCCCCCCCCCCCCCCCCCCCCCCCCCCCCCCCCCCCCCCCCCCCCCCCCCCCCCCCCCCCCCCCCCCCCCCCCCCCCCCCCCCCCCCCCCCCCCCCCCCCCCCCCCCCCCCCCCCCCCCCCCCCCCCCCCCCCCCCCCCCCCCCCCCCCCCCCCCCCCCCCCCCCCCCCCCCCCCCCCCCCCCCCCCCCCCCCCCCCCCCCCCCCCCCCCCCCCCCCCCCCCCCCCCCCCCCCCCCCCCCCCCCCCCCCCCCCCCCCCCCCCCCCCCCCCCCCCCCCCCCCCCCCCCCCCCCCCCCCCCCCCCCCCCCCCCCCCCCCCCCCCCCCCCCCCCCCCCCCCCCCCCCCCCCCCCCCCCCCCCCCCCCCCCCCCCCCCCCCCCCCCCCCCCCCCCCCCCCCCCCCCCCCCCCCCCCCCCCCCCCCCCCCCCCCCCCCCCCCCCCCCCCCCCCCCCCCCCCCCCCCCCCCCCCCCCCCCCCCCCCCCCCCCCCCCCCCCCCCCCCCCCCCCCCCCCCCCCCCCCCCCCCCCCCCCCCCCCCCCCCCCCCCCCCCCCCCCCCCCCCCCCCCCCCCCCCCCCCCCCCCCCCCCCCCCCCCCCCCCCCCCCCCCCCCCCCCCCCCCCCCCCCCCCCCCCCCCNGGCCCCCTCCAGGTCACTGACTGAGTTTCTGTTAGGCTCATGGGGTCTTGGGGCCCCTCAGGCAGTGACCACACTGGTCGAGCCCCTGCCCTGCGGCCTAGCAGTGTTGAGTTTTGTGGTGGTGTTTCCCTCCAAGTGGTGTCCAGGTTTTTGGGGGGCAGAGACCAGGCCCTGGCGCACAGGTGAGAGCCTGTATCGAAGGTCAGGCCTGGACGTCCAGTCTGAGCTGCACTTTGTCATTGACAGTACGCGAAGCTGGGCCTGAGCCTGGTGGTCCCAGGAGGAGGAGTCAAGAAAAAGGCAGCAGCCCCCCCGCAGGCCAAACCTGAAGGCACTGCTGCCCCTGCCGCCGAGGATGAGGAGGACGAGTACGCTGGGGGGCTGTGCTAGGCTCGGCCCTGCCGGCATGACTCACACCCCCGGACTCCGCGGCGGAGTGCGGCTGGACTCATGGGGTCCTGGCTCTGATGCTGTAAGACAATGCTGGTTCCCGGACCACTGCCCTGCCCGCTGCCTGGAAGCATTTCCTTCCTTCCCCTGACAAGAGCTCTTCTCAGACACCAGCAGGAATTGACAGAGGAACATCCCATCACGTCATAGTTGATTTTAAAATTGGCAAACCCATTTCTCGACAGACTTGTTCTAAACAAAAGGGGTAACACGCATGGACATTCTTTTCTCTCGGGCTCATGTCATTTACTGTTAGAGAAGTTGTTTGCATTTTATTTCATAATTGCTGCTAAAAGTGAAGTTTACTGGTTAAACAAAGTAATATTGTAAACATTTGTTTTCAAAAGGAGATTTATGCCCCTTGATAATTGGAGACATTTAAGTTATTAAACCTTCAGATGGAGTGTAGGCCAGAGGCTGTTCTGAGCCTTACAACGTTGCTTCTCCCAGAACAAGACGCAGCTGGAGCGTCACGTGGACGCTGAACACTCTGACGGGGGCATGTCCCAGGGCTCTGTGCACATCTCCAGTCCTCTCTGGATCGTGGGCATTTCCTCCTGAAGCTCAGCGACCGTCTCTTCACCTGCCAGGTTGTTGACCAACCTTAGTCCTGCAGACCTGTCCTGAGGACCCTGGCTCAATGCAGAGGTGCTCTCTGTAAACCTCCCGCGTGTGGCTGAGAGCAGGACTGGCTGCACATGTGGGGCGCTGGTGTGTGGTTCCTTCCCGGCCTCTCCTGATGGGTTGTCTTCAAGGTGTTCTCTGCGTGAGCTCAGCCCTCTCTCCTGGTGGGAAGAAGCCCAGATGCTGCAGTGCAGCTGATGCCACTGCCTGGCCTCCTGGGCTCAGGTCTGCTGGCTTCCCGGGAACACGGAGGTGGTATCATCTTCACCTTCACGGAGGTGAAGGTCACCCTGGGCTCTGGGAGGGTCCAGGGAGTGTCCTTGTGGGGCGGGTGGGTGGTAGATGAACTCTTTCTGGAAGGTCTGGGTCAGAACACTAATGAGCATCCTCCTCCAGGCCTCCACCCCCCGGCCCTGGCACCCAGGTGGTCTGCGGGCAGTGGCTCTTCCCAGCCCTTGTTTGGGGACACTGGTCTCCGTAGCATCCGTGCTCAGTGACGCGTTAATAGTGCACACCTGTCCTTGCTGCTGTGCCCTCCACATCCAGCCACCCTCCAGGAGTCACCTTGATGTGCATTTGAGCTCGTTCACAGCCATCTCAGCAGATTTGGCCACACCTAGAAGATGCTTTCAACCGCGTTGTGTAGACTGTTATCCAGTGCAGCCTTGGAAGAAAGGCTTCACATCTACTCTTTTCCTTCATATTAATAGAACAAAATTGCATACTGAGCCGGGGGTGTCCTGCAGGGCTTGGGGGCTTGTGGGGCTTGGGGAGTGGGCCTCCCAATGCAGGGGGCTGGAACCCAGGCATCCCTGACTATCCCCACCCCACCCCCACGGGTTACGGCGCGTGCGGGGCAGGTGGCTGTTCCCCTGACATCAGGGCTTCCTGCCTGGGGCCTGGTGAGAAGTGTCTCCTCTTCCTGCTCACAGAAGCTGTTCTCGGGGGCGCTCAGGAGCAGGGAGTGGTGGTCCCAGCAGGGAAAGGGATTCTGAGCTCGTGTGGCCCCTTTTCCCGGAGTGGGGTCTGTGTGCGCCTTCCCAGCAATCCCCATGCTGTCTTGTGTGAGTGAACCAGTCTGCAGAGTCTAATATATTGAACTTAACTGTACATATGCAGAGTGTGGTATTTGTGTATGAAACTGCTTTATTCCTGTTTTTTTCCAGCTTTGATGAATGATATTAAATGTTATGGAAATGCCGATTATTGCTTCTATGGGAAGATAATTACAAAAATAAAATCTGAAACCATGCAAGTGTGATTGTTCTTTTTATTATTATATTTTGTGCTTGACTTGTTTGCTTTTTCCAAAGATACATCGTCAGCTACTGACAGGCTCCCAGCTGTGCCAGACAGCACACTGTGCTCTTTGGGGTCCAGAGGCCTCTCTGGGGGATACTGTGAACTCGGGGAGCTTTTCAGGGTGCCTGTCACCAGTTACTGTCAGACCTTGTTCTCTGGCCTCAGAGAGGTGGGAGCCTTCAGCACACTTCAGTATACCAGGAGAGTAATTCTTTCATTAAATGAGGAGGTAAGAAAACCAAAGTGAGGAGGTTGGCATTTAATACCTGGTGTGCACCTTAGTTAACCTGTGGATTCACATAACATCACTCAGATGTTTCCTGAGTGCGAATTGTGGAAGCCCTCTATGTAATGTTGACCCTGCCCCGCTGGGCGTGGGAGTCGGTGGGAGGATTTGACACCAGGACAGAAGTTGGGGTGAGAGCCTGCAGGGCACCTTGGGGGCGGGGGTAGCCACAGGTGAGCGGGCAGGGCCAGGAAAGTCCAGGGGAGACGTCGAGGTGGGGCCGTGGGGCCCCTCAGCCGAGCCTCCGAGGCCCAACGCCTCTTCCAGGGCCCCATCGCACTTCCACTTCAATTACAAAACACAAAGGTGAAAAAGAATTCCGGGTGACCCAGGGACACCCCTCAGAGCACGGGCACCTCTGGGCGCCGGCCCTGTGCTGACACGAAGGTCGCAGACTCCAGACCCCACCACGGGGCAGCGCGCACACTTGGGCTCAGGTGTGAACGGTGCCTCCTCCAGCAGCAATTCTCCTGTTTGGAAGTGCGACCTACCCCCCTGCCCCCCGACCCGCCCTCTCCACCTGGACACTCCTCCGTCCTGGGGCAGCTCCCCCGGGGCCTGGGGTCTAGTTCCGGGTTCATCACGGGGTGGGGACTGGGGTTGATTCTTCCCCTCCGATGCCCGGGTGCCAGCCGGCCTCTCGGCTCTGGCCTGCCACCACCGAGGAAACCGAGTTTCTCCTGCAGGTGCCGATCTAGCTTCTCACTGAGCTGGGTGGGTTGGGGGCCGGGGGTGGTCCCCCTCGGGGTCGGGGTAGACGCAGCGTGGGAGTGGAGCAGAGAGTTAAGAGAAACCAGATTCAGTTTACAGCGGGAACGCTGCTGCGGTGGAGGGGCAGTAAGCCAGAGGCCATCGGCCCGCACAGCGCCTCCACCCGCCCCAGACAGTGAGCCCTGAGGGGACTCCGGGGTTGGGAGCACGGATGGTGCATGTCAGATGGATGGTCTCTGAGCCCGGGCTCTCGGATCTTCCCACACGGCAAGGAAGCAGAGGTCTGGTACTCTGTGTGTGTGAGAGTCAGTCGTGTCTGACCCTTTGCCACCCCATGACTGTAGCCCACCAGGCTTCTCTCTCCGTGGGGATTTTTCCAGGCAATAATACTGGAGTGGGTTGCCAGTTCCCTCTCCAGGGGATCTTCCTGACCCAGGGATCTAGTCCAGGGACCGAACCCAGGTCTCCTGCGGCTCCGGCATGGCAGGCAGGTCCTTTACCACTGAGCCACCTGGGAAGCCCCCTGGTTTTCTTAACAGTTTAATCCTTTGCTGTTTTGACTACCTGGTCTTTGTGGCAAACACGTCCCCACCCACGCTAGCTATATCCTGGCTACCCCCTCCCTCCTCGGAGCAGACCCTCAAAACTGCCTGAAGAGCTGCCTCTGAAGTCCTCAGACACTCGGCTCAATAAGATGTAATTCTCAGCTTTCAGGTTTTTGGTTTTTTGTTTTTCAGGGGACAACCTTTATTTGTGGGCTGTCCCCGCTCCCTTCCCTTTCTGGCGTGCTAACGTAGGTTCGTGAATCTGCCTGAAATACCTAGTTTCTTACGAGGACCTTTAGCATTTTTTTGTGTCTTATGAACATTCTTCAAAATCAGTCGTAGAGCTGTACAGGTCATGCAAGATTAAAAGTCTAGTAAATCATCACTTTATTTCTATGATTCCTGCTCGTTTCACCTGAATTTGTGGGCGCTTCAGAATATGAGTGTTTGTCTTTATATCATTTACTATATGTCACTCATAGACCTTACGGTGATGACTGATTTTCAAATATGTTATACTCTATTATTACTTGCACTGTAAAATGAGAATGTGAATAAGCCTTCAAAGAAGTGAAATAAAGATGCCGATTTTAATAATAATAATGTAGTTTTGTTAAGGAAGGTCTCCCCTCAAGGGCTCAGTCCAGCACCCGAGTTTCCCGGCCACCAGGTGGCGCTGTGGAGCGGCTTCAGGACCGCCCCATGGGGACCAGCTGCAGGGTCACTGCTGAGAACCGACAGCAGGACGGGCGACACTTGTCTAAGAGACAGGCTTTATCAACCCTGTTTGCTGTGTCTGCCTGCTCTTACTCTTCCTGCCCCAAGCCACACCCGACGCTGAGTGGTAGACAAGGACTAGCTGGGCCTCTGGGATTTCCGCTCAGTTTTGACCTGGACCACCTGCCACATTTGGGGGGTGGGGGCGGATTGGGGAGTGTTACTGGCATTGCAGTTCAGCCAGTTGCCTGTAGGTAATAGTAGCCCCCCAGTACTGGGATGAATAAGCAATGTCCCCACGAGAGCAGGCACGGGGTACTGTCCCTTGTCAGGAACCAAGACCGTCCCTCTGCCCCCATCCCCCAGCACCATGTGATGTCAGAGTAGCAGCAGCCCCGCCTCCAAGCCTGCTGCCCCACAGTAGCCACATGGAACTGTTAAAGTGGACACAAAAGGAAATAAAATTCATTTATTTGATCACACTGTCACATCTGAGATGCTGGGTGGCCCTGTGTGTCCCTGGCCACAGAAAGCCTCTTGGACAGTGATGGTCTGGGTGCCTGGTGGGTGTCAGAGAGTCAGATGGGGTGGGGAAGACTCAGGCAGGAATCACACCCGGAGGATGTTTCCATACCAGTGGGTGAGGCCCAGTAGTAGTTTGGCATGTACCAGGCAGCAGAGTCCAGGAGGTTCACAGAGAGGCTAGGCTGAGCTTTTAATTCCGCAGCTCAGATCCCTCACTTCCAAAAGAAAACAGTGGTGCCTCCAGGAAACAGCAGAGGAGACGCTGGTGTCATCCAGCCAGCGGCAGGTGGGATGGGAGGCGTGACTATGTGCACTCCTGGTGTTTCCTCTGGACGCGCCCAGTGCCCGGGGCTGAAACACCCACACGTCTGCTGCCCGCTGGCCCCCAGGTGCTGGCCTGGCTACAGAGGGTGAGGGCGTTTCCACCCTGGAAGGAGCTCTGCTTCCTTCTTTAGGGAAGAGCTCTGCTTCCCTCCTTGTTTTATGGAAATTATGTAATTTTCTGTTCTGTGGAAATTAAGTAATTTTCAGTGCTAAGAAAAAGCGCAACCAGCAACCCCAAAAGTACAAAGAATAAAATAATTCTCTTCAATCTCATCCTCAGAAACAAGCATTTCCTCCATGACCACCACTCCAGGCTTCTGGACAAACTGGGAAAGGGACCAGCAGATACAAATTCTCTGCAGGACAGGCTCCTAGTTACTATTTGTAAATGAAAGTATGACACTTAATCTTCATGGAATTTACTGAGAGAGAGGAAAGCTAAAAAAAAATTTGAAATTCAGATGTGTTTCTTTGTAAGAGAAGTATTTCTAAAAGATCTCACATTTAAAATACATTGGATTGTTTATGCTTTCACATGTAACTGTTTCAACTTTTGACATTTTCTGTCAATTCCCTGCTCTGGAATATGGGAAAATTAGCACTACCCGGACCCTTTTTTCTTAATATTTTTCTGATTTTATTATTAATTTTCCATGTTTGAGGTTTGTAACATTGACATCTTCTTCTTTAACCACAATCCCTCAATTTTTTTTAAGTCTGAAAAACTTACTCTTAAATTTATATTTAATGGTTCAGAACTCACCACCACTACTTTTAAACCATAATTTTCCCTTTTTTTAAAGAAAATGATTTTGACTCATCCCTTATTGACTAAAGTTTTCTTTTTCCAAGAAAGGCTCATGGATTTCTTGAATTATTGCCTACGTAGCGGCATCTGCTTTATGTCTTTTTACTTTATGTACAACTTGGCTAAGGTTGACACTTCAGGGTGACCCTTCCCCTGGGTACCTAGTGGTTGGACCTGAACTTCTACTAATATGATGAATTACCATGACTTTTTCTGATGTTAAGCCCACTTGATCATGAATTTTTTTAGGGTGCTGCTGAATTGAATTTGCTAAATTGTGTAAGGATTTCTGTGTCTGAGCTTGTGAGGGCTGTCTTTCTCTAATTTTCTTTTCTTGAAGCATCTCTGATGATGTTGGGATCAGGGTAACATGGGCTTTGAATTGAGGATTCTTCTCTCCTCTACTAAGAGACTTTATGTAGGGATTGGTATTTCTTTTTAAATTTTTGCCACAATTCACAAGTGAATTCATCTTGCCTGGAGTTTTCTTTCTGGGAAAGTTTTCAATTATGAATTCAATTTCCTTAATTGGCATAGAACATTTCTGGGGGGCAGGGGCTTGAAAATTTTATTTGGAGTCAGTTTTTGCAATGCATATCTTAAAAGGATTTTTTCCATTTTGTGTAAGTTGTAAAATGGCCTACATTTGTTCATAATATGTAACCTCTTTATCCTTTCAATGTCTGGAAAAGCTGGCTGATAGCCCTTTCTGTGGTTCATTTCCTGGGTCACTCTCACCAGGAGCCCACAGAGCGGCGCCAAGCCCACGCACCTCCCCCGTGGCCCTCGTGGCCCACCCCCGCCCCCAGCCTCAGTGTCTCTGCAGAGCCGACCTGAGCCTGGTGCTCACTCTGGCTGGACCCCAGTGTGGGCAGCAGCCCAGTCAGACCCCCACATGACTGCTGTCTGCAGGGCCCCTCTGCCCCTTCTGCATGGGGGTTTTGTTTTCAGGACACTTGCTGACACCACAGGGTCTCTCCTCTTTTTTCTGGCTGGTTTTTTTTTTTTATATTTTCTGATTCTTTGTTTTATGCGGGGTTTGGTGGGGGGAGCTGACATGCTTTCTGGGTTTCTTGCCCCAAGGGCGAAACAGGGCAGAGGCTGCTTGTCATCAGCTGCTTCAGACACAGGGTGGTGCTGAGCAATGAACCATCTGCAAGGCTCATTAATATTTCACTGCTTTGCATCAGCCCAGTGCCCCAGCAGCATCGCTCGTGACTGAGTGGAGCTCTGTGTGGCTCCCTGATGCATCCTTAGCGTTTCAGGAGGGCCTGGCCCTGGCGCACTTGGTGTATGTGCTGGCGGCATCCGAGGGCAGGCTCTGGGCAGCCCCTCCGGGGTGGGGATGGGCAGGCACGCAGCCTGGCCAAGCCGTCAGCCAGCCAGTCAAAGGCACTGGGATCCAGAGAGTTATCCCAGAACTTTCCATGGCTCAACCCACCTCTGTTCTCATAAAGTCTTCCTACACGGAGATGGAACAACATGATGGATGTAAAATTTTCCCTGAAAGAAGCTTGCCGTGATGGAGGTGGTACCAACAATTTAAACAGATGAACACATCAAAGAAAACAGCTAGGAGATGGAAACCAGTTTTATTTGGTGGGATCTTAAGTGTCTACACTTGCATACCTGGAGGTCTGTGTCCTGGGAAGGAGTGAGCACCTGGGTCCTGCGGGCACTTTGGGGCAGGCCCAGCAGTGCAGGCGTCAGGTCAGTCCAGGTGTTCCGGGCTCCATCCCAAATGGTGTCTGTCCCTGGTGACCCACGCACCCCCTAGGCCCTCCCTTCTCCTTTTCGCACTTGTCTGGCCTCCAGACACCATCCACCCATCGCAGAAGTTCAAGGCAACACACTCCCTCCCTTAGGGCTGCTCCTTTTGGGCTTCTCTCTAATGCAAATATAGTTTATTTTTTATTTTTACAAAATAATTTCCCATCTAATCCAGTGGGGTGGGGCAGCGGGGGTGTGATTTCGCCTGAGATCTGAGAGCCTCCTTGGTGTTACTGAGCCCAGACTCAGGGAGGACTCACCGCCCCCTCTAGGGTAGAGCCCAGGTTTGGGGCCCCCAGCTACACCACTCGTATTACCATTTACTCCTGAGGATGCCCAGACGTTTCCAGTGGTTAGTTACAACTTGGTTCCCAGCCTAGAGACGTCCTGTATCAGCCATCAGTTTTATAAGGCTGCAATAATTCTTCACTTTTCTCCATAAGTTTGACCTAGTTTTCCCATCAGGCATTTGACCAGCACCTGAGAAAGTCTAAGTGCTCAGGAAGGGAACCTGAGGGATGCAGATATGGACCTTCCTTCTCAGAGCTTTCGTCTCTCAGTTGCTTTTGACGCCTGGGGACAGGCATCCTGTCGTGGGGGTGGGTGGATGAAGTTTTGGATCCAGACAGGGCAGATGCCAGCTTGGCCGGAGGGCCGGCAGGGTTCACGTTTACGGAGAGTCTTCCCCCTGGAATCAGGACCGCTCAGCTCTGCGTGCATCTCTAGAGCACCTCTCACGACCAGGATGGGGAGGGTGTGTCCTTCAGTGTATTTATCCAACCATCTACCAAAGGGCACCTCGGCTGCTTCAGAAATTTTGGCAATTGTGAATAAAGCATCCAGATGGGCCTTCACCGGGGACCAGCTCACCAGCGCCCCCAGAGCCAGGGCCAGGCTCATGGCACTCTGCCTGGTTCTCCCTCTTCACTGGCCAGGAGCGCCACTACCCAGGTCCTTGGGGACGCCCTCTCAAAGATGTCTCCAGAGAACACATTCTAAGGGACACACGTCCATCATCCTCCGGGCAGGGCCTGGTGCTCATTTGTGGCTGAGGATGTGGCTGGTTACAGCCTGCTGACTCCTTCTTGTTGCCAGAGAAGCCAGCTGAATGGGGTGGTGACAGGCTGGGCTGGGGTCCCAGCCAGCCACCTCCTTCTCTGGGTGAGTTCCCCTCCAACACAGGCAGGACGGGGCCTTCTACATCTGTGTCTCCCTCCTCCACACCCAAGGCTCTTTCTTGAACAATGGGACTTGTCTTCCATCCCTGCGTCCTTGACCTCTGTGCCTGTTAGAGAGAGTCCCTCTCCCCTCCTCCCTAAATGTGCTGTACGCTCTCTCCAGATCCCCCGCTGATGACTTTAAAAGAAAGAATTCAGAACCAGGAATGTGCAGGCAGGCTGAGGAGGTCCCTGAGTGCTTGGAATTTATTGCTATGACGACAAGCATTTACCCTAAGTGGGCCGGGAGGCTCCAGGCATTCACAGCTGAGGTGCAGATCTGCACTGATTTTCCAGAAGACACTGGGCATTGTTTGAACTTTGATATGTTTTAAAAGCTCTGTATTCACTGTAATGGTTTCCTCCTGGGAAGGTTATTTTTTACCAGTCATTTCTGCTTTTATTAATCCCCTTGAGCACACACATGAGAAAACTGACAATACAACCAACCCACCAGAAGTGGGTTCTTAGCTCTGGGCACACAGTACAGAAGAGTTGCTTCTCCTATTTCATGCAACAAGGCAGAAGGAAGAGTATTCTTAAAGTGACTTTGCAGGATGTGCTTTATTCTCAGTCAGTCCCGAACCCAAACTACAGAGGGTCAATTATTTGGGACATATTCTAGTCCACTCAATGATTCTTCTCAGAAACTGTCCTTTAATATGGAATGAAAACTACATGTCAATCATCAATTTTTCATGCTACATTGTTATTTCATGAAGACGTTGTATGACCCATAATAATAATTTAAGAAAAGGCCGTTTGTTTATTTCCCCAAGCTCAATATACATATTTCTTTCATAATTATGAACTTAAAAAAACCCGTCTCAGATGTAAAAATATGAATTGGAATATGTAAACTCGTTGAGAGACCTGAAAAACAGGGAAAAAAACGTCACATACTGGAAAAACCACTGCTGTGAGTCATGGAAACGGGAGGAAGCGTGGGGGTTGGGGGGGCAGAGGGGAGCTCAGACCTCAGTCAGCAAAAGTTACAGCGTCCAAGGACCCCACCTCCACCGGGTGGCATCTCTGTCTGTCTCCCGGATCGGGGTTTCACAGGGAGCAGGAACTCTCTGGAACCAGCAGAGCCACCAGCTGGGCCTCGGCAACGCTGCGTCCATGTCTTTGTTTTGCTGCTTTTTTTTTTTTTCCTGAGAAGTCACTGGTGTTGAATGGAAAGATTTCGTATTACTCGTCAGTTAAGGTAAGGCAGTAAGTGTCACTAAGGTTATCTTTTTGCTTAGAATGAGGCTTATCCTTCCACTGGCGTCACCATGGGTCACCGGCCCCTCCCTCTTTCCCCCTAGAAGCGTATGTAGGGGTTTCAGCCCCCACTCTGCTGCATATTTGGGGTGCAGTCCCCTGGCCCCTCCCCACAGCAGCATCCCCTTGGCAGCCGAGCGCCAGGCATGGCATTGCGATGACCGGGTATCTCCAGGAGGGCACTGTCCACCCAGGAGAAGGTCTCTTCTTCCTCCTCCTTGCTGTTCTGTGTCTCTGAGGACCAGACCTGTCAACAACTCCTCCACACAGTCAATCAGGACGCGAGGCACCGTGGACGGCCACGGGCGAGCAGCCCCGACTTCAGAGGAACGGAATTAACACAAAGGATGTTTCAACAGCGCCTTGGCTCGTAGCTCTGGGGGCAAAAGGGAGCCCAGCCCTTCTGCTCCCGTCAGCACAGAGACTGTTTCCGCCAAACTGGAAATGCTTAGCTCGCAGGACAAGATTGTGCTTTTCTTCTTTTCTTTGGAAAATCCCCACGTTAACTCGGCTCGCGGTCTGTGGCCAGGGTGTCAGTTTGTTTTCTCCCTGGTCCATTTGATCATGGTTTCTGGTGACCGGTACAGGAATATTAATTTGGCATAGAGATCCTCCTCCAGCTCCAGCTCCCCGGTCTCCCGGACTAAAAAAATGTCTGTGCACAACTTCAGAATCCGATCCACGTTGGGAAGTTCTTCAAACATGATGGAGTGAGAAATCCCGCTGAAGAATTCCCGGACAAACTTCCCGATCACCAGCACCACAGAAGCATAGAGGCCCATGATACTAGGGAAAAAAAGATGAGGAAAAAGAGGTAGAAATAGTATCTAGCAGTTCAGTTCAGTCACTCAGCTGTGTCCGACTCTTTAAATATGGTTAATAGAAACACACACACACACACACACACACACACACGAGAAAACATAATAACACTTTCCCTCAAATGCCACAGAGGATGTGATAGACTTACCAAAGCTTAAATTATTCCACTTTGGTGAAAACACTGACTTTTTTGCTAATGAAAAAGGTGATGCATGTTTTCTCTCTCTCTCTCTTTTTTAAAAATTACACATTATAAAATTGTTGGACTTGAAAAATGAAAGTCCTTTGAAATCTCACCTTCTGGAAACAAGCAGTGTTAATAGTTTCATGTATGAACTTCTGGTGGTTTTACTGCATATGTTATATGCATAAGCTACATAGTGTGCGTAAGTGCTCAGTTGTATCCAACTCGCTGAGACCCTATGGACTATAGCCCTCCAGGCTCCTCTGTCCATGGGATTCTCCAGGCAAGAATACTGGAGTGGGTTGCCATTTCCTTCTCCAGGGGATCTTCCCCACCAAGGGCTCGAAAACCACCACTGGTTCCAGTGTCTCTTGGCAGGCAGATTCTTTACCACTGAGCCAGCTGAGGAAGCTACATAATATATGTGGTAGAAATGCAATTGTATCATACACACTTTCTGTATCGAGAACTTTTCCCTGCCTTTCACAGAGATTTGTGTTTATGATTTTTTTAAGAGGCTCTTTCTAGGAAGTGGAAAACCTTAGTGTCCTGTCGGGGGTGCCTGTTAGAGGACTGAAGTATCAGAAGGTGGAGAAGTGGTAACATCAGGCACGTCCCAAACTGATTTCTGACTGACTCTCATCTGCTAAGGTCAGAAGGCAACATCAGCAGAAAAGAGAGAACTCAACCCCAATTTCTAGATTAAACCCCAAATTGCACCAAACTGTGTGGTAGCAGGAAGGAATAGTTAAAAAGCTGGAGATACGACAGATATGGCTTCAGGTCCTCTGTTTGGTAGAAGGACTACCCAAGGCATTTTTTACTTCTCTGGGACTCCGGTTCCTCATTTTTTAAAACAAAGTTCCCTGTGACAAACCATAATGGAAGAGAATATGAAAAAGAAATACATATACCTGTATAACTGAGTCAGTTTGTTGTACAGTAGCTATTAACACAACACTGTAAATAAACTATACTTCAATAAAATTTTAAAAATATAATATGAAGAGCCAAGGATCTGTGAATTCTAATAATACAGCTATAGAATCTGAGAATTCTAGGAAGATAAAAGACGTCTGTCCTCAGCTTGGTGCGGTGCAGAGGGGCTCTCTCATGACCATTGATTGCGAAACGGCTCCTTACCCGTAGCCGGCCAGGAACCCCAGGCTGGGGGGGCTGACCTTGTCGTTGAAGACCACCAGCTCCAGGGCCTGCGCTTCCTGGTTGTAGATTCTGTTCCCAGTCAGGTTGAGAACCCACCACTCACTGTTCGAGTTAGTCGCATTGTCTCTGGACAAAATGATGGTGATGTTCATGAAATTATTTTCTGGAGAAGGAGAAACATGAAATCTGGTCAGCAGGAGTGTTTAAGGATTTAATGCACTCAGCAGTTCCAGGATGGCACAAGATGGTTGGTACCCATGGCGCTGGGTCCCAGGATGAGTGCACAGGGGCATGTTGACTCTGTGAGGAAAAGGAGTGGTGGGCCTGGTGGGGGAGGGTCTCTCTTTTTCTCCAAGAGGCCAGTCCTGCTGCTACATGAGACAGCAACCACATCACAGGGAGAAGGGAACCCTATTACTGGAACATCTTTGCTGACAAGTCCCAACAACTAACTAGACATTTAAAAACCATAATAACTGACTTGTGATGGACTTGACAGACTCCTTCCTGTTAGCCCTGTTTATTGAGCATCTTCCAGGAAGAAGGTGCTCCAGGAGGTGCTCAGGGATCACCCAGTTGCACACAGCCTGGTCCAGTGGGGAAGGCCACCTCCACAAGCACAGTTTATCGGCACGTGGCAACCACCACAGCACCTGTACCAACAAGGCCTGTGAGCCTGGGGAGATCGCTTCTGGTCGGCTTCCCAGAAGAGGTGACCTCTGAGCTGAGCTTTGCTGGGTGAGAACGTTAATAGACGGAGCCCGACTACTGGCATTCAGTCACCCTTGGGCTGAATCACATCCATTTCCTGCCATCTTTTTATTGTTTTTATCAGGGGGCCTTTGGCATTAACACTGTAGGAGGCAATTTTCTGCCAAAGATGTGTTTGCTAATAGAAGCAAGTAAATAGGTTCTGATAAATCAGTTAACCTGTCACTCAGCATGGATTTCAGTCAATCAAGTTCTATATTGATGAAGAAAGGAAGATGAACATGCCCTGGGTGGGTAAGTGATCCCTTCTTGCTGGTGGACACAGCCTGGAGCCGTAGGCGTCTTGTGAACCATGTCACATGAGAAAGAAACCTGGCCAAGGAGCTTGATAGAGGCTGAAAGGGCAAACTATAGACGTTGATTGAAAGAAAAGATTAAGAACAATTCTGAAGTGATTCCTTATTCTTACCAGATAAGAGCTGCTTTATGGGTTTGGAGTTAGAGTCACTGGGTGCTTTCACGTAGTATGGGTAAATCCTTTCTATGGTCCTGGGAATTAAGAAGGAAAAAAAAGAGGTAATTAAGTTCTAGCTGTTTTGTGTGCTCAGTTGCTTCAACCCCATGGACCATAACCCACCAGACACCTCTGTCCATGGGATTTTCCAGGCAAGAATGCTGGAGTGGGTTGCCATTTCCTTCTCCAGGGAATCTTCCCAACCCAGGAATCAAACCTACATCTCCTGAGTCTTCTGCATTGGCAGGCAGATTCTTTACCACTGCATCACCATGGATGATGATTTTTTTTTTTTCTGCTACTTTCAACCTCATTTCAAACAAATAATGGTGAGAGTCTTCCTATAATTATGCAATGTTCAGTCATCATAGTGTATGTGTATTTTACATAATGTAAATACACATAGTATCCACTAAAATCAAAAGTCTCCAAATCTGAATAAATTCACCAGATTCTAACCAGATGTTCAGGCCACCTTTGTACCAAGCTAGTTAATGGCTTAAAAATGGCTACACAGATTTTTCCACACCTGTGACTTTTCTGAAGCAAGGGGCTATCTTTCTTGCTAAGATCCATCACTCTTCCAATTTTAATTTTCAGGATTTCAAAATTCCGTATAGTGGAATGGGCTGCTCCAACTGATATGAGGATGCGGGTGTAGGGAACAGAGGACTGGAATCCGAGCCCTCAGCCCACGGCTGCTCCATCCCTCGAGGTTGCTTTCTCATCTGGGAAGCGATGGGGAGAGCCTGACGCTTCTCAGGGGCCCTTGATGTTCAGTGTCTGACATGGGGTTCTTTCAGAATCATGTTTGAGGGTTGCATGGTGGTGGTTCTCACCCTCAGTGCTTTGACATGGGTTGGGGCAGACAAAGGGGGACAGACGGGATGGAGCTGGGCACTGGGCAGTTTGGGATCAGCAGCAGTTGTTTGCTCCTGCTGGCTCTCACATGAGACTCGAACATCACAGCTTAGGTGTCTGGAGTGCAGTGTTGTGTGGCAGGAGAATATATAAAGATACAACTTTTTCCCCTCAAATTTCCTTCTGCCCCCTTGCCTTCTCCTCACTCCCCTCCATTAGCCAGGCATTCAGTGCCCCAGAAACAGGGGTGATGGTAGAAAAGGGTCTCCAGGGGTCTCTCCTTGGTTTTTGGTGATTACGCCAGGTGGGAGCAAGGTCTGTCACCTAGAGAAGAGTTCAGTCCTCCCCAAACTCACTGGCGGGAGGGAGTGGGTGGAGAGCAGGTGGGGCTTTGATGCAGCCCGTCCGGGGCTCTCAGCACACGCTCACTCAAGTCACCCGAGTGAGCAGGTTGAGTTTCTTGCCCACCCATGTTTGTAGAGGAGACTCTGTACCAGACACACACGCCTACTGTCACTGTGTTAACAATGATGACCAACTCACACAGGCGTCCTGGAACTTTCTGTGTCACCGCCGGCTATCATTTTAGCAATATTCTCTCGTGTCGTGTTTTTAAGAGGGAAAGAAAGCTTATCTGTTGCTATTTCTGCTTTTGCACCCAGACTCATGTTTCTGTGAAAGAAAAAAGAAGAGGTCAAGGTCAGTGGTTATTCACAAATCTGCAGGTGAGATTAAAACTCCTGAAATACTCCTCTCACCAAATTTCATTGGGTCCACAGTCGTCAACTCCCCCCTCTCTGTTCACCTCAGCTGGGCATCCAGCCTCTCAGACAGCCAAGGAGGCTGCAAGCACCTTCAACACAGACCACAGGTGAGGAGGAAGAGTGTGGGGACCCAAAGAGACATGGACCTGAGCATCTAATAGGGCTCTGAGGCACTTTATATTAGCCCAGCGATGTTAGTCTCCATGAGGACTCACAGAATCCAGACTTTAAACAGAATATTCACAATGAGATGTCACCTCACATCTATCAGAATGGCCATGATGGCCATCACTAAAGAGACAAGAGACAGCAAGTTTTGGTGAGGATGTGGGGAGAAGGGAACCCTTGTGCACTGTTGGTGGGAATGGAAACTGGTGTAGCCACTGTGGGAAACAGTTTGGTGATTCCTCAAAAAACTAAAAATAGAACTACTATAGGAGCAATCCCACTTCTGGGTATTTTTCCAAAGCAAATGAAAACACTAACTTGAAAACATATCTACACCACCATGTTCACTGCAGCATTTACAACAGCCAAAACACAGAAACAACGCACGCGTCCAGATAAATGAATAAAGAAGATATGACGCATACACATGATGGAATATTATTCAGGAATAAAAAGAATGAAATCTTACTCTTTGTGACAACATAGATGAACCTTGATGGCATTAAGCTAAGTGAAATAAGTCAGATAAAGACAAATACTGTATAATCTCATTTGTATGTGAAATCTAGAAATAAAACCACAAAACCTGAACTCATAGATACAGAGAACGAATTGGTGGTTCCCAGACGTGGTGGTGGTGGTGAATGAAATGGAATTTCATTCATTTCAGGAATGAAAGGAAGTTAAAGGGAATGAATTTTCAGTTATAACATAATTAAGTCCTGGTTAGGTAATGAACAGCATGGTGACTATTTTTAATAAAACTCCACTGCATATTTGAAAGCTGCTAAGGCTGGATCTTAAAAGTTCTCATCAGAGGAGAAAATGGTTGGTAACCATGTGGTGAGTGTTCATTAGACACTGTGGTGCCCATTTTGAAAAGTACATAAATATCAAATCACCGTGTTGCTCCCTTGCAACTAGAACAATGCCACATGTCCATTATCTCAATTAAAAACAGAATGTTCAATCAGAAATTGGTTTTTAATTTTGGGGGGTGGTTCTTCAAAGGAAGGGCTAAGAAGTGCATTTTTGCCAACACTGAATTCCATGTGGGGAGTTTGGGACATTTAAAAGGAGAAAATAAGATTAAAGAAGGAGGTCTTTAAAGTCTCAGCAGCCCTTTCCAAAATCCTTCTTTACTATTTCCCTCTGAATTCAGATTCCAGGCTTTGTTCTTTACCTATCATGGTTCTCTCTTAATTCCAGCCAAGAAGCTAGTATTGTACACCCAACAAGCCTACCCCACGCCTGCCTGGAGTCCTGAGAGAAACAAAGCTCATCAGCCAAGGTGCTGGGTCAGGCCCCCAAGCAGCCCCATGGACACATTGGGCTTTGGATATGAGAACTTTTCCTGAGATAAGTGATGTGGTGGCCACAGGCTGGCCAGAGGTTCATGTTGGGGGGGAGGGTAGGAATACCCCTGCTCTCCCGCTCTGGACCTGCCCAAGGGGCTCCCGCAGCTCAGGCTAGGAGAAAACAGCCACAGGGGCTGCCCAGTGCTCAGGGCGGCAAGGGAGACTCGGGGTTCCAGGGGCTACAGGTCCTGTGTTATGAGACCAAACCCCAAGCTCAGGGAAATCTCATGCTTCACCCGACTCGGTTTCATTTTATGAGTCATGACTCTATTTATTTTCTCTCCACCTCTCTCTTTTGCTCACAGACCTCACTGTCAGCTTCTTTAGAGCTAAAATTAGTAGAAACAGGAAAACTGAGATGTTCTCGCTGGGTCAATGAGTCTCAGGCAAATCACTGTTTAATAACGCACAAAAACATTAGCTATGGCATTGAATGGATGTTACCCAAGAAGTAACATGAACCCAGATCCACATTAATCTGAAGTTTCTAACCTCCCACGCCCCCCCCACCCCCACCCCAAGTTCAGGTTGGGGAAAAGGGGGAAATTATGCACGGAAATCCAGTAACTACCTCTGAATACTCCATGAAAAAACAACAGAGAAGCTACTATTGGGGTCCTTGAGTTCGTGTATCATTTTCTGCTTACTGGGAGGGCTGATGGTCCATAAAGAATTTGAGTTTCCTTCCAGTTCTGCAACTGTTATGTCTTCTTTTTCATAATTTTCCAGAAATTGCATAGCACCCTGTATGCACACAAACACAGCTGCATAAATAGACCACACCCCCGAGGACATGCAAGAAGGTGACTACCCTTCCCTCTATCTGGCTTTGCAGAGGGATTTTCGTCCCAATGGGGTGCCTAGTGTGTTCTGGTGCTAAGAGCTCCAGTCACATCACCAGACCCCAGTGGTGGTGCTGCTACTCCCATGGGCATGGGTGCTGGGTCGATTCAGTCGTGCCCAACTCTGTGATCCTGTGGACTGTAGCCCGCCAGCCCCCTCTGTCCATGGATTCTCCAGGCAAGACTACTGGAGTGGATTGCCATGCTCTCCTCCAGGGGATCTTCCTGATCCAGTGATTGAACCCATGTCTCTTACATGTCCTGCATTGTTGCGGGGGGCGGGGGGGAGGTTCTTTACCACTAGTGCCACCTGGGAAGGCCCCCTCCCCACAAGGCCATGAAATCACTCCAATCAAACAGTACAGAAAAATCAGATGATTTAGTGTCATATTTCCCTTCCCACTAAAAAAAGAAATGTATCAACTATTGGGGAACATCCCTCTCATAAGAGAGACAAATTTAATCCACCCTGGACATCTGGGCCCTTCCTCACAGCTATGTATTCCTCAAGACTAGTGCTGACAGTGGGCATTACAGGCCAATCATTTTACAATGGGGAAAAGCATCTGTTTGCCTAATCACTGTACTTAAATGAAAAGTATCATTTGTAAAGCTGATTTCAACCATGAAGAGTCATGCTGTCATATTATTAAAAGCATGGAATGCAGAGAGAAGGATGACATCAGCCACAATTCTACCACCAGAACTTGATTCCCGTTCTATACAGTTGAGGATGCGTGTCTTAATTTTTAAAATCAATTTTAAAATAATGGCATCCTTTTAAATCTCTTTCGTTTTGAGAAATTTTCATGCCATGAAATCATATTCATAATTATCATCTTAATAGAAAGGAATTTTCTTGGAAAATCTGCCATAATTGATTCATTCAGTCCTACTTGTTGAATCCCCAAGCTGCCTAGTTCTTATGAATGTGGAGGATGTTGTCACAAGCAGGCACCTGCCTGGGGCTTCTCCCATACTCTGAATGACCTCCTTAGGATAGACTCCTGCAGGAGACCTCTCAGTCAAAGGGAACAATAGCTACCACGATTTAAAAACTTTATAGAGATTTTAAAAGGATCAGCACCTGTTGTGCTTAACATGAAGATTCTCTGAATTAGAATTATGTTTATTATCACTTATGTCCAATAATACAGACACAACATCTTAGATGATCAAAGTGGCCAGTGGCCAGGAACCTGCAGTGTAACAACTGATCATCCCTAGGAAGTCCTCCCCTCCAGCTCAGGTCGTGGCCAAGTGGTGAGAAAGGTGACGACAGTCAGCTGGCCAAGGTGACAGCTGTTCACAGAGACCAACTCCATGCATCTACTTACAGTGTCCTTAGAAAAAGTTTTAATGAATTTACTAAACATTGGCTGGTCCATAACTTTCAGCTGGCTTTGCTGGGCACTCATTGTGAAAATAGGCTGGAAAACAAAGACACATGGGACAGTTAATATTTGAAATTCCTTCTGTGCATCCTGGGTTCTGAGAACAATATTAGACCGTGTATTATCCACAGCCAGTGCAGAGCTCTCTCTTCCCTGTCTCCTGCACCTTAGCTCACATATTTGCAGAACTGTCAATATTCAGACAGGAGATGGGGGTCCACCGAACCTCAGTAAGTCATCCAGGTGGTGGTCAGGGAGAGGGCCATGCTGTGTAAAGACCCACAGAGGGGCGGGGGATTGAAGACCCAGAGCGGGGCATGGTTACCTGGTACCCGCCCAGGGTAATTGTGACTGAGACGTCCAGGGGCTGGTTGATGACCCCGGCGACAGATTTGACCAGAGACATGAAGAGCAGCGGGAACCAGACGATGCAGATGAGCAGCACGATGATCATGCCCCCCATCCCGTACTTGACCACCTTCTTCTTCTTCTGCCCCCGGGGCTGCGGGTACCTCTGCAATGGGAGGGTGGCACACTCAGGTGGTGTCCCCAGGAAGGGCGGGCACTATGACCACAAAGTCTGCCCAGGACTGAGTCCTGAATCTGTTCAGAATGCATCCAGACCCAGCCCTGGAACAAGGAAGGCAGTGATGCTGGGCTGTGAGGAGCCTGCTCTGTGACCCCAACAGGGTCCATTGGGGCCTGAGTGGCATTTTCCTTAAAAGGATTCTGTGGGTTTGCTGGAGGCAGACCTGTGGACCAAGGGACCAAAGCTTCTGCTGAATAAACCTCTGGTTTTAAAGGATCAGGTGGGAGAAAGACATTTTAAATTCCTGAATATTCGAAACTGTGCCTTTCAAGGGGCTCCTCCCCTCCCTTGGCAGGTGGAAAACATTTTAACTTCGTTCCCTTGGCGGGTGGAAAACATTTTAACTTCGTTCGTGACACATGTTGTCAGGACCACACTGTCCAAGCTGGAATCACCTCCATTTGCGGCATCAAGGGCTCCCCAGCCCAGAGCTCAGCCTGCAGGCGAGTGGAGGGCTCAGCTCCGCCATGTGTCGTGGAGGCTACTCGGGTCTACACGCCTATTCCATACTTAGATGCTGCTTCTACAAGACCTGTGTTCTTTAAGGGGTACTCTGGAGGCTGGACTACATACGTATGATAAACTTTTGAAAAATTCCTTGAATAATCATGCCATTGTTCAGTCGCTAAGTCATGTCCGATTCTTTTCGACCCCCATGGACTGCAGCACATCAGGCTTCCCTGTCCTTCACCATCTCCCAGAGTCTGCCCAAGTTCATGTCCATTGAGTTGATGGTGCCATCCAACCATCTCATCCTCTGCTGCCCTCTTCACTTTCTGCCTTTAGTCTTTCCCAGCATCAGGGTCTTTTCCAGTGAGTTGGCTGTTTGCATCATGGCCAAAGTATTGGAGCTTCAGCTTCAGCATCAATCCTTTAAGTGAGTATTCAGGGCTGATTTCCTTTAGGATTGATGGAATCATGATTCCATCCACATCTAAACCTTAATATCCAACCTAGTAGAATAAGTAGATATTTTCACTTTAATTTCCTTTGCACAAAGAGGTTGCCTCCTCTGTCCCTCATCGAAGAGTGACTCAGGGTGAACCTAAGTCTCAGTCACCTGGACCACTTTCCTCCAGCACATCTCACCCCCTCCTGCTCCCAGATGAGCCATTTTAGACTGACTGTGTGGTCTAGCACCACGTCACCTCTTCTCACAACAACCACAACAAGCATCTGCCAGAAGAATCATCTGGAGGCTCTTCTCGCTATGGCAGCTGCAGGTCCAGATTCCTAACTCCAGCAGGGTGAAGTCAATGGGGCATTCATAGGTCCTGGTGGGTTCTGCCTCATTTACTGGGCCACAAAACTTGCAGAAGGTCCTATCAATCTTATAACTGGCCTGTATCTAAAAAACACAAATACGGCTGAGGCACTGCTATTGGCTTACTTTTTCCGACTCCCGCCAGCACTTGAGGATGAAGATGTGAGCATAGATGTCCTCCACACAGATCCAGCTGGACAGGCTCAGGGTCGTGTCTGTCCACACCCAGTCCATCACAGCCCTCAGCTCCGTCAGGAAAGGGACAAGGCGGAACCTGCAGAAACCAAGTCTTGTTAGAAGGATAGCTGTGGGCTGGCCCCATCACCGGACAGTCTTGCAGGATCCTGGAGGTCTGGACTGTCAGCCCTGACAACTCAGAAAAATTCTCAAGGTCACTGTTACTATAAAAATTCAACATGGAATACAACTGCTTTTCATTATCAGTGTGTTAAGAAATGGTATTTGCCTTTCCTTTTTTTCTGGCTGATGGTCTTAAAAAACTGGAATTCCTTTTATAAATACATTTGAAAGTGTCTTCAATTTCTTTCATTAAGTCTTATAGTTTTCTTTGTAATAATCTTTAACTTCTTCGGCTAAATTTATCTTGAAGTACTTTATTATTTTTGATGCTCTTGTGAATGGGAGTGTGCTGTTTGCTCAGCTGCTCAGTTGTGTCTGACTCTTTGCGATCCTATGGACTGAAGCTCGCCAGGTTCCTCTGTCCATGGGATTCTCCAGGCACAAATACTGGAGTGGGTTGCCCTGCACTCCTCCAGGGGATCTTCCCAACCCATGGATCGAACCCATGTCTCTTACATCTCCCACACTGTGGGGTGAGTTCTTTACCACTAGCGCCACTTGGGAAGGCTCCCCTCCCCCCATGGCCACAGAATCACTCCCATCCCTGGCAGCTCAGATGGTAAAGAATCTGCCTCCCACTGCACCTCCCCATACCCCTACTGCCCCCGGGTCCCCCACACCCTGTGCATGGCCAGGATGGCACCGAGCCCCTCACCCCTGGAACAGGAAGAGGTTGACGTAGTTGTAACTCTTGGTGAGGAAGTTGCCGAGGACCCGAGTAGGGTAGCCGCAGCGGATCTGGTAGGCAGACAGCCCAAAGTACACGCATTTGACGAAATACCACAGCTGCGCGACCAGGTTCTGGCTGAACTTCCTGGGAGAGAAAACAGAAAAGTGCAGGGTGGGATGCTCTTACGGTACAGAAGGACACCAGTTTAGGGTGAGAGAAAAGCCTAATCGTCCCTCTGGCTTCTAAAGGCAGGTCCTTATCACAGACATCTCAGCAACATCTGGTTGGCAGGAGCCATTCCTAAGCTAATGACATCCTCCAAAGCTGGGAGGGCAGTGTGGTCACCCAAAGAATGCCTCCAGATCCCACCCAAAGATGGACATGCCCTCACCCCCAGAACCTGGCGACATGTGACATTCCTCGGCCAAGAGGACTTGACAGACATGCTAGGGTTGGGGACCTGGAGGTCGGGAAGAAGAGTTGCTGCCCAGGGGCCCCACGAGCAGGCCTTAGCCGGACAGCCTTGCTCGGCTGTGGGCAGGAGCAGACGCAGCAGGGAAGAGATGCAGGGTTTGGAGAAGAAGGAGGAGACCCAAGGCATCTCTGAAGCTGGAAGAGGTCAAGAGATGAATTCTCTGGGGACTCTCCAGAAAGGACCGCCGCCCCGCCCACATCGTAATTTCAGTCCAGTGAGGCCTGGGTCTGCCCCCTGGCCTGCTGAGCTGTAAGACAATGCACTTGCATTGTGTTAAACCCTGACTTGCAGTGGTACTGATTAACTCCTACCCTCTCCTTCCCTATGGGCTTATCCTTACAAAACTTTCCTTCCCCGACGGGTTGCAGGAAAATGGCCCCACAGCTCCAGTTTCCAAGACCTCACCTCTCGGTCACGCCAGGCAGGATGAAGAACATCCAGAAGTGAATCCCAAACACCAGGATGACCTGGAAGATGACCTTTCCCAGGACGGTCTTCCTGAGGTAGAGTGCCCTATCCACTACCATGGTCCCGAACTGAATGAGCACCATCACCAGGAAGGGCCCCGGCACCTGGTCCTCGGACAGTGAGGACGTGATGTCGGCCGCGGCCGAGTGTTTCTGGGGAGGAGATCGTAGGTTCAGGCCTGGATGCACCCGCAGGACAGCATCGCTCATCCCCGGGGTGTGGTGGCCTCGGTCCCCCACCTACCCCGAAGGCCCAGAAGCCGAAGACAATGATGACGAAGTCCACGGTGTCCGCCAGGAACATAAGCACATACACGTCGGTGACAGCGCTGTAGTCGGGGTGGATGAGGTCATAGAAGAACTGCCTGATGGGCACGTAGAGCTGCAGGGTCCTACGGGACAGACACCCAGTGTGGGGTGGGGGGAAACGCAGGACCCGCCAGAGACCCCATCATTCCGCCCTCTGCTGCTCTCCTCCACAGCTCCCCCTCCCCTGCTCCAGCCTCAGGACACTCCGCTGGGGGCAGGGGCCCCTGCTCTGACACAGACTCTGAGCAAGTTCATGGCTTCTCTCCTGAAGCATAACAGACTGGTAGCCCCGGAAACGAGGGGCTGGTTTGTGCCCTGACTCAGTTACTCTCCACCTGTGAGACTTGGATCCTGCTCTGAGCCCTGTGTACTTTCATCTCCTCTTCTGTAAAAGGTGTAAGGAGACCTGAGGGCCTGGACGGCGGTGAGAATGACAGGACCTCCTGGTCCTGCTGGGCCCCGGTAGATGCCGGGAGCCCTGCTCCTCCCCTTTCTGCCCTCGTCCCTGGGGCCAGGCATCATCCTGGGCTCTGGGGCTCAGCTTCCTCCATCCCTGTGCCTCCACTCTGGCTGTCTGCCCAGCCTCTGCCCCTCCTCTTCATTGTTCACAATTGTGAACTGTGTCCAGGTGAGCACGGCCCTCAGTCTCAGAGCTCAGGCTCAGGGCCAGCCTTGAGGCACCAGCCCTGTTTTCACTCCCGTCTGCTGCCGGTCTGCCTCCCTGATACCTGGGGAGGGGGCCCTGTGACCTTGGCTGGTGACCTTGGGCTGCATGAGGGACGAACTACTTCTCAAGAGCACCTCGGCTTCCCTTTACAGGGTAAGCATATCTCTGAGAACCTTCTGACTTCACTGCCTGTCTGGTTGGACTCATTTGTGTGCCTGGAATTACATACCATGAGCTAGTGTGCTTAGAAGTGCAATGGATATAAAAACAAATCATCCTATTGGAAAGTGATTTTTGAATGCAATATCACGGCAGGGCATTTTGTTCTGCCCAAAGCCAATGACACTTTTGATGGGACAGGTCACTTCTCAAGCATGTCACCTTTGGCTGATGCTGAGGAAGTCTTCCCAGCCCCCAGGTATCCTCACGCACTCACTCACTTCTTTATGGTAAAGGCTTTTGCTTTGATCAAGTGTTCTTGCAGCTTCTCCATGTAAAGTTCTCGTCTGCTCTTCTGCTTGATGCTCACGACGCTGCTTCCTTTCTGGCTGCTGTTCCGGGTGCTTGTGCTGCCTGGAGACAAGAAGGAATCGAGACGCGCCGTGAGCTGTGCGTCTGTTGCCATAACTATCGTAGAAGCCCGCCACCCTCATAGCAGAGGGACAGTTGGAGGCTGGTTAGAGGGCGGGATGCACACGCGTCTGTAAGAACAGCGGTGGGGAACTTGGGATCTGCAGCCCCCACTCTGGTTCCAGAGCCAAAGGCATCCGTGGGCTTTTACACTCACTGCTGGCTCCTTCCTGGGTGGCTGTGGGACCTCTGTCCCAGAAAGAATTAGACTGGAGAGCAGTTTTTCTCCTGCTCGATGGGGTCCCAGGTTTTGGTTGTGGGTTTTCTAGTCTAGGTCCAGGACCATGCCTTTTTTCAGGACCAAATTTCTCTAACTGTAAAACCAATATGAGACGGCCTGCCAGTGTTGGCCAGAAAAAAGATGAATACAGAGGGTCTGGACAGCTTCAGACAGGAGCGCTGTCAACACAGAAGCGCAGTTACCCCAAGAGGGGCGACCGTAATGCACGTGTACTTTCCTGTCACTGGCTGTTTAGTAAGAAATTAGTAACTAGCCTAGGAAATAACTAGGTGGTTTGGCTTAAAGCTTCTATTGATTAAATCTAAGTGTACTTTCAAAATAAATCATGATGTACAGCACTCTGGGAACACCTGGCAGAATCTCTGGGTATGACTGACAACTCCCCTGTATCTGACACTCACTAGGTACAAGGCAGCTTGCTGGTCACTTTTCACCGACACCTGAAATCTTTGTCCTAGGTGGGGGTTGGGGAATTCAGACAGACACCCTAGACAGGGATGCGAGCACCCCAGGCCACACACACAGCTCAGCCAGGATTTGAACTTTGTCTGGTTACAAAGTACATTCATTTCACATCACAGTATCTGCTGCCTTGACAGCACCCAGCTCCCTCACCCCTGACCCCCTGGCACCAGGGAGTAACTCTGCTCAAGATTCCTTACAGTGACACTGCGCAGCAATACCTCTCTTGGACCTATTCGAGGAAAAGCTGGATCCCTGTGACGTCTGGGAGCCGCTGTTGGAGCGCTTCCTCCGGACGGCAGCCGGCTGCTCGGGAAAGGTCACATGCACCGACTCCACAGACGCAGCCAGGTTGATGGACTTGAGCGAGTCGGAGGAGGCCCTCCTGCCGTGGCCGAGGGACAGCTCATCATCCGAGTCCACTTTGTCCGAGCCGCTGTCCACGATGTCGTCTTCGTCCCAGAGGCCATGACACTGAGGAGGCAGGAAAGGGACAGCTTAGCCCGCTGTCCAGACAGAGGATGGGACTCGGCCCCATGACATCCAGGCCACCAGCGTGTACCTCAGGATAGGAAACCACACATCAAACAGGGCGAATGCAGCCAGCAACACTGCTTGACAGTGGAGACTGCTAGGAGAGCACAACCTAAGTGTTCCCACCAAATGCCGACCAATAGGCAGGTGAGGAAGTGGTGGATGTGTTAACTAACCAGACGGGGGTCTTTTCACCATATATACACTTATCAAATCACCATATATACACTTCTGATACCTTACAATTTCACTGGCCAATTATATATCAACAAAGGATCCTTTAGTTAAAGCTATGGTTTTTCCAGTAGTCATGTACAGATGTAAGAAGGCTGAGTGTCAAAGAATTGACACTTTCAAACTGTGTTGCTGGAAAAGACTCTTGAGGGTTCCTTGGACAGCAAGGAGATCAAACCAGTCAATCCTAAAGGAAATCAACTCTGAATATTCATCAGAAGGACTGATGCTGAATCTGAAACTCTAATACTTTGGTCACCTGATGGGAAGAGCCGACTCATTAGAAAAGACCCTGATGCTTGGAAAGATTGAGGGCAAGAAGAGAAGAAGGTGACAGATGAGATGGTTCGATGCCATCACTGACTCAATGGACATGAATCTGAGCAAACTCCAGGAGACAGTGAAGGACAGGGGAGCCTGGTGTGCTGTAGTCCACTGGGTCACAAAGAGTTGGACATGACTTAGCAACTGAGCAACAATACAGCAACAAAGCTGAAATTTTAAAAAAAAGATCAGAAAACCAAAGCAAGGTCAGGGATCCTAAGAAAGCTTATTATCTACCTATATGTACTTTTGCAAACTCACCACACCCCAGTGACTCAGGAAAGACCCCCTCAAGTGGAGGGTTAGGGACTGGCAATTTGCAAGGTGACAGAAGGCAGAGTGAAGATCTTGGCCACAGTCCACATAGTTAAAAGCCTGTGTGAAACAGCCTACCAAGTAGGATAGAGGTCGAACACACATTTACATGTATGTGTGTGTTGCAGCCTGGTGGAGCAGAAACCAGAACCTGTCCCATGACTCGAGGGTGTGGCAAACTGCGCCCTTGTGATTGTCCTGGTAAGCATGCTAAATGGACATTCTTGGGGTGGGATGTGCTCTCCGCTACACTGCCTACCCCTTCATCCGTCCCCATGAAAACAAAACAAGATGTTCCTGATCAAAGCCTTTGCTAATCAAACTCCCCAGTATAGCTATTCCCTAATGATCTCATGTGACTTTTGCCAATAAAAGTGTGGGCTGAAAGAAGCAAGAGGGCCCCCTGACTCCCCGCTTGCCAAAATACGTATGTGTTTGTCTTTTCATTACACGCTCACCCCCGTTTCAGGTCTTTCTCACCCGCTGTGCTGGACGTGGCACGTGTGTGCCTAACTTAGGCCAAGCTTGTTCTGAAAAGGAACTAACAAAGATACTACTTGATAAAATGAATGTAAGATATGTTATATCAATACAAGGAGACACAGTTAAAACAAGAGAAGGAAAGTGAGATTCTGACCATGGGCACATCAGTACATCCAAGGCGTGCTGTGTGACAATCTCTAACATGTAGACTTTAGTGGCGTATCACAAGTTCAGCTTATATTTCACAGTGTCTGAGACGAGAAACTCCACAGGTGCTCAGCAGGATGACAGGAGGTACAGATCCCAAGAAGGTTACTGTGCACACCCGTCTTCCCAGAGCAATGCAGGCATGGCTTTCTCAGAAGTGACCTCTCTGGGAGCACAACTTTGGATCCCCAGGCCCATGGATTGGACAATGTCTCACTAAACCAATGGTTTCAGAGCAAAAAACCATGAGAAAAGCAATGCTCCTAAAAGGGAGTGGGCTAAGGTTGGGCTGGAGAGGAGACCCCAAATTCTAGTTTCCCAATGATCTGCCTTCAACTCAGGCACAAGTTGATGGATCCAGCAGTAAGAACCACAGACCCTTTGGGCAATTCCCACAAACACGGGATAATCACGGTGCCTTCATCCCAGGGTGGGCTTCCCAGGTGGCGTTACTGGTAGAGAACCTGCCTGCCAATATAGAGATATAAGAGGTGTGGGTTCTTGGGTCAGGACGATCCCCTGGATGAGGGATTGGCAATCCACTGTAGTATTCTTGCCTGGAGAATCCCATGGACAGAGGAGCCTGGTGGGTTATAGGCCATAGGGTTGCAAAGAGTCTGACATGACTAAAGCAACTTAGCATGCACGCATGCATCCCAGAGTAGAAATAGGGGGAAATTTCACCCAACGGATCACAAACTCCATTATTGAGTACACAGTGTTGAGAAAATGAATGAAATGAATAAAACTGTTAACAAAGAAAACAAGAGCACACAGATAGACCTCACCCATGGCCCCCCAGCCCCTCATGATCCCAGCACCGGGTCCTCAGAAACATCCCAGAGGTAGCGGATGGGCAGTACCTTTAGGATGGAGCGGTGGAAGAAGAGTGCCAGCAGCTGGATGAGGTCGTAGAGCACGTAGGCGTCCTTCTTCTCCACCCCAATGATGTTGGGCGGGTGGTAAGGCTTGTCCTTGTTCAGTTCCACATTCTTATTCCAGGGGAAGAACCCAAACTGGAAGAAGTACTTGACCACAATGGCCACCTGCACAGATGTGAGAAATTAGAATAAATGACGCCCTTTAAGAGTAGCTCTAGATGAGGAACAGTGATACAAAAATTAAGGGAAAAAGTCTAGTTTTGGTGCTGGGAATGCACACAGCATGTGGAATAACGAATTCTCTTTCCACAGATACTGACTTCAGGACAAGCCCTGAACCACACCTCCAGGGCCTGTGACCACAGACACATCGGGGCCATGGAGGTTACTCCTGACTTGGCTCAAATGACTTCTGCTATTGTCAGGGAATGGGCTAGTTTCTGGGCTTCCCAAGTGGCACCAGTGATAAAGAACCCACTTGTCAATGCAGGAGAAATAAGAGATGTGGGTTTGATCCCTGGGTCGGGAAGGTCCCCTGGAGAAGGGATTGGCAACCCATTTCAGTATTCTTGCCTGGAGAATTCCATGGACAGAGGAGCCTAGAGGGTTACAGTCCATAATGTCGCAAAGTCAGACATGACTGAAGTGACTTAGCATGCATGCAAGGGCTAGTTTGTGCTGATTCAATTAGATACTTATACAAATATTCAGCTATTAAATGAGGTCATTAGGACAAACGTGAACAGCAGGATCTTTATTCTGCAAGTACAGCTTTAGTTTGTAATCTTTAGGAGAAAACTGCACAGATACTATAGACAATTTTCACTTTATTCTGCACTCTTTCCTCTCAGCATTTTATTGCTCACTGGAAGTTCTCCTCAAGAAGAAATAAAAGCGAATGAAACAAAACCTTGCCAGCCCAGGGTGTAAATGTGGAGATGTTTGTAGAGACTGACGCTGAAACACTCCTCCAATGTCTACATCATCAGGATTAATTGCATCCAGCTGTGTTTCAAGTGCTTACTGTGTTGTTTGATCCAATGTCCACTCACTGACCATGCACCAGCCCTGGCACCGTGCTCGTGTCTGCCTCATACTTACCGTCTTGCTGGTCAATATCACAGGGCAGACACCAGATCTCAAAAGCCTCCCCTACCACTCACCAGCTGGGTAAAGTGAAAGTGTTAATCGCTCAGCTGTGTCTGACTCTTTGCAACCCCATGGACTGTGGCCCCCCAGTCTCCTCTGTCCATGAGATTCTCCAGCCAAGAAAACTGGAGTGAGTAGCCATTTCCTTCTCCAGGCAATCTTCCCCAGCCAGGGATCAAACCTGGGTCTCGTGCATTGCAGGCAGATTCTTGACTGTCTGAGCCATCACAGAAGCCCATCTTGGGCCAATTATTTAATCTCATAAAGGCTGTTCCTTATTCCCTTTTTACAGAACGATATTAGCTCCTATGTTGTGTGACATGTGAGATGTGAAAAGACAACTATAGTTCTCAGCACCAACAACTGCTGGTTATAATCACGTGCTGACCTAAGACGATCCCTCTAACTGACTATGTGAAGCAGGGGTCAGGCAGGTCCACTGGAGGGACGCCTACCTCCGTGTAGACAATGGCCATCATCCAGAAGCGCCTGCTGGGCCGGGGGACAGACAGCATGGCCCAGAGGAAGATGAGGATAGGCAGCACGAGGGTGATCATGGAGGCGGAGACCATGTGGTTGAGGATGATGACAAAGTAGCACACCATCTCAGAGCGGGCCACCAGCGTGTTGTACAGCGCGTAGAAGAGCAGCAGGAAGCGTGGCTGCCCCACATAGAACTTCTCCGACTCCTCCAGCTCGTCGTCATGGAACATCCTGCCAGAATGCTGGCCTCAGCTCCTCCCGGGCACTGATTCCACGCGGTGAGACCCCGCCCACCCCTCCCTGCTGCCTGGGTCCCCAGGTGTCCTGTGCTGTCAACCTCCTGTCGTGTTACAGAGAGAGAGGTGAGCATGCATGTGGTTCTAAATGTCTGGGGAGACCTTTTCCAAGTGGTCTTTGCACCCAGCAGGCCAGTGAGCAGTAAGGGTCACTCTCAGCTCCATCGCTGTAGCCACAGCTCTTATTTGTTCAGCTCTTATTTGACAGCACTGGCTGTCAGCTCGTGGGTCAGGGGTGGCAGGATGCTGGCCTCCAGCCGGTCTGAGCGGCTGTCATCTGGGCTGACCTCCATGTGGGTCTGGCCGGCCGAGTCGTCCCGGGAGTCGAAGGACAGGCGCTCAAAGCTGACAGCCTTGCTGTACGATGGTGGGGCCTCCACATCGCCGTCCTCTGTGGGGTCCTGTGGGGACTCGGCCTCCCGGACCCCCTCGGGCACCTCCTCGTCCTGCTCAGCCTCCACTTCCTCGATGGTCTCCGTGGTCCCCTGGCGCGAGTACAGCATCGTGCACTGCGTGGGCTCGCTGTCAGGAGACACGGAGGGTGCCACCTGGCCTCAGCAACTCCCCCAGCCTCCCACGGCACCCACGGCCACGCACCCAGGCACGTGGGTGGGGGGATGCCTCCACACTTCCCACATTCCATCTGCTTTGTTCCTTCTGGATAATCATGTCTGGGTGCAGAGATGGGGGAAGGGTGCTGGGCGGCAGGTCCTGGGGTGCCAAACCCTCCTGTGTGTAGCTTTTCAGTCCCATCGATGTTCCTAGGCACAGGGCCCACTGTTTATTTCCAGTCAAGACACAGTGAGCACAGCGCACCTCCCAGAGCACAGATTGTAAAGAAAGGTGCCCAGGGAAAGGAGATGTCTCAGGTGGCTGGGTCCATAGGTCTTGGCCGAGATGCACTCTACTCTCAACAGAACCCAGACCCTTAAGGGGAGGCCCGGAATGGTGGACCATTGGCAAGATAAAGCCTGCTTCGTCCTTTATGCTGGCTCCTCCCTGCACTTCCATCCTGTGCCTTTTCTCACTGGTGCCTCTGACACCTGACTGGATGCTCACCATCATCCTTTTCCCGACTCCCCACCACCTGGCACGTGGAAGCCCCATCCACCACTCTCTGACCCAGGGTCTCTCCTGGGGCTGCACCCACCCTCCCCTCTGACTGCCCTCCTGCTCTCTCCTCCCAGTGGCTTTGCACTGCCAGCTCCTCTTCCAGCTTCATTTTCCAGGCGCCCCTCTTCCCTGGTCTTCGCTCTACTTCTGTGCCCTGTCTTCCTTTTGGCATCTCTCCTCTCCTTCTAACTCTCCCTGACGGGTTTGTGCAAGAAACACTGGAAGCGAAAGTACAGCAGCCACAGCTGTGAGATCAAGGCCTGCCAGCTATGCTGCGTACCTCAACACACCCGGCCCCGAAGAGAGGAGGGGAAAGTCACCTGGAGATGCTGGGTGTACGGGGTGTGCAGTGATCATCTGTTAGGCTCTGAGACGGTGCTGCTCCCCAAATGGCATGTGTGAGCAGCTGGGGTCATATCACTGAGATGCTCAAAGGTGCACACTGTACCCATTTCTCTTGCCATGGACACTGGTGCACACATATGAATGAATGAATGCATCTGGCTGAGCCCTGAGGCTAAAGAGCCAGACTTGCATGAGCTCTTGTTCCTAATTCGGGGGTGTTCAGGGCCCCAGGGCTTTGGCCCTACATGTGCCTACAGCACATTAGGCTCTCAGAATGCCAAGACAACGGCTTTTGGCTAAGACTTACCTTGATTAGACATGGCCATGAAACTGACTGGTCACCCAGTTTTCAGACCACTGGAGCCAGCCCCACAACAGGTTCTAACTTCCAGAGGGACCATAACCTATCACAGGCATGCTCTGTATGGGTTTTGATGAGGTCTGGCCCCAAAGGGATTCAGGTAAATCCTGGTACATTCAGGAATCAGCAGATTGTAATGGCATAGCATGTGCCCACCAGAGGACATCTTAAATGGCCGTGGCATTCTCTGAAACACTGGGTGCCAGCATCCTGCAGCTCTGAATGTGCATACGTACATAGCTGCTGGCAACAGTGACCTAACACTGCCTGACTTGACAACACTGCCCTTAGTTTCAGATTGGATTATTTGGGTGGTTGTTTGGTATCAGGATAAGCACAATACAGCTTGTGCTTCTGTGCTCCTGTTGACTTTTAAAAGAAGAGCTTTTGGATTTTAACCAAGTGATTTCATTTCTATGCATGATTATAGTTTTTATTGTGGGATTTAATGAGAAAACATAAGCCCAAAGTAATCTTTCCCAAACCAAACAAGTTAAAGTCTCCCAAAGTAATATACTCTACTGCATAATAATATTATTTTAAAAACAACAGTTGAATATATTCTAACTTTCATGTAGGTTGGGCATATAGCATGTGGACAGATTCATTCTGTATTGACCAAACGTGACTACATACAGGATTTGGGATTATCTTCTACTGTGTGGATCTTTGAACAAAATTATGAGAAAGTTTCCTTCTCTTCCTGATCCACTTCTCCCTGTGAGGACTGCCTACTGGCANTGGACATTGACTACCTGCCGGATTTTAGATAAATCCTTCCCCACTCTTCTGGGTCTCAGTCTCATCATTTATGAGATGGGGATCTGGATCTCTGAACTTCTGTATTGTTTCATATTTTCAGAGATGGATCCCCCAGCCTTTGGGGAGTTTGCAGCAGAAAGAGGCCGTGCACCCTGACCAGCCCGATTTTCTGTGTGGAATCAGTGCTCTGACCACAAAGTCCTATTTACCTTGTTAATTCTTGGGTGATTTCTGCCACCATGCAGCCTGCACTCAGACCCCACACTACTGGGTTATTTGCAGTGGATTAACTTGTCGTCCAAGCCAGGACAGTTTTAAAACTGAGAGGGAAGAGCAGGAGCTTTACGAAAACAGGTGACAAATCTAATTGATGTCCTCAGGTCACTTGGAGCTGTCCCAGGGGCACAGAGCACATATTCCAAATAATAAACACTGAATGTATCTAGGAATGCTCCTTGGAATGTCACCAATGTTTCCTAAAGGAACTTCAATTTATTTTCTGGGAAGGTAGAGGATATCTGATTTCATAAAACAACCATTTTTTTTACATCTGGATTTGAAGGAAATCATGACTGTTCCAATAAGTCAAAAGGAACATAAGCACATTTGTTAGGTTCCTACCCCAACCCCCTCTACTGTCTGCTGAAGGGAAAAGTGGGTGAGATGGGGCAGGTGGGACAACTCCTTGCAAGCTGGGTCCTTAACGGGCTGGGCTACATAGAGCATGTGGGTCCCCGTGTCCCTGTTGGGGGTGATGCTACCTGCCCCAGGGCACCTGTGTGGTGGCGGCAAATGTCCACACTGGGTCCCTCCCAGAGAAGACCACTGCCTCATGAGAAATCAGTGTGGCTCCTTTGGACTCTATTGCAGACACACAATTGTTGGGAGATTTGAAAGTTTCCTAAACAAAAAAAAGTGGAAGTTCTCCTTGGCCTTTAAGAAGAGGGCAAATATGTTCACTCACTTACTAAGGGCATAAATGACCTATATGGAGTCTCCCTTTTCTTTACGTTACAAATAATGAATAAAAGGACATTAAAAATAATTATAAAGGTATTGGTTTTCTATTAATAAATTTATCAATGGATTGACCATTTAAAAATGCTGGAATATTTTGACAGTCTTTATTAAAAGGCAACCAATGAATTTTAATATCCCCCACCTCACAGCTTTTGACTATGGGTGCAGATTTGTTAACTTGGATCAGATTTAAAGGCAGTTACTTGATTTTTAGCCAGTCTTTGTTTTCTTTTTCTTCTTCTCCCTCCTAAAGTTGTGGTTTACAATATTTAGTTACTTTCTAACTAAATGTGACTAAATGTCAGTGACCACACTGACCATATTATCAGTTGTTACACGGCTGAAAGTTACTAATATAGGAACCATGTTTATTTTATGAACAACCGATTTTCAGTTCACTTTCTAATTTTCCATTTGATTCATTGGGTTCAGAGTTTGGTTCTGGAGCCACTATTCTTAAGCCAGGCTCATGCATAATATTCAGGAAGGCTGGGAAATGCCTGAAGTTCTATGCAAAAAAATGCATAATTATGTGTGATCTTTCATAAGAAGTTCATGTCCCTGTCAATTGGGGATGATAACAGTACATCTCAAGGAGTCTGTTATGGAAGTGAGGAAACCCACACACATTGCAGCCCCAGGGAAGGGTCAGTGCAGGGGCCTGTGTGAAGCAGGGGTGTGACCACACAACTCGGAAGGTGAGGCCCAAAGAACCACTTCTCAAATTTTTACGATTCTGAATCATAAAGTAAAACTTCTGAAAGAAGAAGATGGAGAGCAACAGGTGGCAAAAGACTCTAGAATAGAAGAAACTTTGTGGAACAGCATTTTAAAGGCACTGAAGATGCAGTTCTTGATACAATTACTCATTTTATGTCAGGAGGCTCCTCTGACTTTAACTCCAGCTTGGAAATCCCAGTCCTGGGCCTGGCAGTCATATGGGTCTTTCTAATAATTTATCACTGATATCGGCTTCTCTCTGCTCGGACCAGGGGCAGCAATGCTCTGCTGGGCCATGCCCACGGAGACAACCCAGAGTGGCTGGGCACCCCCAAGGTTCTGATTAGCCTGCACCTCTCCCATCAACTCTCACCTCTGTCATCCCTGTGGAAAGCAGCACCACTGTGGAGCACGGGACATACCTGGAGATGCTGTCGTGGGAATCCAAGCTGTCCATCCTGTGGGCCGTCTGTGCGCCTGCAGCAGGGCCAGCATGGTCGTCGATGGTGTCCAGTCCTGACTCCCTGGACAGGTTCATGATGTGGTTCTGGTAGTACATGTGGATGCTCTCCCGGGTCGGGACGTTGCCCTGTGGAGAGGGAGATATGTCACAGCCCTGTGCAGACATCAGTGTTTCTCAGTGTGGACAACCCTCCGCCATCACACACACCTCCAGCAGGATGAAAAGCCAAGTTAGTCAAGCTGAGGATTGATGTCAACTCACTGAATTAATGGTGCTGGATGTTACTGGGTTATGCTGAACAGGAAACCCTTCCTAGTTTAAGGCTGAAGATGGTCAAATGTACAAACTTGCAGTTATGAAATAAATAAATCATGGGAATGCAATGGTGACTAGAGTTAATGATACTGTATTGTGTGTTGAAAAGTTATTAAAAGAAGAGATCTTCAAAGTCTTCTTCACAAGAAAAAAATTTAGAACAGGTGCAGTGAGGGAGGTTAACTAGATCTACTGTGGTTATCACTTTACAATACACATAAATACTAAGTTATTATGTTGTAAGCTTGAAATGAATAAAATGGTATATGCCACCTACATCTCAAAAAACAAAATTAAAAAGAAATCCCTTCTTTTTATTATGTAGATAATAATGTAGATAATTTTGTAGATAATATTGTAATAATTATGTAGATAATTTTGCCAAGTGAGAGTAACCTTTCCAGCTGTGAACTATTTTTTTCAAATGTAATCTATAAACCATCTATGGCTATGTTTTGTCTCGGTCGCTCAGTCATGTCCAACTCTTTGCCACCCCATGGACTGTAGCCTGTCAGGCTCTTCTGTCCATGGGATTTCCCAGGCAAGAATATTGGAGTGGGTTGCCATTCCCTTCTCCAAGGGATCTTCCAGACCCAGGGATTGAACATGGGTCTCCTGCATTGCAGGCAGGTCCTTTACCATCTAAGCCTCCAGACGTGTATATTCCTTATTTTCCCTGTGAGAAATTTCAGGTCAAACTTCCCAGACTAAAGCACATGATCCTTTATGAGACACAACAAAGCCAGTGCAGCTGGGAACCGTGGTAATGAGAGGGGACAGAGTGAACATGCTGGCCAAGATCCCAGGACTGTGAGGGTGAGGGTGTGTGTGTGTATGCGCGTGCGCACGGACTGTGTATATTTTCATTCTGAGCATGGAACAGACTGAAATACACCAAAAAACCAGAGGGGTTATGCAAAGACTGGAGAGGAAGGATTTTGTCTGAGCTTCCATGGAGGTCTGGACCCTGGCTTTCAGAACCTTTGTGACTCGGGCAGAAGTGAAGCAGGGTCACGAGCAGGGCTACCTTCTTGATCTCTCTGGTGAGCATGCAGCGCTCGATCCTCAGGACGGTGGAGATGTCGATGTGCTCCCTGGAGATGGAGTTGAGCCACGTTGTGAAACTGTCCACGGTTGCCAGAAACAGGACCCAGGTGAACTTCAAAATATTAAAGATCCTTTTGATGATGTTGTCTAGGAGGAAGAAGAGAACCTGATTTAAACGGACATCATGCCCTCAGTTGTGGTGCTGTGTGTGAAGCAGTGGTGTTTTACCAAAGACAGCCCTGTCTGGTTTTGTCCTTGACCCCGACATGGAGAGACAGGGCCGTGGTGGAGGAGCGTGTGCACAGGAATGGAAATGGTGGGCAGGGTTTTCCATACCTGCAGTGGCAGCTCCCAAACCAAACTCAGATATAATTGTTAACCTTTGGTCAAAGCTTCAGTCGAAACAGGTCCATATAGAGATAGATACCAGGTGTGATTAGAAGTACAGTCTGCACTCAAGGGTATTTGCTACTGGCCAGAAACAGTCTGTATCTAGCCAAGAAATTGGTTCCATTAATGCTTTTCTCTTTCTATTGGTTCTGTTGGTTCAGTAAGACTCTGTTTCCCACTGCAGCTGAATTGTAGTTGAACACCTTTCAAAGGTATTTTGTACAGAATTCAGTCCACACACTAAGACTCTATCCAAACCCCTGAATCATCTTTCTCATATGTATTTCATGACACCAAGCTGTGCTAACTATAAAATATTGCCTATGTGGTCAGTCCTCACCAAACCATAGGAGCCCTGAGATGCCCACTGACCCTTGGCCACCTCCCTCCTCTTGGCTGTGACTGGGACCCGCCTAGGGAGCTGTGTGTCACTAGCTCACCTCCGATGCTCATCTCTCTCCCCAAGTGGTCATGTAGATTTGGGAAAGTTAGCTAGTTTTTCTCTGCCTTGGTTTTTTCTCTGTCAAGTGGGGAAGAGGGTTTTGAGGGCGTTGAACAAGCTAATATGTGTAAAGCTTATGGTGAAGGAGACGAGCTACTTGAAGCGTGGGGCACTGTTACCAGGAAAAGGTTTGCAGGAATAACAGGGTGTTGCCCCACAGACAGCAAGCTGATTGTCTGGACGTGGAGGCCCGCTTCAAGGACCGTGCCTCCAATGGCTTGGAGAGCCTTTGGGAAGTCTCGTTTTCTGTCAGTAGATGGCATCCATGGATGTATTTGTGTCCAGCACGAAAGAGCCTGAACACCTTGCCTGTGGGTAAGTGGTGCACCCAGGACTGCCAGCCCCAGGGGAGAGGAAGCCATGTGTCTGTGGGGCCAGAGAGGCATGTGGGTTCACTGTGTTCAGAGGCTTTTGTTTCTCCTTTTTTTTTTTTTTTCCTGATGGAGAAATCTTCCCCCCAGTCTCGGGTTCTGTGAAGCCCACGTGGCACTGGGCCTGGGCTGGGGCTCAGAAGATGTGAGCTCTATCCCTGACTGTGTGGAGTCCTGAGCAAATGCACTGGGATTCAGGTTTCTTCCCTAAAAGGAGGAGTCAGCCCAAGCCCTGGAGGCTGCTCATTTCCCAGCGTACTTACCTCTCACGCGTGCTCAGTCGCTTCAGTCATGTACAACTCTGGGCAACCCTGTGGACTGTAGCCTGCAGGCTCCTCTGTTCATGGGATTTTCCAGGCAAGAATACTGGAGTGGGTTGCCATTTCCTCCTCCAGGGGATCTTCCCCACCCAGGGATCGAAACTATCTCTCACTTCACTCCTTTTCCATGCCTTCTAAATGCCAAAATTTTTTTGTGCCTCCATGCTGATGGTTTTGGAGAAGGCCATGGTACCCTACTCCAGCACTCTTGCCTGGAAAATCCCATGGAAGGAGGAGCCTGGTGGGCTGCAGTTCATGGGGTCATGAAGAGTCGGAGACGACTGAGCGACTTCACTTTCACTTATCACTTTCACGTATTGGAGAAGGAAATGGCAACCCACTCCAGTGTTCTTGCCTGGAGAATCCCAGGGACGGGGGAGCCTGGTGGGCTGCCATCTATGGGGTCACACAGAATTGGACACGACTGAAGTGACTTAGCAGCAGCAGCAGCTAATGGTTTCCCTGGGACTTTTATAATTTGTTCCCAACTCCCTTTCATAGGCGTTTAGGTAAAGGACTTTACACATGGACTCTAATCCGACATCTCATCCCACAATGCAAAGGTAGGTCTGACTTTCAGAGTCTCTTTGCAATTTCACTAGAGACGCGATTTCAAGGGATGCCGATGATTGAGTCACAGTCCAGAAACAGGATTTAATTCACTGTTTCCAGGCAGCCTTCCTCCCACACCATCTGGGCAAGAAACATCCTCCCACTCCCAGCCCCCACCCCCACCTCCCCTGCTGATGGGCATCTTCACTTTGTTACCTGGTCCATCAGACTTCTTTTTGACTGGCTCATCCTCCCGGTCTTCCCACTCCACAGGACCTGCCAAGAGTGTTCAAGGAACATGAGGTAAATTAACGCCTATGCTACACTTCTGGACTGAGAGGAATTTTATAATGAAATCTGGGACGTTCCGCCTATTTGATGAGCTCCGAGGGAAGAGTTGTCAGAATTCTGAGCTTTCAGATTCTCCTCACTTGACTTCAGAATGAGTATCATGGAGTTGGGGATGGTAAACCAAATTGTTTGGCCAAATCTTTCCTGTTTCCTGTTGTTTAATGGCCTGTGAGTTGAGAGTAGTTTTTATATTTTCAATAGTCAAAAAAGTCTGAGAAGAAGAATATTTTATGCATATGAAAATTATATAAAATTCAAATTTTGGTGGAACATAGCCATGCCCACTTGGGGACCTACCATCTGAATCTACTCCAAGAAGGCAGGGTGAGTTGCAGCAGGAATTTACAGTGCAAAGCTTAAATATTTACTATCCAGCCCTTTATAGAAAAAGTGTGATGACTGCTGTTATATACTACGAAGTTGTAATTTTGAACACCTTGAGGATCAAAATACAGAGCCCAGAAACATACTTAAGAATAAATGGGAGATTAACACTGTCAAAAGGAACATTTAAATTAATAGAAAAAGAAAGATTCATTTACCAAACAAGCTTAGCATAATAGATCTCTACCTCAAAGGATAATACGAATTCAAAAGGACAAAACAAATTTAAAAGGTAAATAAGAGGAAATACAAAAAAACATATGCATAACATCTGGGGGGAAGACTTTCTTAAGCAAGATGAAAATACAGAAACTGCAAAAAAAAACCAGACCAAAAAAAAGAAAAAAGAAACCAGACCTACTTGACATCAGAAAAATATTAAACATTGCTTAGAAAACATACACCATGAACTAAAAGATAAGCACTGGGTTGGAAAAAAAAGATACTTGCAACACATAAAAATGGATAATATTCCTAACATAAATATCTCCTAGATTAATAAAGACAATCCAATAGAATATTATGAAATGTGATAAAAAATGTTTAAATCTTGGATTTGAAAAGTAAAATTTATTTACTTTTGTATTTAAATTTTTTCATTTTAATATTTACCAAGAAAATATGAAATAAAAATGTTCAACCTTATTAGTTCCATTAGTCCATGGAATTCTCCAGGCAAGAATACTGGAGTGGGTTGCCATTTCCTTCTCCAGGGGATCTTCCTGTCCCAGGGATCGAACTCAGGTCTCCTGCATTGCAGGCAGATTCTTTACCATCTGAGCCATCAAGGAACACCTCCCCCCCAAAACCAAGAAAATATGAAAAAAAATATTCAACCTTATTAGTTAGGAAAATTCAAATGAAAATGAAAGCCGTTTGTCATCCTTGAGAAAGACACACGAAAAAATAACAGCCCATAGGACAAGGCTCCAGGGAAACAGACATTCCTATGCCTCATACAGAGGAGCTTAAATTTCTAAAACCTCTTGGGAAAATATTTATTAAAGTAAAACAAAGAAGCACCCACTTTAACCCAGAAATTCCACTTCTGATCATCTATTTTGGGGAAAGTGTGTGTTCATCCTGCTTTTGCCATGCATTTAAACACATACACACACATGACTACATATGAATTTTTGTGTGAGGAAATCCATGATAGTGTTATTTATTGTGGCAAAAATTTGGAAGCAAACCTTATATCCATTAGTGATGGAGGAGTTGGATAAATTATGCATATCCATATTACAGAATATTTTTCAGCTATTAAAAAAGGATGATATAGTTTTATAAATACTTAATTGAAGAAGTGTTCATGATATATTGCTAATGAATGTACAGGAGAATCTGTGTAGCATGGACTCATTTTTGAATCAAAGGAAACAGTACCTGCCCACAGGTATGTATACCCGGGAAAGGGGTTGAAGAGAATACAACCCCTGCAAAGATTTGGTGCCTTAGGGTAGCTTTCCAGGCTATACTGCATCTGCTTCCTTACTGCTTGACTTGCTACATCCTCAGTGTCTTATTTTGCCTTTTTAAACCAGTCAAGTAAAATAAAATGAAAGCTACAGGAGGTAGCAGGGAGAATGGTCAAAAAAGAGAATGGCTTTGCAATTAGAGCTCCATTAGAAGTTATGTTTTCCTTTTCTTTTCTTGTTTGAATACATTTTTAATTTCATAAAGAATCAATATACACATTTCCTTTGTAAAGAATTAAAATATAACAAGCCTGAATTTTCCTTTAATCCTACTCCTTACTCTCAGCCTCCCCACCTCTTCTGCCAGAAGTCACCACAGCAATTAACTGGCTAAGTTTCCTTCCCAATCTTTTCCTTGTGCATTTATACACGATTACATGCATCCATTAAAAATGCAAAACATTGTCTGGAGGCACTTTGGTTTCCTTCATTTCGTAAGTGGTTTCATAATGTGCATGCCAGTTTGCAACAAATGCTTTTCACTTAACAGTATGTCAGGAATTGTTCTCCATGTCAGTTTAAAGTAATTCATTTTGCTTTTTAAACTACTAAATAGTATGTTGTAATATACTGGTCACACAATTTACTTGGTTCTTCTTTATGTGGGCATTTAGGACATTTCCAAATTTTCATTAGTGATAATAATGTTTGATGAATATTCTTAGACACATGTGCTTGTGAACATGAAAAAAGTAAAAGTCGCTCAGTCGTGTCCAACTCTTTGTGACCCCAGGGACTGTAGCCCACCAGGGTCCACTGTCCATGGAATTCTCCAGGCAAGAATACTGGAGTGGGTAGCCGTTCCCTTCTCCAGGGGATCTTCCCAACCCAGGGATCAAACCCACATCTCCCGCGTTGCAGGCAGATTCTTTATCATCTGAGCCACCAGGGAAGCCCCACTTGACTTGGTACCTCTCTAGATACAGACGGCCCCCTTTCTTCAATCACATATCACCACCCAGTCTGAGCTCCAAACTTCGGGCTTCCAGTGTCAGCAGAGAGAAGGCACTCAGTATGTATTTGNTTTTTATTAGTTGGAGGCTAATTACTTTACATCATTACAGTAGTTTTTGTTATACATTGAAATGAATTAGCCATGGATTTACATGTATTCCCCATCCCAGTCCCCCCTCCCATTGATCAAATTTCTAAAGGTTCATCTTTCTTATTTTCCAAGAACAGCTTTTCACTTAATGGTCAGGTCGTCTTCTATTTCTTTTCAATGACTTAATATCCACCTAAAAATGATTATTTTGCTACCACTTTCTTTGGGTTTATTTTGCTTCTATCTCTCTTTCCATTTTATAAAATGTACCTCAACTTAAATTCATGTTTTAATTTATTCCAAGACCTGAGAAATTAAGGGCAAGTAAAAGTCTTTGTGCTCTTTAGACATTAAAAATTTCATTCCACCCAAGCTTGTTCCCTGTCCGCTGCCTGTCAGCTGCAGCCCTCTCCATCACTCACCCTCCCCAGATTCTTTTCTTCTTCTTTTCTGTTCTTCTCTTGCAGATCTTTTTTTCTCTTTGCGCCTCTGTCGGAGTGCTGTTTTAGGGTCAGTAATCCAGGCTTGATAAACAAACTGAAGGGAGAAAGTTTCATTATTTTCTGAATTTTTAATAAATTGAATTAAAGAAAAAAGGACCAACACCAAGTTTCCTGACTTTCAGAAATATATATTTTTTTGTCTCAACATGAATATTAAACCTCCCTTTCTCACATCTCGCAATATACTGAGCTGACCAGTGCTCACTGGCCATGAAATAAAATGTGAAAATAGATGTTGTAGGCATGTATTTTGTTCAGTACCAGGCAATCATGAAGTTCTCTGGAATCACGAACACCTACTTCTCCCCCATCCCCCTATCCTACTACATCTCTGACACTTAGCTCCTGATTCCCTCGTGTGACACACACTAAGCATAAGCTAGAAGCCTGGCTAAGTGTCATTCATTTTCTCCCGACACAAATAAAGTTTCAGTCAAGACCGAAACATCTTTTGTTCATTTACTTTGGGAAATTACTTTTGCATGTTTGTTACTCTCTCTTCTGAGTAACAACTATTACCAACAACTTGAGAAAGAGCTTTGTAGATTGATCAGTATTTGGAGAGGAAAGATAACGTGCTGTGAAGGTTAAGAGGTTATTCCAGAATGGGATGGAAGGAGAACAGGGGAACTTTAGGTTGCCTTCTGTCATTCGTTCAAGAGCTGAAAATAGTTGCATTAATACATGACAACCAATAACCACAACAGAGCAATTTTGAATATCCCACCCTCCAACAGTGTCCCAAGTCATGCAGAAGGAACAGAAAGAAAACCCTGAAATGCAAAGGCAGCCATCCACAACCATGAAGCCGGGAAGCATGCTCAACGTGCACCCACGAACACACCTGGTCTCAGGGAAGCTGGGTTTCTATCATGAAGATAAAGGAACAGGGCCTCTTGTAAACCCCAACACTTTGATTTTATTCTATATTACTTTCAGATTTCTGAAATCCTTGAAAAACACAATGTAAACAAACCACTGGCATTGTAGAAGTAAAGGGGTTCAACTTTTCCATCCATGGAAGTGTAAAGGTTGTGGGTTACTAGGTTACAGAGCATTTCCTCACAGGTAGAAATCTGAATCTTATGGGCAATTCACACACATACAAGATCTGTATTATTTCTGAATAATAAACCCAGGAGGCAAAAAAGTCATCCCAGTTTATGCCAGAAATATATTTTGAAAAGTAAAAGTGAATTGCAATTTGAAGAAGAAGCACCAGAAAAAGGAATTTATGGTTGATGTTTATTGAGTATGTTAACTGGAAATTCTATTAAGAATATCTCTGAGGTTTAGGTCGTTAATAGGCAAACTTGCTTCAGCAAGATATTGATTCTTTAAAAGAATCTGAACTGCTAAATGAAAGGAATTTTCAGGCTTAAGAAATACATACTGTGACATTTCCTTAAAATGGTGTTATTACAATATTGCTTTTGGATAATGCAAAAATGCCAAAGTGGAAAATGAGAAAGTGATTCAGGATTTGTGAGTGTACTAGGCGCACACTCTTTTGCTCTGAAGAAAAATGAAGCCCCTGGGAGACGAGAGAGGGGAGGGCAGAACAGGGGAGGGTTTAGGACAGTATTGAAGGTATCTTGTAGAAAGGGCTCTGGCCACACAGATAATGCCTCATTAAAATGGTGTTCCTGGTTCTACACGTGGTCCTTCATGATTGATCCTGCTGGTGTTTCCTCGCTGAGATGAGTGTTTGAAGAAAGGAGGGAAGGGGAGGATCTTAGGACAAGTCCTCATTTGTAGGAAAATGATTTTCATGTCCATGTTTCAAAGTACAAATATTTTACAGCTCCAGGAACATTGGACCGAGGATCAGACCAACTATTTCTGGGAAAAGTTGATGATGAAGGAGGAAGAGGAAGCATCTTGATTCTTACTGAGCTAAGACACAAAATTAAGCTTCTTTCTGCAATGTCTCAATTCTGAAGTCTCAGTGGTAACTACCACCCAGTGTCACGGGTATCTCTGGAGAACAGACAGATGAAGAACTAATCTTGTGTAAAAAAACACACGAAAATGTGCATAAATGACATCAACTTCTCCATCTGCTGCTGCCACTAGCCTGTACCCAACTTCGTCTCAGAGTCCACCCTCACTGATTTCATCTTAAATGTTAGTGAAATGGTATTCCTTTTACTGAAAACTTTTTACGCAAAAAGCATTTGCTTTTTGAAACAGGAGAGGACTTTATTGAAGTGGAGACCTTTAACCGAAGCCGGTTAAGTTTTCTAAAATGCTTTTTAATCCAGTTGTGATCCAGAACCTTATGTTGTTGGTAAGAAGATATTTCTTAAACTAAGATGAGGGATAAGCACATTGTAATCTTTCATATAAATTCTTAAACGTGAATGGAAAGACACATAAGGCAGTCATAAAAGGGGAAAAGAAAAGAAACCCAAGGAAGTAGCAACAGGGAATATTAAACTAGAACTCAGAATTCTGGCATTTTAAAAAGGGAAGAAGCCCAGGGGTCTAGACCCTGCTACGCTAGGCAGAGCGACTTTTAGGCTTCACCTGAGAGCTTGAGAAAAATCTAGAATTTCAGGTCCCTCTGGACCTGATGAATTTAAATAACCTGCATTTAAATAAGACCCCCAAGTGAAACGTGAGAAGCAATGGTTTCCCTCACTAGCCACATCCTTGTGGAGCATTTTACTAGTGTAAGTGTATGCTCCAATTTAAGGCAGGAGAAGTGGCTTTCTACAAAGCACAAGAGTAGTGAGTCACTATTTATGATTTCCAATAATGAAATGACCACAGCAGAGGTGGTTAGATACTTTGTGTTGTGTGTTGGATGAATTAACAAATAACTGTAGCAGTTCATTCAGTAGTGTTTCTGATGATGTGGACCATGGAGGCTGGGTGGACCATCCACAGCAGCTTGGCCAGTGAAGAGAGACACTGAACTCAGGCAGAAGATGCCAGAAGAGTCCAATTTAGGAAGATGGAGGCTTAACAGGGAGCCTGAAAGGAGACGGAGCAAAACGAGTCATTTTTTCCTGTTTGTAATTTTGCCAGCTTTCTGAGAAACTGGTCATGTTTTGACACATCATATCTGATGCATGCAACCAGACATGACTCTTTTAACATGAGACGTGACTTAGGCAGAACTACAAGAAGATTTGTATCTGCATTTTCTCTTTCTATTTTTTAATCAGCTCTGAGGCCGATTGAAAAACAAGAATCACCATAATAAGGAATTTGGCTTCTCAGAACGATTTTTGGAAAAGTCTGCCCAATATTTTAAATTCTTCTCATTCCTTCATCGTAAGATGTATAGAACAGGGAAAACGCAGATGTGGGCAGCGGGGGTCTGCCCATCTAAAGGTCTACGGAGCGGAGGGCCACACACCACACATCAGTAAAATGTCAAATACCTTTGCAGCTCTGATTAAATACTGAAGAATAGTTTTGGGAAGTTTAATGATAGACTTTGGCAAGGCTAAAATGGCTGATGCAAACTTCCCAATAGCTCTCTACAAAGAAGGACAAAGCAAGAGTAATTAGTAGAAAAAAAAAACAAAAACTGATCACTTAATACAAGACATCAGTATGAGTTTGGCTCTACAATTATACCGACTGGGTTAAAACGTGCTCATCGCTGAATGTGGAACAAAACGTGCCCTGCTTGTAGGTTAGGAATAAAGAAAATTATTTATCATTCATGTAATCTGTAAAAATGGTGAAGACGACCCGCTCTCTCCTCTGCTGCCTGATGAGTGAGGATTAGAAGGAAACTCAAAATAAAAATAAACAAGTCATTAGTGTTGGGCAAGCCAGCTGCACACATGCACACGCTGTCATCAAGAAACACACGCGGGCAGCAATAGGGCAAGTGACAGGGCATCATTAGAGCAAAGTGTCCCCGCGAACAATTTAGTTCTTCACTTTTACTAGGAAGACAGGGCGGAGGTAAGCTGCCAGCTTGGGAAGACCTGGCCAGCAAGTGGACACTGGCCTCGTGAACACATCATGAGACTGGCCCGATGTCCATCTGTGTGCCTTGTAGTCTAACAATGGGGAAAGAACAGTCCCATGTCTGCTACCTTGTAACGGAAATCTACCGAGTTTTCATCCCATATGTAACTCTACTGACAAACCCACATCTTTAACGAACACTGACGATACAATTGCTGGATACATGCTACTAGGCTGGTGACTCATGTCACCGAGAACGATACGGCAGGTTCTGAAAAAGAGAGGCAGTTAAGCTGAGAACATCAAAACTGGGCTGGAGGTTTTTATGATTTCAATACAGTCTAAAATCTTTAGAAGTACCAAGGGAATTGATTTTCAAATTTCAAAATGACTGTTTTCAAAACAAAGCGAGGATTTTATTTTCATGGTCAGCTATTTCACCTATGTAACTAGAAGTCCACTCAAGTGATCCAAAGCTTGAAACGAAGTACACACCCAGGGCAGCTTTAATTTTGTTTAGAGCATTAGAAATTTTTTTATGCAAATGAACAGCTGGCTGGACCATTGCCCTTGCGGGAATTCTGGCAGTAACAATTGCAATGCTGACAGCAAGCAGCAGGACAGGACAGTCAGAACCACGCGACTTCAGATGTGAACTAGAACCTCTGGGAGCTACCATGCATGAACACGGCAGAGGAAGTCGAGGCCTGTGGTCAAGGTCTGTCAGAAAGAAAACCTCTTCAACCAACCAAGGCTGTGATGTCCTTATCCCCATAGTTACCTGGAAAGCTGACCTCCGGGGGGGCTCTTCATCTTCCTTTTTTAATTCTTCCTCTTCCTCCTCTTCACTATCCGTTTCAAACAAATAGTAATCTCCACTCCTGACCACTAAGTAAAACAAAATAGGTACTTATTTCTTGGAAGAAATATGAGACAGTTTGGGGTGTATTTATGAGATGCCCCCCAAAGACACATAAATTGACCCTCAAAGGCCATCGGTGGGGAGGAGGACACAGGAGATGAGGAGACCTCACTCTGGGCTGAGCTACATGGTCTGTGGAGCACCAGGCCTCGTCCAGGCCATGGAGGGGACCTGGCCACTGCTGGGTTCATCTGGCATTTTCTTCCTTCTTCACAGGAAATTGTACACGGATGCACCAGATCAAGCCTGCAGCAACCAGTTCTGTTACCAAGATGGCCCAGAGGACTGAAAACTATCATCATGTCACAGTTCAGCACTTTGGGACCTCAGACAAGGTCAAAGTGAAGCGGAAGCTTCAGCATTGTCTGAATAGGTACAAATTGCTATGGCAAAGCTAATCCGGATGATTTGGAACCAGGAGTCACGTGTCACCACCTTCTGCTTCACTTTATACTGTGCAGACACAGGCCATAACACAGGCCACAAGACATTTGAAAAAAAGTGTTTTTTTTTTAATCACACATTATCATGAGGAGGAAATGGGCAAATAACATAAAAAGAAAAGAAAAGAAAAAAAGGCACAATCACAAAAACATCACCACCACACTCTGGCTGTTTCTACTCATAGGCTAGGACAGAAGGAGCCAGGTGGACATGATCCATACAGTTTAGCACTGTTAGGCTTCTGGTCAAGAAGAAGCCCCCCAGTTGCTTACTGAAATTTGAGGAGAACTGTACTGACCACAGGACACAGAGCACAAACCGTATGGATGGTCCTTGCCCGGCATTTTCCTTGCAAAGACATATTGTGTCTTAAGCACGGAGGCAGTCTAGAGAGCTGAAATGTTCAGAGAGCTCAAGAAGTTTGAGAATGGAATCTTTATCAGTTTGATGACTATTTTATCAGAGAAAAGAGACCCAGCATGTGCATTTCTGATGCTATAAGAACTGTACTGTCACTGCAGGAAAACATATGCATATTTTCAAGTTATATTAGAATTTTCAAATGCTGAGGTGTCTTTTGGATGACATCATGTGATGTCTTTAGGTATCTTCTGGACTTATTCATTGTAAGGTCACAGGAAACCTTGGCTTGCTGAAAATTAGTTGCTATCACTAAACATGATAGTGAGTAATTTTGCCCATGTTTTCAGACATATCTGAAACCTTCATCCATGAAGATGCAGAATGAATGAATTGGGCCTTATATCCTTGAACAGAAGCACTGTAATTTGTTATGTTTATTTTGAAGAAGGAACCAGGCCCAGAGGACTGGTCCCAGGCCTGAGGAAATAAATGCAATTCAACATAAGGTAAGAATAAGCAAGAACGAACCAAAGTCACAGCATTACATTGGACCGAGATGGAGACCATGAAAGTAATGCTTCAGATAAGCTCAGAGATTTACTGGAAAGTCACACGGACTTGACGTCACGTGGTCATTTGGTAAACACCGAGATTTTCAGGACTGAACATTTTACCCTCATTATTGGTAATGATAGCTTCAACTGTATTCAATCATACCTTCGAGAACTTTTGTTCACGTGGCCACTGAAGTCAGTTTTCATCACGAGCAGTCGTACATTGATTTTTATTCTTTGAAAGATGCTGCCAATTTGTATGCGACATGTGCCATTAACACATTAAAAATGGAAAAAAAATGTTTTAAAAGTCTCCTATTCCTTTATAAATTGTTATTGAAATGAAACTCAGAATTAGATAATATTTCCTGAAGTTCTATCTGCTAATAATAAGTAGAGAAGCTCTTATATTTATGTTTGTGAGTTCTGATAGGGGTCCTGCCTCCAGCCTGGGTCCGTGTATGTACCATGGACACTGATGCTGACAGCTTGCTTTTAAAATCCCACCACCTGTAACACCAGGGACTTGGTCCTGTATTTCAGATATTTGACAACAAAGTGAGGCTTGTCACTGATTCTGCTGTACAGAACTGATGTGGAAACAAGCGCGTCTCACTAGCATGGAAGGTATCATTGAACAGCAATGATGCAATGGTCTGTGTGCACATAGACATGGAACTGGGAGGATGTCACCTACAGAACATGTTAAGAGTGCAGATGCTCACCAATAATGTGAACAACATAGCAACATTATTGTAACATCACTAAGTTTGCAAAGGGTATTTCAAAGACACTTATTCTTACACTTGGCACCTCTAAGACATATTTAAAAGCCCAATGACTCAAGAGATCGGAAAACAGGCTTTCAATAAAGTGCTTCCAAATCTAAAGATAGGTTTTGGAACTCGTCATTGTCTACAAAATAAGCCACACATCAATTCCTTTCCTTTCCTCCCCAGCTTGTAAAAAGAAATATCTGATTCCAAACTATGAATGACACACACCCCGGCATCATTGCACTGGAAGTTTTATAACGAGGCACAGGTATTGTAATCCCAGCCTTCAAGAACTTGATATAATGAGGGTGAAATGAATCAGAAACTCTAAAGTCAACAACATTCAGAGGAAGTTCTTTCAAGGATAACCAACTCATCAGGTGGTGATCGAAGACCATATCCAATTCCTTCCAAAATGCAATGTTTACACAAGCAAAGGAAAGACTCATGATGACCACAGTGGGCATATACCCCCAGGTTAAAGGACAAAACATCAGTATGACACCATTTTGAAATGGATAGGTCTCTCTAAACTAGCAAAGGGCCCTTTAAAAACAGAAAGATCAGCACAGTTTACTTGTGACTTGATAGAGATTGGCACACAGTGTCCGCACAGAAGACTGTGGGCATGACTGACATGCCAGCAGACAGTGGATCACACAGAATTCCAGCTTGAATCTTTGTCTTTTGACTTGAGCAGCAGATGAAATGAAACTCTTTAGAATTTATGGGTTTTTTCATGCCATAATGCTACATTCAATACTTGAGATTACATTTTATTACATCCAGTTAAATGGAGCAAATTTTGAATATCACTTCCTGAAATTGGCTTCCTGATTTTAGGAAATTATTTCTTGGGTGAAAGGCCAAAGCCAGGTCTAAATGATGGTAAGAGTTAGGTGAGGGAAAGGATTCTGACTGATTTCCTACTGATTCGGAACACCATCCTGTTGACGTTAGGGACCTTGTGATATTACTTGTCTGATTACATAAGCTGCAGTTATCAAGACACAATACAAGACATAAAAGTCTGAAGACATTACAAGTAATCTGCAAGATAATGAATAATTATTCAATATTCTAACAAATTCAAAGTGGGCCAGACTGAAATGGATCATTCCATTAGAATGCCATTGCCAAGAGTAAATGCTACATCCTTTGCTAAGTGGAGCAGGCATAGCTGCTGCATTTTGCAATTACTCATTCATTTTTTTTTTTTTTCTGTGATAGAGTGAAGCACACCAACTCTGAGTGGCTGTCGAGCTCTGCTTTTCCAAAACCATCATCTGACTTTGTTCTGAAGGGTCTTGTCTGAGCTCTGCTGACTCTGAGACCACCCGCACACCAGGTATTGGATTTGGAGGGTAGTTTTAGAGTTTTTTTGAAACTGAGGAGGCAGGGTGAGAAAGTATTAAGGTATCCCCGTCTTTGTGCTTAATAAACTGCCAACTACCCTTACATAAAAATGGAATCAATGCTCTTGGAGTGGCAGAGCGGTGGATGTGAGGGGGTGGGGCGGGGGTGGGGGCTCCTTAACATTCACACCCAGTGCTTTTCAAAGAGGGTCACGGACATTCCGAATACAGTGGTTTTCTTTAAATTCAGAGTTCCAGGAGGAGCTGAAATGAATTTTCAATAAGGGTTTTCAGCCATGGAACAAACACACCTCAGCAGAGCTCTGGACCTCAGAATCCGATAACAAAGCCATCAACCCCTCTTCCCTCTCTGAGCCCATGGGTGGTGCTCAGGAATATGTGAGCCACATGGTAGTCGGCTGACTGCTCTGGAAGATTCCATCTGTCAGGCTCAGAGACCCACAGAGATCACAGTGTTTCTCCCCTCTGCCCCTCCTATCAAGTCACAAGCATCAAACCATGCATGGAACACACAGGTCATGGGGACGCCTGAATTCTGGTCAAGGATATAAGGGTTAGAATCGATGAAATCGTAAGAGGATCGAGAAAAACCTACTGGAAGCATGATCAACCCAAGGCCGCCACCACTGCTTTTTTTTGCCCTTGGTTTTCTGTTTGTCTGCTTCTCCTAAAATAAAATATGTCCAAATATTAATTCTCAGGAAGTGAGAAAACAAACTTTGAAAACCACGCTTTAACAACTCAATTGGCAAAATCAAGACATATTGCAAAAGTACACCCGAGGTCAGGAAAAGAAATCCTACTGACTAAACGTTTACGTGGTTCAGCAGTCAATTCCACAAGGTAAATATTCAGTATTCTATTAACAGAATGCCACATTTTCACTTTCTTTTTAGTGACTGAGGGCATATAAAAAGTATAAGAAAAGGATTATCTGTCAAAAATGCATCCCACATTGAATTTTCCATAGAATTAACAAAAAGAAGCACCACCTAGATATTACAGAAAAAGTTAGTGGCAAATAATTTGCTAAAATATGTACATTCCAATAACCAGAAATATCTCTTGTGATCATTTTAATGCATGGTTGGAAAAATATCAATTTACTGTTGATAAATAGATACTATGCACTGGAAGAATACCATGTATTATTTCTCCATTCCCTTCAAATAGAAAAGCATGCAAGCATCTTTAAGAACTTTTAAACTTAAATGGATATAACAAATCTATAATTAGATATAATAAATATGTATTTCATCTCAAGTTTCATTGGAACAGACCATAATTGAATATTTTAACTACTGTTATTCAGGGGCCTATGTATTTAATTTTTGTATAAAATTTATAGAAATCAAAGACAACAGTAGACTACATATCTAAATATCTTCCCTAAAGAAACAAATGAAGCCAGCTCATCCTATTTTCTTTAGAGGCACATGTCTATGAAATGGAAGCTAGTTTATATTAAAGTCATCTTGCTAAATATGGTGCTATTCATAAAGTCATGGCTTTGTTAAATATGTACTTTCTGAAACAAACACATTCCACCCACAATTGGAATATAAAACTAGAATGAATAGTAATGTTATTTCACAGCCCTACCCTATATCATGTTTTTACTTAACATCAAGGTACTGAGTGAAGAAGGAAATATTTCAACATACTCTCGTCATCCTCTTCAGAAAGTTTTTGGAGATCTTGGCCTTCCCCCGACTCCTGGGTCAAGCTCAGCATCCTCTCCTTACCCTTTTTGTATTTCTGTTGCCTGGCCTTGATGCGGTCCATCCTGAACAACAAAATAGCAGCAACAATGCCAAGAACACACCCACAGTTACATACACACTTGTGCACACAGCCTACACCCAGTTACCTTTACACTTTTACGCACACAGCCAAAATCGTGGATGGAGTGGCAACAGTTGGGACTTGTGGATGGCTGCTTGTTAGCAACAAGTGTCTGCTTGTTTCTTATATTCTCCCAGGTTTTGCATTCTTTTAAAGAAAAAAATATTGCCTACCTCATATAGTTGAGAAGATCAAGTGAAAAGACGTATAAATATAAGAACCGTTTTGTAAATAGCAAGTTGCTACTCAAACATTCTCGAGTGTTCTATCAGTGTATCTAATCTCTTATTGGATCTGGGAAAATGTTGTGTTGGAGCTCTTTGTCTGCTTATTCAGGAAGTCTAGTCAGAAATTTCAGTGTTGAGCTACATCTCCCACATATGCCCTCTTGAAAGATATCATTTTTAATTTTTTTTAATTAAAAAAAAATTTTTGGCCATGCTGTGCAGCATGTGGGATCTTAATTCCCAGATCAGGGATCAAAACTCTGCCCCATCCCAGCAGTGGAAGTCTGCTGGACCACCAAGGAAGTCCTAAAACATTTCATTTCTTGGTTTCTTAAAATTCTAAATGTATGGCCCAAGTTTTAAAACTAATTTAAGTGACATTTCTGCTTTGGGCAGCTTAAATAATATTTTATTTGTTTGTCTTTAGCAATGATCATTGCCTTCATTCTTTTTTTTATTCTGACTTCTCATTTAAGGAAATGGAAAAATCCAGTGATGTAAATTATACTAAGAGGTCTCACTTATGGGAAATTAGGAACACATACTACATGTGGGTTCAAATTTGCTATTTCTCTAGAGCTGATTTAGATAGCTAGAAACAACAATAGCAGTAGCTATACCATCTTATACTTTCATTATATATATTTTATATAACTCATATCTTTGAATATGAAAACAACCGTGCCATGGGATAGTGTGATTCATACTGACAAATATTTTTTGCACAGGGAAAAGAAGCTGGGAGATGAGGTCAGGATGGAATGAACTAGTCTTAGAAACTCAGGGAACTTTCCTGGTGGGCTGACAGAGTCTCTCCATTTTCCGGGAGAAAGTAGCTAGGTTTTGAATTCTATGGCCATCAGCTCTTAAACCTGGCCTCAAACATGTGAGGCACTAGTCTTCCACAAAAGTTCCACTTACTGCTAGAGATTTCACTCCAAGAAAATAATTATTTTCAGTGGGCTAATTAAAAAAAAAAAAGACTTCTCAGATCTCCTGGGTGGAGTTAGTCCATTACTTGAGTTATCCAGGATGGCGTGGTGGGACAGGAGGCCAAGAGCTGGACATGGAAATGTGGGTGTATTTTTAGTGCCACCTCTGGTTAGTTGTGGGTTTTAAGTCATGTACTACATGCGTCAGCAGCTTCTCCCCAGACTGGACCATATTATCTCTAAAGATCCTTCTGAAGTAAGAACCCATGTTCGTTCGCTTCACCCACAGACACGATGGACTTCTCTCCGAGTTCGAGTCACTGGGAATGACCCTCTCTCAGTCACTAGCTTGTTTAGTATTTACCAGGATCAGGCAGAACCGAGCCCTAATCTAAAACAGAAAACTGGAATTCAGAGTTCAGAGACCTGCTGGGGGCTCCAGAAGAAGCATCTAAACTAGGACCTGACGCTGGTCTTGCCCATGGCAGCTCCTCCCCTTGCTCCCACTCCCCTGCATCCTCCTTTGGACAATTTCCATGTCAGTCGACACGGAGCAAACACCTGGGCACGTGTGAAGGTCATCACAAACGGCTTCCTCAGGGCTTGGGGCTCCCTGGGAGCCAGGAGCTGGTGGGACAGGATCAGGAGAACCCCAAATGAAAGGGAAACGTCCTTACTGCCTCTTCAGCTGGTCCATGGACTTTTTCTCCTCCTCGATTCTGGCCTTCACAGCCTTCACAATGGTGGCCTGGAAAAGCTCAGCCCCTCTAAAAGAAAGCCAGAAACGGAATGAATGAGCATTTTCATCGGTATTGGCCACGTTCCCTGACAACAGTTACTAAGGGAGAGAAAACATTTGCCGGGGGAGGGGCGTGCTGCTGCCCAGAGTCTCTGGGCTGGGACTGAGGGTCCCAAGTCCCATCTAGAAGCCCCATCCCCGTGGACAGACTCACACAGCCTCCAGCCTCTCTTGGGGAAAGGGGCTTCTCCAGCTACACTCTTAAAGGTAACAGGTGAGGATGTTTTTCTCTATCTTCAGGAGTTTCTCCTTAAAATCGAGGTGGCCGAGATGGGGGAAGATGCACTAGACTCTGGACCAACATGGTCTCTGCTTCTGTTCTGACTCAGGAGGCCCTAAGGAACTCCTCCAGGACTGAGGTCTGGACAGAGGGGCTCAATGTCCAGTCTGTCTTTGAACTTTGAGAGTATCCCAGTCCTGGTAAGGTGTAATTCCCTCCAGAGTCTTCCTCTTTACTCTTCTGTTCTAGATCTTAAAGCCTTGGATCACTTTTCCTGGAAAGAATGCGTCTTAATTTCTTGGTTCTACAAGCAAGCTCAGACAGTAGGCCAGGTGCAATGTCACTTCCCGGCAGGTTTCTTAGGAGAAATCCCTTGATTCCACAGCCTGACCCACCTGGATGCCAGGATCTGCGAGGCTTTTATATCCGCCACCACGTGCAGGAAATAGTAACTCATGAACACTCTTCTCTGCAGCAGCAGGAAGGCAAAGCATATGCTGTCCCAAATGATTCCTGCCTCCCCACTGGGCAGTTTACATGAGGAGTCATCATCAGCTGGGGGAGGGGAAAAGAAAAAGAAAAAAATTAAAATGAATACCCATTTTCACTGTTATTTTATAAGCTCCGTGATAAGATCACACAGACAAATGAGCAAACTTCTGAGGCATTGAGTCCCTGTGAGTGGATTTATTTGCAGTCAAGGGAACAAACTTCAAGTCCGGTAACGGCACCAGTTCATAAGGCTGACCACAAGTGAGCTCTGGATACTCTAGGGCTCAGGAGGAAAGGTCAGGGAGAAATTGCATCCGTATGTCCCAACACCAGAGGGAATCTCGGCACAAACAAGACGTGTTCTGGGAATGGGCCCTTCCCAGGGCAACCAGCGGAGCAGCTACAGTCTACTGGAAGAAGAGGTGCCAACAGCATGCCTGGCCCCAAATCAGAATAAGCTCTAGTGCCTTCTTCATGCTCCTACCAGAAGGCAGGGCGGGGCGGGGGTGGGGATGGAGGAGCGCCAGGTTCCAGGCCCCTTGGAGAACAGAGGACAGTGGTGCTGTCCAGGGTTCTGACGCAAGAGGCACAGGGTAGGTATGGCAGTCCCGCCTCCAGCAGGGAGGGAGTCTAACTGCAGACACCGTTACTCCCCCCCAGCTGTCCACCCAGTGGGGTTTCTCTGAGCTTCGGGGTGGGGGTCTGCGGGTAGAGCTCCTCTGATGACCAAGATGCCCACTGAGGCAGCCACAGGTGTGCGTGGGCATCTGTGACCCTTCCCATCAGAAACACAGGAAGTTCAGGGAGTTGCTAAAGAACTGCTTGGGGTGGGGGGGAATGGGACATTTGTCAAAGATCAAAGATTATCTTGAGGGTGGGGGTGTCCTGGCCACAGATAGCCTGGCAGCACCAGCCCACAGCTCCTTGAAGACACTGAATTGGGCGTCCCTTCATCTGCTTCCTTCAGGGACTTTGGCCCAGGTATTTAAATTAGAACACTACCTCTGCCCTCCCTTCTCTGTGCCCCCATCCCCAAATCTGCTTTTCATACTCACGCATTTTGTAGCCCTTGACTGTACAGGCCAGGCTGAATGCCTGGATCAACCAGCAACTATTTTGAACCAATTTTTCAATATAGCCACACGCTCCTATCTGAAAAACAAATGGGAAATGAATGTCCTGAAACTATGCACCCAGAAAACAAGGTTGATGTCTTGCAATCCCAACATGTGCAGGAATTCCCTGCGGCTCAGTGCTCTGGTGGCTCCTAATATCCAGTCCCACCCAGTAAAGTGGTTGATGCTTCACTTCTGGGAGTTAAACCCAAGAAGCAAGGAGGAGAAGCCTCAGCATGGTGCTCTCTGCACTGGGAAGTGCCTCTCTTTTCAAAGAGGATATTTAGAGCATCATAGGAACAAGCCTGACTCTGCAATAGCCAATGGGTGAGCACTAATCCAGGACTCAGATTTGGGCAGAGACAAACCTAGACAGCATACTAAAAAACAGAGACATTACTTTGCTGACAAAGGTCCATATAGTAAAAGCTATGGTTTTTCCAGTAATCATGTACAGATGTGAGAGCTGGACCATAAAAGAAGGCTGAGCACTAAAGTATTGATGCTTTTGAACTGTGGTGTTGGAGAAGACTCTTGAGATTCCCTTGGACAACAAGGAGATCAAACCAGTCAATCCTAAAGGAAATCAACCCTGAATATTCATTGGAAGTACAGATGCTGAAGCTGAAGCTCCAATACTTGGCCACCTGATATGAATAGTCAATTCATTGGAAAAGACCCTCATGCTGGGAAAGATTGAAGGCGCGAGGAGAAGGGACAACAGAGGATGAGATGGTTTGATGGCATCACTGACTCAATGGACATGAGTTTGAGCAAGCTCTGGGAGATGGTGAAGGACAGAGAAGCCTGATATGCTGCTGTCCATGGGGTCTCAAAGAGTTGGACACAAGTGGGCAACTAAACAGCAAAACAACAGCAAAGTGAAGACCAAGTCTGAAATCCGGGTTTACAGAATGAATGAATGAATGAATGAGTGGATTCCACAGTCACACACTCTCCAGGAACAGCTGTCGGGAGGGATCAGCTCCCAGGCGCTGGTCTCTGCCCATCAGACTAATTTCAGGAGAAAGAGTGACCTTTTGTCCTGACTCATCCTCTGCCTGAGAACTCTCAACACCACCCCACAGGCAAACACGCACTGCTGGAGTCCAACTGAGGAATAAAAATCACCTTTACTACCAACTAGAAACTTAGCCATTCTTATGGACTGGAGAAAAAATAAATTCTTCAAATACACACTCATGGTTACATAGACTTGGCTTCTCCAGACCTCTAAACACAGCAATGCATGTGCCTTCCCCGACCCAAAGTCAAATGCTTTCCAGGAGAATTGCCTGGAGAGTTCATCTTTAAGCACTAGGAAGGGGAGAAGCAGGCAGTTGTACATCACTGTTCTTTTATTTTTAATTAATTTTTTAATTGGAGGATATTTGCTTTACAATATTGTGCTGGTTTCTGCCATATATCAACATGAATCAGCCATAGGTATATGTATGTACCCTCCTTCTTGAAACTCCTTCTCACCTCCCACCCCATTCCACCACTGTTCTTCTAAAACTCTGTCAGTTACAGCCATGAGGGGCAGGCCCTGGGATGGAGTTCAAATCAGAGTTAGATCTGGATTAATTCCTTCAGCTCCTGAAAGGTCACTGTTAATTTCCTGACACGATAAATAGCTTAAAAGGTATCTTTGTGGCCTAAATGATTTCATGGTGACTCTGGGATAATCCATGGGCAGTTTATCTACCAGGGAGGGGCCACACTGTGGCCTGGAAAGCAGAAATTTAACAGAGAACTGGCCACGTTCTATGGACAGGAGGTGTTCGTCTCAACCCTGAACTATCTTAGTTGTTTTTAAGTCAAGACCCCAGTGCTTAGAGCAGCCATGAAGTTCCCGTGTCCACCTGACATCAGGGTACCATAAAACACCTGCACCTTTGGGGGCCTGTCCCTCCCATCTGTACCCCACTCTGTGTCCTGGAAAATCTTGCCCATTCTATCAATATTTACACTTGCATGGAGCTTTTCCAGTAAAAGAGTCAGTTTCAGCCAACATGATATAATTTGTGAAGACATCACATGACTGTTTCAACTCATAAAGGGCCATGTGCAGCCTGTCCTGGAGTGATAACCAATTGTTCCTCAGAAGGGATAGATTTTAATTGAGAAAACACATTTTAGAGTTTTTTCCCCCCTACAAATACATATCCTTTTGTCCTTGAGAGGGTGGACGTGAGCAAAAAGGATTCTGCTTAAAACGGCAAAACAAGGAGTAATAAAGGGTCATTCCAATTCTGAGTTTGCCAGGATCCTATTTGCGGCAGTTAAGAGAGCAGCATGAGGGGCTGAGGGCTTTCAGTAACCACTGAATGGGTCATTTTCTCTGAGGCTGGGACTGCAAATGTGTTACAGGGCACGAGCCACTTACAGACAGTATGTTTTTCATTGTGATCACGAAGACGTTGTAAGCGATCAGCCAATCCCAGTAGCGCAGGATGCTCTTGATGGGTTTCAGCAGCAAGTCGCCCCCAAAGAGCAGGAAATAGAAGCAGGCCACCAGGTAGCCCATGCAAAAGATGCTGATACGGGTCGTCCCAGTGATGAAGATGATGGTGAGCACGAACCAGAAGAGGTAGCTGAAGATGACCACCTTGGACATGTCCAGGTATGACCTGGACAATGAAACCAAGAGACAACACAGACTGCAGCCAGACCGTCAGGATGTTCTAGTCGAGGAAGGGAATGTGTTCTCACATCCTCCTCCTCACTCGGCCTGGAGGCACAGGCTAGACGGGGCACTCTGATCGCCAGCTGGTCCATGGGCAATCCTCACCCAGTTAGTGATGGAAGGAGAGGTACTTTGTGAAAACACCATGTGCACTTTTATTATCATCAAACTCAGGCCAAAATTCCCACAAGCAGCAACGTTTTCTGCCTAGTACTTGAAGAGTCAGGCATGACTGAGCCACTACCGCTTTCACTTTTTTACACACCCACATGGAGCTTGCAGGCTCTGTCAGCACTCTCTCGGCACTTCCCTGGGCCGACCCAAGGTCCCGTCTGTGGGACCACTCCTCACTCTGCAGACAGGCAGATGCTTGGGCCCCCTCCTCCCCCAGTGATGGAGCTCCGGGAGCTTCCCAAGTTTGGGAAGAAGCACAGAAGCACCAATTGTGCATCAGATACTTGATAACTGAGCTGTTATTTTGTTGGAGCTCTTAAGTCATCTCTGATGAAATATGTGCTATACTGTTTTCAGCATAGTTAAGGAATAAGTGGTCCCTAGAAGAACACTGGTGATGGACTGGGTAATGAAGTTGGTGATGGACAGGGAAGCCTGGCGTGCTGAGGTCCATGGGGTTACAAAGAGTCAGACATGACTGAGTGACTGAACTGAACTGAGAAGAACACTGTCACAGAAGTGGACTTTTGGACTGTACTCTTCTTAGACTAAAATATTCAACACTTCTGAATAGTTCCATGATTTTTCTCTAAACTATATTTCACTCATCCTTGATGTCATACACACTGGAGAGTGCAGAAGATGTGGGTGTTTCTCAGCATCCCACGGTCACAAAGGTAATGTCAGTGATTTGGTCCTGGTATGGGATCTGAATGCCCACAGTCCTCCTGACGTGTGTGACTTAAAGTCGGTGGAACTAGGCTGCTGGCATGTTTGAGTGTGAGTGTGTGTGTGCTCGTGCACACGTGTTTTTGCATTGTATGCTTTCCATCCATTTCCCTTCCTTGCCTGCAGCTGTGAATCCCCCTGCAGAAGCCCCATCCCTCACTCCTCAGCCTGACCTGCTTTGGGTTCAGAAATCATAAAACTAAGCCTGTGGGAACAGCATGGAAACACCAGCCAACATGCCCCGGGGAAGACCTCTGGGGCCTCTGGGAGCTCTTGAGGCCCTTGCTATCCTGGGGTTCAGGGGCATCTGCTCCCCAGAACTGCTCTGGGCATGTCCATGGAGGACGGAGGATAACAAGGAGGTTTGGCCTCCAGACCACCAAGCTGCCTGGCCCCTGGATTCTTGGCTTCATGGTGTAATCAGCAGGTCAGTACTCAGGAAAGGTAGGGGAGCTGGAGGCATGGGCTTGGGGGTCGCGCCTTCCCAGGGGCTGCCCGTGGGCGGCAGCGTTACCTGCAGTGGATGAAGTCGGGCACGGGGTTGTGCTGGCTGAATGAGGCTGCATCCAGGTTCATGCAGATCTCCACGTTGTCGCCTGCCACGATCCGCACGGCGGCCTTATTCTCATCCTCAAAGATCTGCCGTTGCAGCGAGGCACACAGGAGTAGCATGAAATCGTCTGGCGGAACAGAAGCATCTGTTGTCTGGCCTCGTCCTTCCAGCTACCCTGTCCAGTCTGTAGGTCTATGTCTGCAGTGGCAGCAAGAATCAACCGCTTTCCCCAGGACCAGGCCCGCCCCCCGCAGCCTCTCTCCTAGAAGGTGGGTGCATACAGGTGTGTGGGGCTTGATAGTGTGTGTGGCAGGAGATAAAATTACTAAAATGAAAAAAGTGTTTGGAATGCTAACACGGTACTAACTTTGCAGACAAAACAGGGCCAGCAGGAGCCGCTAGTGGCTGGTGATGCTGACGCGTGGAAGCCAGGACTGTATGTGCTGGGGTGCGATGGAGGGGCAAGAATGCACCACCAGGGGAAAGATGAGCAGGCGGGACCCCAGTGCCCCACTTACACACAAGGAACACGGGGTTGGGTCGAACGATGAAGTCAGGGAAGTACAGCCACTTGACGATGTTGTCATTGAAGCTGGCGCCCTTGAATCTCCAGGGGTAGTCTGCACTCTGGCTGAGGTCATACATTCAGAAGGCACCCAGACATCTGTAAGACCAGGCGTCCTGAGAAGCCATGCCCACAGCTGCAGGGCAGGGGACAGTCACTGAGTCCTGGAGACTCTCCACCAGGCCAGGAACCCTGCCATGGAAGTTTCCCCCAGACCCCTGGATCCCAAGGAGACAGAATGTGCCACAGAATCATTCTGTGGCGTGGAGATGTGCCACCAAGTCCTTTGTGGCCACCTGGCTGAAAGCAGCTGCTGGAGTTTTCAGAAAAAAGAGAACAGGTCAGCAAGGAAACTCACCTCCAGACCAAACTTGTAGAAGAAGTAATTGATGAAATACTTGGCACAGTTAACAAGTCCATCATCCAGCTGGAGTCTTGTGATGTTGTGGAAGATGGTTTTAGACACGGGGGTTGAGAGGTTGTTTCGACCTCGGTAGTACTCCTGATGGCGGTAGATGGTGACCTCAAAGGCCAGAATGGCCAGCATCAGCAGGTTGTTCTAGAAAGCAAGGAAAATACACGTGATGCCACGTGGTCATCTACAGTCTCTCTCAAAAAGCCATCTCATTTCACTGTGGGTGTCTAAAGGTACAGTGTGTGATCAGATCCCACATCCATGAAACAGTCTTGACTTTAATGCTCATTTTCCCTGTATTGTGGTAACAAGGGTGGAGTCATCTCCAGTTTGCAAATCAGGCTAATTTTCATGATAACAGGATTTAGAACCTCTAGACCAGTGACTGGTGATGGTTACACCAGATCTAGAAAAAGCACCACCGAACCAGACAGCTGGGTTCACTTACTTGGAAGGGTTGTCCAGCCTTCTTTGCAACTAAATGTGAGAAATCCTTATATAGTATCCTACAGGGACCCCAGGAAACAGACTGAGCTGCAAACTGGGGCTTAACTTAGCAAGTTTTAAACACAATACCTCTGAAAGCTGGCTAGAGAGAGCAGTAGAGTAAAAAATATGCTAATCATACTACAAAATAATAATACAAAATAGGTGACATTTATGGGCCAGACACTATTCTAATCATCCCTTTCAAATATCAGTTGGTTTTATCCTTGTAACAGCTCTTAATGGTAGACATCATTTGTATGTTACAAACAATATCAGTCATATGAGCAAAACACCAGGAAGCTACACCAAGAGAGAGAGGAGATGCTTAGCACGCTTTCAGATTCCAGGAGTTGAGTACAAAGGCTTTAATTACATCATCAGCATAACCCATCAAAGTAAAATGCTCAAACTATCCATCACAGAAACATGTGAATAATCTGAACTATACTGCTTTCCTTATGTTTGTTACAACTATTTGCAATCAGAATTTATTTTTCAAAGACTTGCTTTTTATATGTGGCTACTTCTAAGCATAATAGATGCCACTGATTAAAATGTGTAGAATTTAGACAGCAAGCATTTCTTGTCATGCTACACTTACTTCTCAGAAATAATTACTCTGACCATTTGGTGTAATTTACTCAATATTTTTTCTTTGTGCCTACAAGACATCAATCTATGTATCCTGTTTTGAAGTTTGCTTTTTTTTTTTCAACATTACAATATATTTTGGATATCTTTCAGTGTCTGATAATATTATCAATCTGCCTCAGTCTTTGAGTGGTTTCGTAACATTCCAGTGAATATATTTGTCATACTCTATTCAACGAATCTCAAATTACTTAGCTGATTTCTTTTCAGCACAATTCAATACTGATTTTAATACTCAGTCGTGTGTTTTGGAGGTGACTGCAAACCCCACATAAGAGGACGAGGCTGCTCTCCAAGGTGAGGTGAGCGGTCTCCAGGGAAAGGGCTGCAGACATGAACTTGGCAGAGGCAACGCTAAGGATGAGGAAGACTTACCCTCAGGTAGACAAGCAGAGGAGATGACTTCCTGAGGCCCACCCATTCTGTGGGGTCGATGGGTGCACTGTAGAGCAGAGACTTGTTCAGCTGGTGCAGGGGGATGTTCGTCTGGTTTTCATTTGGCTGAAAAGAAAAGAGAAAGGAGTAAGAGACGGCCCCGCAGTCAGGAGAGTTCAGACTAGTCTCCCTCAGTTTTGAGCCAAAGGACACAGGGATGGGGAGGGAGGACCCACTTTAGGGGGAGTCAGCCTCAGGAGAGACAGGGCCAGGACACCTCCGACTCACTGAGCAGACAGGGGCCTGACGGCGAGGGCTGGGGGACGTGGGTCCACCAAGGTCTGCTTCCCTTCCCTAAAGGCCAGGCAAGGAGACCCTCCGTCTCTGAGGCTCACCAATGAACAGTTCACAGAGAAGTTCTCAGGCTTGATGGTCTGCAGCTGGTACAGCATCTTACAGACAATGATCACACACGTCCAGACGGTGCAGATGCTGGAGGCCAGACGGCGGAGCTTGGCGTATGGCAGAGCGAAAGCCCAGGAAATCAGAAACACGTAGTTGAACAGAGACACCTGAAAACACAAAATTGGAAATGGGGACAAAAATATGTCACATTGTACAACATCTAAAAACCTAGATGTTTTTAGGCAACTTGACTGATTCGGTTCCTCTGAGCTGAGCAAAGGCTGGCTGAGCTCCTCGTATGCACAAGAAAAGGCTGTGGGTGTTAAGGTACACATCTTGTACACAGAAAGGTGTGCAAGCAGGTGATGTTAAAGTCGCAGCGGGAAACTACAGAGGTGAACAGGCTTTTGGGAGAACACCCAGGGGGTCCTCAGCCCAACCTGGAGCTTCAGGAACCTCTGCTGGGAGAGAACACGCCTGAGCAGTGCCCTCAAGCTGTGCAGAATTCAGGCACACCCACTCTGGGTGGACACATGACACACAGCCATGCCCATGAGTCAGCGTCCATCTCTGCCCCACTCGCACTCAGCGTGAGGACCTTAAGTCCGAGTGGCCTGAGGCTCCAGCTGGAGCAGATGCCTGGCTGGGTCTGGCCTGAAGACGGAACAGCGTCACTTGCCTCCTTCACAGACACCCAGATGATGTAGGAGGACACAATCTTGACGATGTGCAGCTCCAGGATCCACCATAAGAATGTCTGCAGCTGGTGGAAGCCCTCCAGGAACCGCAGGAGCAGCACCGTGAGGCGGTCGATCACCAAGTGCCACTTGTTCCTCAGATCTGCAAGGCAGGGCACATGACTGTGAGCGGAGACCTGGCCTGTATTGATGGGTCCCTTGTCCCTCTGATCTGCAAGGCAGGGCATGTGCATAGCTGTGAGTGGAAGCCTGGCCTGTACGGCTTGTGCCCACAGTTTCTAGCTCACTGCCAGGGTCAAATATACACTTGAGCATATATTGAGTATATATCTTATTACATATTTATATATTGAGTATATATTTGATTTCCTTGGAGCAAGACAGCAGTTTGTTTCCTCCACGTGTGAGCCAGCATCCGAGTGACTCCTGGGCAGGCAGCTTACCTGACGTCTCCTCCTCCTCTTCGTCCTCCTCGTCCTCGTCCTCATCCTCATCCTCGCTGTCCCTGCCAGGCTCGCCCTTCTTGGCTTTTGCAGGGCATCCCCCCGGCGTCTCCTCCACAGGCCCAGCCAGCTGCTTGACTTCCGCCACCTCCAGGCTGGCAGTCAGCTTCATCATGGCGAGGTCCGGAAGGCTTCCCTCGGGGTGGGCCAGCCTGTCGGCAGAGAGCAGCCAAGTCAGGGAGGGAAGAGCGTCGGGAGCTGAGAGTGAGGGGCACGTGGAGGAGGATGAACAAAATGGAAGTCTCTAGGTAGCCTGGCATGTGGGCTTGTTAGTGTCCAGTCACTTTTTATTTTTTAAAGCTCTTTCTAAAAAATGAACTGTAAACTCAGGTTTGGTGAGCTCTTCCAATTCAGGTTCTAGTGATGAGTCAGTCATGAGAGCTATCAACACCTAAACTTGACATTTTATCCCACAGGAGAAAATGGTCAGAGTTTAGGATGGAGAAGCATGAAATGGCATAGTGTAGAGCAAGCATTTCATGGCTTCACGGGGGGACTTACTCATTGTGATGGATTGGTAATTTTTTCTTGATGCTGCTCAAAGTAATGGAAATAGAAAGGAAAAAAAAAGGAGATGAGAACAGAAGAGTTATAAGGAGAGTCAGAGATCACACATCATGCTACAGTCATCTACTATTGCATTCCTGTACGCCAGGTGCAGGGGCCCTAACGCCACGTGCATTCCAGGATGGCGGCCACAGCGTGCTTTGGCTGGGAGCCCTGAGCCGGGCAGCTAATCTGAGAGTGGACGGCACTGCAGTGGTGAAGGGCAGGACGCAGAGACTGCTGAGGCAAGTCAGGTCATGCTTTCTTAGAAACACAGCAAACCATCCCCTAGGAATCAAGTCATTCACAGTTTAAGGAGGGATATATGTTTTTTTAAACTCTTAAATAATGTGTAATGTCAGTCAACCTTTGCATGGACCAATCTCATCCTGTAGCCATCTGAAGCATATGCAGTGGATGCAAATGCTTCTGGGGGTAAGAAGCCTACATCACACCCCATCCTGGGGCACCAGGTGAGCTGCGGGACCAGATCTCCTGGGAAGAGTGCAACAGCCCGGCTGAGGGGGCTGCAGCCTTAGGGAGCTCAGCGACTCTTGGGGGTCCAGCTTAGCTCACAGCGAATAGTACTGAGTATGATCTTGTTCCTCAATTTTTAAAGAGTATATCTTTTTATTCATATTCAAATGAATGTTTGAAGGAACGTTTGTGGGCAATAAAGTAGACAATAGGAAAAGGCCTATTACAGATAATGCAGGTAGTCCTCATTTGCAATAATTTATTCATTTCAGCCTGACTGTCACAAGACAGACACTTAACAATGTTATCATATCTGTAATACTCTGAGTTTTATCTGTAATATTGTATCTGTAATATCTGTTATTGGTTCTGAGTCAATTTCATGTCTCGAATTTTATTTATTTATTTTTACAAAATGAAGAAGTTTGGCTAGATAAAAATCTAAGCTCACATGCAACCTGTTGGTTTTGTATTTAAAACGCCTGTGATATTGGAGAACTGTGGTCAAGATTCTGCATTGCCCTTGGACTTTCAGAGAGGTTCTCCCTCAAAAGCAATTCCTTTTAGCGATGTCAAGCAGGTAGATCACAGAATGTCAGAAACGAATTGCTAATTTACTGAACAAAGAATGTTCTGAGGTCGGTGGAAGAAAGTGTGCTGACATGTACTTGCTTATTTTCTTTTTCTTTTCTTCTCTTATTGGATATATGCGTACATATAGCTGACTTACGTTGTTGCACAGCATAAAGTTAACACAATATTGTAAAACAACTACATTTCAAAATATAAATTAATTAAATCACATGATCCAAAAAAAAAATTAACCTTTCAGTTTGGCTTTGATAATCCACATTATAGCCAGATTTCCACAACATTATTTTCCACTTGTATGTACTTGCTTATTTTCCTAAGCCAGATAATTCACCTGAGAAAATCTGTGTTCATAAAATGCCTCTGGATGAAAGTATTTTCAATGCACAGTTGGAGTTTCTACTTTAAAAGACACTGTATGAATCCTTTCATTGTGCTTTCGTTTTTCTCATAGCATTTTTCTGAGACAATCCAGAACAATGTTAAAGGCAAGCTCTTTGGAATCAAAAAGATTTAGATTCAAGCCTAAACTAGACATCTTACTAACAAGGGGATGTGGCAAAGCTCCTTACACTGTTTTTCATTTTTAAAAAATTTTATTGAAATAGAGTTGATCTACTATGTGTTAATTAGAACAATGTGATTCAGTTACACATGTACACAGGATCAGGTGTAATGGCCCTGGTTTGTGTATATGTAGGAGAACTAACCATTGCTCCTGTTAAAATATTCTAAATCATTCTGTTTACAAATTCAGTTGGAACGTCCTGCAATTTTTCACACCATCAGAATTTTACCAGCCAGCCACTGTCCTTAACACAGCCCTACCTCACATCTTATAAGGTTAAGTCTAAATTGTGACTGACCCAGAAGTTGTATATAGGTATGTCCCCTCTTTCATCAGAACTCCCATCTACAAACACATTACCCTCCTTATTAAACAGCACTGAGCATACAGAAATAAATTTGGGGAGAGAGAAAGCTTATTTACTCAATAAAAGGTTCACCCTATCATTCTAATCAAGAAAAATCCCTTCAAAACTGGACATACTTCACGTGCAGCCTTTCGGAAGCACACACTGTGCAGAGAGAGGGTTTGTTAGGTCGAGTGCTCCCCAGGGCACAGCTCTGACTTTTAAAATGTGGGCATTCAGACAAAAATGAGAGTTCACTGGAAAGAAGATTGAGCTAGTGGTGGAATGCTTCAAGTTTTTAATTATTTTAGATGACTGCATCTGGGTCATTCTGAGAACTCCTGAGTCAGTTCAGGGTTGATGGGCATACGTTTTTCCTCAAGAGGAAAGCAGGGGGCCAACTCTGTAGCATCAGCATCCTTGGCACATTGGTTCTAGGATGCCTAATGGACACCAATACCTACAAGTGCTCAAGTCCCTTGTATAGAATGCTACAGTATTTGCTTGTAACCTACGCACATCCTCCTGTATATTTTAAATGATCTCTAGATGATTCGTAATACCTAATACTATTTGAATGCCATGGAAATAGTAACTTGAACACAGCAAATTCAAGTTTGCTTCGGGGAACTTTCTGGAGTTTTTAAAAGAAATGTTTTTGGTTGAATCCACGGATGCAGAAACCATGGATATTGAGGGCTGAATATATTAGTTGTCAGAGCCCATCAAACCACTCCTGCCTCTTGGGCGCCCCAGCCACCTCCTCTTAAAGCACATGGTCAAGACTTCATCAGAAACACAGAGTGAGAGAGAGACAGATATAGTGTGGTTCTTTATGAGGGATAAGACTGATATGGCTGCTCAAGATTTATGCTTCAAGTCTCTAGCTTACTTCTTTAGCTGGCAGCTAAAAACTTGAGGTTGACATTTCTCTCTCAGGTTGACCCCAAAACCAGCCCCAAAGGGAGCCCACCCAGCCTCATTACTCTTCCATAGAGATCTCCACAGAGATGCACTAAGTGTTTACACCTCTTTCTAGACATTCTGCCTCCTCAGGTCTGCTACTTGGTTATCAGACTCAGCATTCCTCTTAAGAGGAAAGAGAGTGGAGTAGAAAACCTGCAGATCTTTCCAAGAGTTGTTTTGTTAAGTGGATTTATTGCAAAATACGTGCTTCTACTACCTAAATTACTGACTTGATTACTTAAGACGTGAAGTTATGGGAGTGGATATTTTAATTCTCTCAATAAAGTAAGAAGAGCTTTGGTGAATTAGACCTGAAGACTCTTCTCTTTTGGGCACTTGAGGATAGCTCCACACATGGCAGGTGTCAGAGCTCACCCTTTGTTACCTGTGGTTATGAACATGTGTTATCTCCCCGCCTGGGTGATATGCATCTAAGACATGCTGCCCAACTTGGCTTTTTTTTTTTTTTTGGCAGAAGGCAAATATATTGTGATATCTGTCAAGTAAAATACCATCCTTCTACATGATGCTCTTTCAAGTAGATGTATACTTGAAGAAATTGGTGTTTTAATTTTCTCCTAACCATAGATTGTTGGACCTATTATCACTTTATTCAGGCATATCCACTAGTGGTTAAGCCCCCACAGTAGGTGAGATATTGGCCCTGCAGTGGATTGTACAGGGACCCAGGGCCTGAGGGGTGGAGGTGGCGGGCAGGGGAGATAAGACAGGCAGGCAGACGGGACTAAAGGCCAGTGTTGGGAGGCGGCAGCAAAGAGAAAGTGCTCCGGGAACTCAGAAGAAGGGCCAGTACGCTCAGCAGGGACTCGGCAGAGATGGGTGGTTTGTGGAGCAGCTGGTTCTTGAGCTGAGCTCTCGATTACGTGTTCAGGAGGGAGATGGGCTCGCAGGCAAGCCCAGGGCTAATTCTACCAAAGGGTGACCAATGCCGAGCGCCAGCTGAAGACCCTCGGCCACCTTCGAGTCCACTCAGCAGCACCATTCAGTCGAAACACCGAATGGTTGGGTTTGCAAAAGACATCCATAGCATACCTGGAGGCCATGTTCACTGTCTGATGATGTCAGTTTCATTTACAAGCTAATAAAGAGCTTAACACCCCCAGAGACCATTTTAAAAAAGGAGCCAAGAGAGAAAACGTTGAAGTACCCACCTATTTATTATCAGATACACACGCCCATTGACCTTGGCATGGCTACGCAGGAAGCGCAAGGCGGCAGCGGGGAGACAGTCGGAGAGAGAAAGAGGAGAGTGTTAGCCAGAGAAGGAGCTGACTGTGGCCCGTAAGCTCTGCATCACCAGGTGTGTCACCAACACCTTTCATGCACTGCGAAGTGTCCAGAAAGCGAGGTTCGGCAGCACCGTGGAGTCAGACAGAGAGTCAGGTTTGAAAACACTTGACAGTGACAGCCTCTTCCTCCCTCCCTCCCCCAAAGAATCACACGTCTGGTCAGGTACCTGTAAGGCTTAAATGTCCAGAGTGCACTTATCAAATATACCACATAAAACGTTAATTCTTGGTCCTTCTCCAGAATTAAAAAAATAAAATCCTTTGAGTATCCGTATTGAAGAAACTGTCTTCCGAGGTTTTTCTAAAGTTAAAGTTTAAAAAAGCCATTCTATTTCTGCATGCGTCACAGTACCTTCTAAAATAAATTATTGACACGTGGCAGTAGGGAGACAGTCGGAGAGAGAAAGAGGAGAGTGTTAGCCAGAGAAGGAGCTGACTGTGGCCCGTAAGCTCTGCATAACCAAGTGTGTCACCAACACCTTTCATGCACTGCGAAGTATCCAGACAGCGAGGTTCGGCAGCACCGTGGAGTCAGACAGAGTCAGGTTTGAAAACACTTGACAGTGACAGCCTCTTCCTCCCTCCCTCCCCCAAAGAATCACACGTCTGGTCAGGTACCTGTAAGGTTTAAATGTCCAGAGTGCACTTATCAAATAAAATACCACGTAAAACGTTAATTCTTGGTCCTTCTCCAGAATTAAAAAAATAAAATCCTTTGAGTATCCGTATTGAAGAAACTGTTTTCCGAGGTTTTTCTAAAGTTAAAGTTTAAAAAAGCCATTCTATTTCTGCATGCGTCACAGTACCTTCTAAAATAAATTATTGACACGTGGCAGTCACAGATATTTAATAAGGAATGGACATTCAGTATCTTACTGTTAAGTGTTTATTATATAATAATTATGTTGTAATTATGTTATAGTGTCTACTTTATCAATATATAAGAGAGATGATATTCCTGACAATGTCTACCTAGAAATAACAATAATTTCTCATAAGATTTGTCATAAAATTTTTCATGCTAACTCTAAATTCTAGAAGGGCAACATGATGAATTCTGCTTCAGACACAAGTGATACTTGCCTACAGGGCAAACACAAATCACACAAACAACAGACAGAACAGGCAAAGGATAGCTGGCTGTTCATAGAAACAACCGGACCAGAATCAATATAAGGGATAAAATGCACTGATCATTCCCAATTTGGGATTTTTTTTTTTTTTGTGTGTGTAGCACCTACTAAGAGGGAAGGAACAGAGAAGGCGAAGCATGACAGTCAATCCAATTCTGAAAAGATCTCTTTCTTCATCATTTTGACTCTAAAGTAGCCACTTACTAGGGCCCTAGGGACTAAAAATCACTAGTAAGGAAAACACTGCAATGGAAAAGACTTGTGAAAAAGATGGGATATACACCCCATGCTCCAGGTAGAAATTTGGGGATTTTTATATGAAACTCCTGCATGAAATCCCTAAATACCAAACTCGGATGAGTCCTTTGAACTCCTCTTTTCACAGAACCAAAAATAAAGTCCCATGACCCCAAACCATGCATACTGCTGACATTACTCATTCTTGCCTCGCCCTTTATGTTCTCTTGGAAAGTAACAGTTCAGGAGGTGCTAGGGGCTGAGCCTTGGCCAGAGGAGGGCCAGCCATGGCCTCAGACTGACCAGACCACGGGGCCTCCTTCTTGTCCAGCCGTGTAAGGGGGTTACGGGCTGGCTGGACAGTAGAGGAAAACAGGAGGACACATCTTGATAGGAGGCTGCTATCCTTTTTCAGAACCCACATAATTAAATCACATTTATGTACTTAAGGAAACCCTGTTCAACTCATTCAGTTTTTCATAATTTCACCAGTCAATCTTAAGTGAAATCAACCTTGAATATTCATTGGAAGGACTACTGAAGCTACAAGACTTTGGCCACCTGATGTGAAGAGCTGACTCATTGGAAAAGACCCTGATGCTGGGAAAGATTGAGGGTAGGAGGAAAAGGGGGTGACAGAGGATGAGATGATTGGATGGCATCACCAACTGAATGGACATGAGTTGAGCAAACTCTGGGAGATAGTGAAGGAAGGAAGCCTGGCATGCTGCAGGCTTCCTGCACTGTGCAGGAACTGTGCCTAATTTCATGAACTGTGCCTAATGAATTACTGCTTCATCTTCTTTCCATGGACTCACTGTTTCCCTTGAGAAGGGGCTTGGGAATTTTCACCTGTGGTGTCTGTGTTCCTCTGAAGGCAGCACTTTGCTCCCTCATCTACGCAACAAGGGCTTTCCAGAAGCTGAATCACAGGCTATTATGTGAAGCAGAGAGGAAAATCTGTATCAAGGCTCATTAGACAAATGCCTGAAATGTTCCTGAGATGGAGCAGGCCTATGGATGTGTGCTGACTGGCTATGGCTCCATGCACATGGCCAGGGCAAGACAGATCCCATCAGCTACTTGGAAACACTTTGTATTAGTATTTATTGATGGAAGACAGCAACAGTGAACTGGTGGCAGAAAACACTGCCTTCGCTCTTTCCTTAAATGTTACTCTGGTTACTCACAGATGGCAGAACCTTTCAGCTGAGGTCGTTCCTTCCCAAAACGGAAGGGAGAATTCTGTACTATGCTTTGACTCATAGAGACTTCCTTACTACCTGTCAGTGCAACAGAAAACTCACCCTCTGAATTTAGCCAGATTCTGTAAACATTCTAAAAACACCCTACCACCCTGGATACAAAAGACACATCGCCACCGCAAAGGAACCTCAGAAACACAGCTCCTCTGGACCAACTCACACACCTGTCAAGATCACCCACAAAATGTCATAAATCACTACCCGTGTGCATGCTAAGTTGATCAGTCATGTCTGACTCTTTGCGACCCCATGGACTATAGCCCACCAGGCTCCTCTGTCCATGGGATTCTCCAGGCAAGGATACTAGAGTGGGTTTCCATTTCCTACTCCAGGGAATCTTCCTGACCCAGGGATCGAACTTGTGTCTCTTATGTCTCCTGCACTGGCAGGCAGGTTCTTTACTATGAGCACCACCTAGGAAATGTAAATCACTACCTACTGTAAAGTGCCATCAAACACTCCACATTTTTTCTTATTTTTTCCCACTCAGAGGCTGACTGTCATGGCAAGTACAGGTTGACATTCTCAGTGAGAAGATGGGAGGGTCTGGCTGAGCTTGCATGGGCTCACCTATAGACAGCGCTGTCCTCCTTGCTGGGGATGGACTTCAGGTCAGTGAGCTCCAAGAATCGGTCGTGGAAGTAGTGCAGGTGCAGGATGCAGACCAGGAGGAAGGAGGTAGGGATGAAGATGCGCGTGAACAGCTCGGCCACCGTGAACTGCTTCAGGCCAAGGTCCTCCAGCCTGTGAAACAGGGCAGGTTTCCCGGGTGGGCTCTTCCACCCAAATGTCCACAAGAATTTGGCTATTTCTCGGTGATTTCAGGCTGAACATTTTCAAGACAGAAGTCTCCATTTCCCCCATATTCCTGAAGCAGCCAAGCTGCTCTCGTCCCCTCCCCACCCTGGTCTTCCTGGCACAACCGTCCACCTTGTGCAAAACGCCCAAGTCAGGACATCCCCTCCCCAACACACTTTCCTGTCTCCACCATCCACATCCCTTCACCCTCATCTCCTAAATCTGCGCTCTAGTTTCCTCTCTAGTGCCTCCTATTCTAGGTGAGGCCACCATCCTCAATCACAGAACCGCCCCCCCCCCCAACCCTGCTGGCCGACCATCTAGCTGTGTCTATTCTTGCCCCCATACATCACTGAGTTCTCTGCCAGTCAAGGGTGATTTAAAGACTTGTAGACATTTCACCGAGAATGAGACGCAGACCGTCATCACCTAGGAGCCCTGAACCTCCAGGCGCCTGGCTGACCTCCACCCTCCCTGCAGGTGAGCCTTCCTGCTGTTCAGGACACTCACCAAACCCTGTCCTGCCACAGGCCCTTTGCATTTGCTGTTCTCTTTTCCTGGAATGTTCTTCCACCTCTCAGCTCCCAACTCAGTTTTCTAAAGACAAACTCCTTATTCTTCAAGAGTTTAAATGATATCTCCTGGGACTTCCCTGGTGGTCCAGTGGTCAAGATTTGGCACTTTTACTGCTGAGGACATGGGAAATCTGTGCTGGTCAGGGAACTAAGATTCCACATGCCAGGTGGTGCAGCCAAAAAATTAAAAATGACACCTCAGGGAAGCCTGCCTGAACCACTCCATCTCTAGCTATTGTGCCCCCACCTCAGCTTGTTTTCGTTTCCTTCACAGATGTGTCAGTTTGTAATTTATTTCACATAAAGTAGGTTTTTTGGTTTGTCTCCTGTCCTAGAATATAAGCTCCACTCAGACTCCCTCTGGCTTCCAGTTGATATTCAGGTGCACAAGAGTGTCTGGCTCAGGCAAGGTGCTCAGCTCTATGCTTCCTACTCTGGACACTTGGCTCTATGCCCAGTCCTGGTTTGATTTCCAAAGTAATTTAGGAAGTTTAGAGGAGCTGAGTAGAAAACACTACAGTCCTCTCTATTTCACGCGCGAGAAAGAGCCCATCACAGCTAGTTTCCATGGCCAACCACTCCTTGAGAGTCCCTTGGACAGCGAGGGGATAAACCAGTCAATTCTAAAGGAAATCATCCCTGAATATTCATGGAAACGACTGATGCTGAAGCTGAAGCTTCAAGTCTTTGGCCATCTGATAGGAAGCCCCAACTCACTGAAAAAGACCTTGAGGCTGGGAAAGATTGAGGGCAGGTGGAGAAGGGGACAAGAGAGGATGAGATGGTTGGATGGCAGCACCAATTCAATGGGCATGAATTTGAGCATACTCCGGGAGATGGTAAAGGACACGAAAGCCTGGCGTGCTGCAGTCCAGAGGGTTGCAAAGAGTCAGACACGACTGAGCAACTGAACTACAACTCCTTAGAATCCCAGCACCGGCTCCATCCAGGAGGGAGGCTGATGCTCTGTGTTACAAGACTCCGGTTAGGAAGGGAGACCACATGACTGTGAGGAGTCAGGCAGGTGAGCTTCACATGAAACACTAGAAAAAGCTATTTCACTAATGAGGGGCTCAGAATTTACTTTCCAGTCAATTCTTACTGAGTACATATTATGTGCCAGAAACTCAGGCCTAAGTCATGAGAACCCAAAAAAGCCAGGACCAACGTGTTCTGTTCTGGAGGAACTTACAGCCAGTGATGACGTCAGGTTTTACTAAAACCTACTTCCTGGCAAGGTGTTTGGAACAACACACCCTGGCAACTTCACCCGGTGGGTCACTTTTCACCCTGTTGTCCAGCACAGTTACTTACTTTTCTTTTTTCAGTCCAGTCATGTTTTGCCACAAGCCTGGGAAGTTTTCAAACTGATATGTGTATATAAAGATGAGCACCAGCATTGTGTAGATAACCACTGACATCCAGAAGTACTTCAGGATCCGCCTCCACCATTCATAGTGCACCTGTGAGTCAGACGGTGAACAGCAAATGAGGAAGAAGCATGTTAGCGGAAAACTCACAAAAATACCTGCTGCATTCAACAAAAACAGGTGATTCCATTCACACACGTCTGAAAGCAAAGTCAAGTTCATTTTTAGTTTTTGAGGCTGTGTTGCTCACAGAGTTGGGACAACGTAGATTGGAATCTGAGGGCTTCCCTTGTGGCTCAGATGGTAAAGAACCCGTCTGCCAATACGGGAGATGTGGGTTCGATCCCTGGATCAGGAAGATCCCCTGGAGAAGGAAATAGCAACCCACTCCAGTATTCTTGCCTGGAGAATCCCACGGACAGAGGAGCATGGCGGTTACAGTCATTAGGGTCACAGTCAGACACAACTGAAGCAATTTGGCATGCACGCACGTTGTGTTAGTTTCAGATATATAGCAAAGTGATTCAGCTGTATGTATTATATATATATTATATATATATATATATATATAGATTTTTTTCTTTTATAGGTTATTACAAAATCTGGGTATAGTTCCCTATGTTATTCTGCAGGTCTCTGTTTACTTCTTTTATAGATACTAGTGTGTATATGTTAATCTCAAATCCCAATTTTATCCCTACTCCAACTTTACCTTTAGGTTAACGATAAATCTGTTCTCTATGTCTGTAGGTCTATTTCTGTTTTGGAAATAAGTTAATTTGTGCTGTATTTTAGATTCCACATGTAAGTGATATCCTATGGTATTTGTCAGAAATACCACAGAGAAAGCTCTGTCTGATTTACTTTACTGAGTATGATTCTCTCTAGGTCCATCCATGTTGCTGCAAATGGCACTATTTCATTCTTTTTATGGTTGAGTAATATTACATTGTATAAGTATACCACAGCTTCTTTATCCATTCATCTGTACAAGACAAGGATGCCACCCTAACCAATTTTCTGACTTTTTAAAAACATAACATTTCAAATTAGTGAACAGGTGGAAGGGGCTCACTCCTCACTTTAGGATTCCTAGCTATAGTGTTTGAATCTCATCGACCCCTTTACACGATGTATCTGTGAGGTCACAGTAACTCAGAGCCTCGCCGAAGGAAGCTCAGGCATACCCCTGGACAGATGCGAGGAAGGCAACCTGGCGGCCAGAAGCACCCACCTGATACAGGGCCACACAGAAGAGGAAGAGCACCATGTAGATGATCTTGTACATCACAATTTTACCCTCGAAGCTGACGAAGAAGAACATCCCCCCGCAGACGTAGATCCAGTACTTGATGAACAGGGCCACCACCAGGTTCCCTAGCACCTTCATCACGTCCTGCTCGTCCGCTTCTTCCTCCTCCTCTTCCTCTCTCTGCTCCTGCTGCTCCTCCTTCGGCTGCTCTTCTTCCTCCTTCTCCTGAGCCTCGCTGTCCCCCTGCACATCCTGTTCACCATCTTCAAGACAGAAGACCCTGCTGTTACGAGGAGCTGGTCCCTGGACCAGAACCACACACTCTGACCCGTGTGAGGTGGGTGCCACACACGTTAGGCATTACCATACGATTTAAAAATAATTTTAGACAGTTCTAACAAACAAGGCAGAATTTATAGAACTAATCACAGTTCACTTTCCTAACCTTCCTGAAACATAAAAGAAACACATTTTGTAATATTTTTATACAAGCTTTTCATAACACCTACTTCACCTGCATTGTTCAATAGCTATAATTACTGCAGGATCGAGAGAAACAAACAGACACAATAACACAAACCGAACTAACTCTGACAACTCAGATTCTGACTACAATGTGCCTCTAGCAGTATTTTACTGAATCTGGGTTATTGGTAATAATGTTAACCAGAAAGTATGATTTTATAGAATGAAAAAATTGAGCTGAAGCCAAATATGATTTAATTTAAATTAGGTTTCAGGACTAATTATAATTTAACCAAATTTAACTAAATGCATAAAAAATAGTTTTATGGATTGGAAGTAAAAGCTTATTTGGTCTCCTTTAAAATATGCTAACATATAGGACTCATCTTTATGGTCCTAAGGTGACCTACCATTTGAATAACTTACTCGAATGACCAGGAGATTCACAGAGTGAAGGGAATGCACATGGGGTGAGAGGTCAGAGTAACTGTTGATCTTAAATGAACTGTTATTTACATAAAGTAACTGGTGAATTTAATCACTGTGTTAACAGACATCCAAACTCAAATAGTCAAGATTCAAACCTTAAAGACTTTTGTTGCTGAAAAACAACCAGTGTTTAGGTCTAAATGAGAAACTATAAGAAAAAGATGAGTTGGTTTTCTCCTCCTGACAGGGTTAATCTGAAGGTTACCAGCCCTGCCTCTGAGAATATTTATGGCTTCCTTTTCAGACAATGCTATACGCCTCACTAGTGGTCTCCAAGCTGTTCTATGAGCATTAAATTTTATTGTATTTACTGGCACACCCACACAGGTAGGGAGCAAGTGACTCTCATTTGACCCATGGAGTGGGGTCTAAAACTACAGAAGTGATCATCAAAACATCATCTTCCTTTTTTTTGACTTTGTGGTACATTCGATTTTGAAAAGGCAAGAGGATTTGAATTTGGGAGATCTGAGTCACTCTCTTGGTACTAACACTCAAGAAGCTGTGACCTTGGTGGACCCAGGGAATGCCCTGCAGTGGGGATTACTTTTGAGTGGGTCAAATGACCCAGGGTCTCTGCAGCTCCAGTGGACGCCCGTGTGGGCAGGGACTCAGCCCTGGGGCGCGGTCATCTATCTGCTCACATCCACGCATGGCTTCCCTCTGGTCTGGGACACAGCCACCAGGGATGTCCTCTGGGGCCCTTCTTCCGGTCACACTGCATGCACTAATTACCTTTTTCTTCACTTTCCTGACTTCCGATTTTGACCTCAGACAGAAGAGCTTCCTTTTCTTGGAGAGCTTTCTGCTCTGTGAGGTGCTGTCTCAGCAGCAGCCAGAATGTGATGGTGAACAGAATCTGGAAGGAGACAATAGGGATCAGAGCATCACGCCTCTGAAGTGTAAGCATGTTCAACCACGACTATGCTTCCCTGCCCTTCAGTGGGAGCACGCTGCCTAAGCCCGTCCACTCGAGACAGTCAGGCCCCCACTACACTGCACCTGAAAGTCACTAGCTTTTAAATCTCCTTCCTGAGGACGCTGGCGTGTGGTCCAGTGCCGGGGTGCCTTCATGCCTGGGACACTCCAGGAAGATGCCCAGGACCACCTGCACTGGAAACTGACGTGGGCCAGCGGTCTCCTTCCTGCCTGGGACCTCAGCACAAGTAGAAGAGGAAGATGTATTTCTTCTATGAGCCCCATTACTTCCACAGTGTTCCTTATTTTGAAGAAATCCCCAGAAATGGGAGAAAAAAAACATTTCATCCCAGCAAACAGAGTCCCTGAATCCTCCCTTTCTTTTCCGAAAGCTGACAGGGGAGTTGTTTACAGTACTCACATGTTTATATTAACATCTTCTTGAGGGCAAGGGGGAAAAATAATAATTTCAAGGAGCATTGAATACTTGGAACCTACTTTTGCACGTTCTTGCTTGGATATTAATGTTTTGATTACTGTGGTTTTGTCTGAATGCCCTGCCCTCTTTTTCCCTGCCCACTTACCTTTGAGGCGAGCTCCCCCGGCTCCTTCTTTTCTAAGAATCCTGGGACCTTTTTAATCTCAGGGAGCTCGAAGCTCCATATGTACTGCAGTATGAGCAGCAGGTTTCCGTAGACGACCATGAAGGGGGAGCTGATCATGGCGTACTTCCTCCGGTTGCGGATCATCCACAGGGTGCAGGACCAGATGAGCAGCACGAAGGTCAGCCAGCTGTGGTAGGTGATGCTCCAGGCCTTTGGGGGGAAGGGCGAGAAAGCGGGGTGGTCAGTATATGGTACAGTCCCCACTCTGCTGAGTTAGACGTGGTCTACGAGGAAAAGGTCAGTGACATTCACACTAGGGGGGAGGATCATGGTGAAACTATGGGGGAAATGTCCCAGCTGCATAGGGGAAGAAGCAGGGAGAAAGGCTGCCCTGTGAGCTGACACTGCCCTCAACCTCCTGGAGGGAAGAGGGTCAAGCGAGGGTAGGGACAGCTTCACTCTGTGCCCTTTGCCCTCCAGCCCAGATGTCTTCCTTTTCACTGGATTTGCTGGATGAAATGCAACCCTAAGTGCTTCCTCCCTCATTCTTGGGGTCAACTATTTTTCCCGGGTACTGGGTGAATGGGGCCAAGCTGGGCTCAGAAACGGAAGCTGTGGGACCACAGGGTCAGCAGATGAGCTGGCTTCAGGGGTCCCCTTAGCCGACCCACTGGGAAGACAGATGTGATAGGAATCAGGGAATCGCCAGGAGGAGGTGGAGTGCCAGGTGTCTGCACCCCAGTAGTAAAGCCAGGCTAATGGAGAGCCCAGCCTCAGCTTCTGTCCTGTAGGGGGCAGGACATCCTCCAGTCACACCCACCCCAGCAGACCTAGAACACATCTCAAAGGGCAGCTTCCAGAACATTCTAGAAGGTCAGGCTCATGAATATCATTAACCTCAAGAAATCTATCCTCTCTTACTATAATCTTCAATACCAAATTTCTGTGAAAAGGCCTCTGTGACAATCTAGAAGGGTGGGATGGGGTGGGAGGTGGGAGGGAAATTCAAGAGGGAGGGAACATATGCATACCTGTGGCTGATTCATGTTGATGTATGGCAGAAACCAACACCATGTTGTAAAGCAATTATCCTCCAATTAAAAATACATAAACATATTTTTAAAAATATTTTCTAGTTGAGGCTGAGTTCAATCATATTCCTATCAGGAATTTCAAGGGTTATTGCAAAGACTGAAATGTTTTATATCTGTTTTGCTTCTGGAAAGTAGATAAGTATTGAGATAAATAAGATAAATGAATGAAGTCAGCACAGAACAAATACTTCCTCTCAGCAACTTGCAAATGTGTCCTAAATCAAAGCTAGTTTTTTAAGCACAGAGTTATTTAAAATTGTTGTTTAAAACATACAGAAATTAAAAACTAGAAATTAAAACTGCTTTTATTAAAATTAAGTGAGAAACTGACAGCTATTATTAAGTTATGAATTATTTTCATGAAATAGTATTCCTCGGAAATGGTGCTATCAAAGTGTTAGTCGCTCAGTTGCGTCTGACTTTTTGTGACCCCAAGAACTGTAGCCCTCCAGGCTCCTCTGTCCACGGCATTTTCCAGGCAAGAATACTAGGGTGGGTAGCCATTCCCTTCTGCAGGGGATCTTCCCAACCTAGGGATCAAACCCAGGTCCCCTGCATTGTAGGCAGATTCTTTATCACTGAGCCACCAGGGAAGCCTGGTGTTATCAAAGGTCGGTAATATTTAATGCCTTTATCCCAGAATGAAATTCAGATCTGACCTTGCCACTTTTGTGTGGGTGACCCAGGAGAGTAATCTGCATAGATATTGTAATTCCAGGAGAATTTTTTTCCCTGTACACTATTCCTGTTTGGATGAAAAAGGGAGGGAAACAAATTGGGAACGTTTTGTTAAACTTCTCTCATTTTTAAGGCCTCAGTCACACATGCCCCTCGGTTGTTGGGGGGTTGAATCTGCTTCACATTCCTTCTTGTGTGCAGTTCTAGGATCATCTGAAGGTATGGAATATTTGCACTGTGTGTTTTTGAATAAAGATGTCTATCATCCTAACAGACCCGGCTGCTTAGGACTGCTCTAGAAAGAAGAGATCTGTTGTGATTAAAAGTCTGCTGCAGAGGGGAGCTTCCAGGGAAGATGCTCACAACCGGAAAACGCTCCTGGGGACCCGGTGCTTGGTGCTCAGGCTGGTAAGCATTTGTTCCAGTTCAAATGGAATAGTCTCACTCAAATCCAAGATGTGACTATAACCCTCATCATCTGAGAGAAATAAAAGTGGCCTTTGTTAACTGTGAACACCTTCAAACCCACTTAGAAAAACTACCATGTCCTTTTAAATCTGAAAAACAGGGGACAGTCTGACTTGATAGGTTAATTTGAGAGACAGGTATTAATATTTAACACCAGGCTAAGTGGCATAGAGGAGGACATGGTTTTGAAATCTATAGTATAAAGATCCCATGAAAAATTAACAGAATCAGCCATTGTCTGCCAAGACATCAGGAAGATGAGGAAGTTGCGCTGGTGGGAGTAGGCGGTGGGGCTTGGAGCCAGCGGGGCTTCAGCACTGTCCATCCCCGCCAGCACTAATGTTGTCCCAAGGACAGAGCAAGGTGTGGGGCGGAATCTGAGCAGAAGTCAGGACTCGGCGCATACGCACCATCATGGCGATAAGGGCGCAGATGTAGCTCTGCTTCATGATGAACTGGAACACAGACACCATGGCGTGCACTTTGACACTCCTCTTCTCCTCCCGGCTCCGCTCCGCCTCAAACTCTTCTTTCTCATCATCGTCCTCCTCCTTCTTTTCTAGAGGGACAGATTATTTCATATAACAACTTATGCATGTAGGTGAATTTCATATAAGCATCCCAAGCACAAATTTGTCCTCTCCAGTAACAGGCAGCTCTCTTTCAACCGGATTGTTGTGTGCTAAGTCGTTCAGTCGTGTCTGACTCTTTGTGACCCCATGGGCTATAGCCCACCAGGTTCTTTTGTCCATAGGATTCTCTCTGCAAGAATACTGGAGTGGGGTGCCATTTCCTCCTCCAGGGGATCTTCCTGACCCTGGGATCAAACCCACATCTTTTTCATCTCCTGCATTGGCAGGCAGATTCTTTACCACTAGTGCTTCAACAGAATAAATTGAAGGAAAAGGGAGAAAGGTCTAGTCAAAGTTTGGGGCCTTTTGGTTTTCTTATTAGACAAAAAGAACTCTTCCAGAAAACATTCATACACTAACCAGCAAAACTATGGACCGCGATAGTGGAATCAAATTACAAAAAGACTAAAACACAAATATGCATGTAGGTTTAACACTGCAAACAAGATGACTTATTTAAAATAATATTTTACCTTCTATTTTTCGAAGTTTATTCCCATTGTGCTCAGTCACTTCACCAAGGCCGAACCCTTGCAAACCCAAGGGCCAAAACCCAACAAGCCTCCCCAACCAAGGAAATCCCCAAGCAAAAAAAACGGAAGGGGCCGCCAAGGCCCTCCCCAAGGGAACCTCCCAAACCAAGGAACCAAACCGGGGCCCCTAAGGCCCCCGCAATGGCAAGCAAGGTTTTTTTTTTTTAACAACAGTGCCACTTGGGAAGCCCTTACCTCCATTAGGTCACTTATTTTGTACCAAGACAGGAATGCACAGAGCACGATATAAGGGCAAAATCTGGGCAGAATCTAAGGAAATGGGCTTCATCAGACTGACTGTGGAAGGAAAAAAAACCTCTCCTAGAGATGAAAAGGAAAGAGAACTATATCCAATGAAGGATAAACCAAAGACAAGAGATGCTGAGCTCTGCAGGCCGTGGTCCCACAGGCTCCTTACCCGGGGAGGTGGCAGCGGGCTCCCAGCGATACTGCGGCGTGGAGTACAGGTCAGCCTTGGCAGGACCGTTCTCCAGCGGCAGGCTGGGGTGGATGGTGTGGTAGTCCACGGGGTTGCCGTTCACGGTCACCAGCAGGCCCTGCCGGGGGCGTGGGGCAAAGGCAAGTGGGACAGCAGCTCTGGTTTCCCGCACAGACCCCCCTCCTCTGCTCTGCTAGGTGGGCACACTGGACGCTGCAGAACCGAGGGGAAGCTGAGCACTGTGGGCAGTGATGCCCACCAGCAAGACAGCCCTGCGTGCCCTCCAAACCCAGCCCCACAGAGTCACACGGGACGAGGCAAACCTGAGCTGGCCCACTTCTGCTGCACCCATGCCAAGCGCCCTGCTCTCTGCATGAAGTGTGAAGCCTGGAGAGGCTGCAGAGGGCTCAGGGCCTGCTCTGGTCTCCCTCCAGCCTCAGCTCCCGGCCCTCCTCCAGCTACAGGATCTCCAGACAGACTGGGTTCTGGCCTGGAGCTGCTGCCTGCCCTCCCCACTCCCCCCACCCCAGCCCTGATCCCACCTGCCCCACACTCCGCGTGGCCCTCAGGACAAGCAACGTCTCAGGTGAGCCACAACCCTACAGTCTCTCCCTGACACTGCAGCCTGCGACTCCCGTGTTGCAGCATCTCATACACTAAATACATTCTCCTACTTTTTCCCTCTGGTTTCTTTGGCTTTACAATTTTTTATTTATGCAGATGCATATAAACATAGACACGCGCACATACACGTGTGTTCACAGATTTATGAGACTTCCTATTCAAATCATAGAACAGCCGTATCTGCAGAGCAAAACGCCTTTTGAGAAAAAGCCTTCCAATGTGGCTTTTTAAAAGTTTAAATACGTTTTATATGTTTATACTCGAGCTCATGTTATATGAGTCAGTGTTTTAACAGCAATAAATCAGATACAATTTCTGCAAAATAGTATTCAAAAACGTATGAAAATTTTATAGAGCATTAAACTACACTCAGAGGAGCTAATTCCATTTATGTGCCCTTTCCATCACTGACACACGCAGAAATGAGAATTCTAGGGTATACTAACGTCAGACGGCTTGTAGTCATCCTGAGTCATGGATAAAAGCTGCAAAAGCAATACAGGACAGCATGTTAACATGTGAGCAGAAAGTGATGTGATGTTTACACACAGCTACAAAGTCTCAGCACATATGCACTGGCTCCTTCAGCTGGGAGCATGCAAGTGTGTTAACATTACAGTGCAAAACATAAAGGGACAGTGACGCAGCTGGAGGCTGCTGTTTATTGTAACCATTTCCAGTTTCTGATGCTATCTTTTCATCACAATAAACAAGCAGTCACTAACCACATGACTGAAAAAGCTGATGCTGTTTTTCAAGTGTTTTGTTCTCACAGAATTAGCTGCTTGCTTTTAGACTTCTAGGACCCTTTGAGATGTCTGTAGGATTCTGAAAGTGTTCACTTTTCAAGAAACTGAAGTTTCATAATAAAGAAAACTTGACTTGTAGTACAGTTTAGGATTCAGATTTGCGTACTGTCCACAACAGAAGAATTATAACATGGCTATGACTTTCAGCTGTATTAGAGCTGAGGGGTCCAGTTTCCCCAATAACAAGCATCTGCTGAACTAGTGGTTCTTTCACTTTTTGGGTCAGAACTCACTCACTTTCTTAAAAATCACTGAAGATCCTGAAGACTTTTACTTATGAGTGTCCTACCCATCAATATCTATTGTGCTAGAAATTAAAATTGCGGCATTAAAAACATTCATTTGTTCATTCATTAAAAATTGGCTTGTTCACATGGATAATTTTATCTAAATAGTTATCTTTAAAAAAAATAGTGAAAAGAATGGTGTTGTCTTATTAAAATACGCTTTTGTGTATCTTTCATGTTGGACTCAAAAGACTACTCCATTTATTTTCCAGTAACTGTCTGCCGAAAGCTCACACCTGAAACCCCCAAACTGTCCATCAGCTGTTCTTGCACATAGACCTGTGGTACACAGACGGCAGCTGAGTCCACTCGCCAGCCAAGCACCTCTCCTCCTTGAGGGGTCAGGACTTCAGGGGGTCTTCCGCTGATGTCACTCAGAATATTAAAAAAGCGTGTGCCCCAAGGTTGAGATTTAAGAAAAGCAAAGACTATTTCTGGTTTATCAAGAACATTCTTAAGTGGAACTGACCTTGCTGTTCTGTTTTGTGTGCACATGTGGCTGTCAGGTTCATGCTGCGGCCATGGTTGGAGCTCTTGTACCATCGGAGCAAGTGTCAGCACAGCCGAAAGGCACATCTCTTAAATGTCGTTACAAAAATTGTTTCGGGCCCGTGGATCTGAGGAAGGGTCTTGGGAATCCCCAGCCGTGGTCCACAGCCCTCACCTTGGAAACTGCCATGCTGTCTCCATGGATACCATGGCTAAGTGACCTGAGTAGGATGGTCTGGCACGTGTGTGATGGGACAAAAGGGCTCCAGGACACTAGATGTCTCCGGGTACCACGGCTGCTCCTCCAGGCTGCAGCACCCTGAGTGCATTCACTGTTTTCCCATCTCTCGGCCCACAACAGGCAGGTGCACAAATAGGACCAGGTGTCAGAAAAACTGCCACCGAGTCAATCAGAGAATCCCCTCCTTGATTCCTAACATGACCCCACCAGAGAAATGTGAGTATCTGTGGTCCCCACATTGCAAATGGGTCACTGTAACAAGTCAGTGGCTGGGGCGTGTTGAAAATAGTGAACAAATGGTGAAAAGCTTAAGAATCACCCAGCTGTGCTCTTGGCCCCGGCACCCACACTGTGACCCTGACAGAGGGAAGGGTTCCTCTTCATGCCCACACAGACAGGCCAGTGTCCCATCAGTGGCTGTGTGAGCAGTCGTGGTCACCACGGTGACCGCCCCAACATAGAATCACTCTCCACAGTGCATCCCAGCACCTAGGCTGACACTGCCCAGGGCCAAGGGATTGCTTTGTTTTCTGTTTTGTTTTGTTTTGTTTTAAAGACAAAGTATCTTTAAAAATTAAAACCAGATGGGGAATACATGTAAATCCATGGCTAATTCATTTCAATGTATGACAAAAACCACTGCAATGATGCAAAGTAATTAGCCTCCAACTAATAAAAATAAATGGAAAAAAAATAAATAAAAAAATAAAACCACTCTCTCTTTCTGGGACTGAGAGGCTTCGGGGGGAAGCACTGAACTGTCAAAGGTTGGGTCTGACAGAGCCTGGGGTTTCCTTTCCAAGCACTGGGCTCCCATGTCTGACCCTAACCTTCACCATCAAACAGCCCCTGCAAACTGAGCAACCTGAGTTTGCACATGGATTCACATGGCCTCTATTCAGCAATATGATAAAAAGCAGAAAATAAAGGAGAGACAACCCCTGTCCTGGCAGCTTACTTTTCTTTCGTCCGTGGGGTAGTGGGTCGCGTACCACAGGCTCCGCCTCCTCTCGGCCGTGATGGGTGTGGGGCTGCAGGCCAGGGCTCTGTCCTCCTCTTTGGTTCTCTCTTCCTGCACCTGAGACACAGAATAATCCACAGGACAGCGTTGTTTCCGGAGCAGGTCCCTCAGCAGCCCGGGAGCCCAGACAGAGATGCTTGTCTCTGCCCCCACACGCTGATCTCATAAAGTAACGTACACCCTACAAGGGCTTTCATCCAGACACTTTATAAATGGCGGAGACAGCAGACTCGCTTGTGAATTACAGGAACAGCTGCCCATGCTCCATCAGGAGCCTCCATATATGTTCTGACCGGCAGGGGGAGGGCCATGCAAGGTCCACAGAGGCCACAGCTGCCCGTGGAACCTGCCAGGGGACTCTCATGAAACAGACATTCACTAAAGGCAGCACCGTCCAGAGCTTACACGCAACAGTAAGCAAAAACACAGCTACTGCCTAATACTGCCACTCGCCTAATCGAACCTTGGCCTAAATCAGTTGCTCCAGGAGAGATGGATAGAGAGAGGAAGGATCAGTACGCACTTGGTGGTTGAGGATGGTTTCCAACAAAGATGCCCCATGAAAGGGCACTTACACACACTGATCTGCAGGCAGAGGGAGAGGGCCCAGTGTTGCTGCTGATTCCCGGGGCCCAGTGTCCACACAGAGCACCAGACCCCAGGGAGCCCAAGTCTTACATTCAGCTCCAGACACTTGTTCCTCTCTTTCTCAAACTTACATCATAGACTTTTACTGCAGAACTCACATTTTTCATGGCACCTACCAGGCCACCTGGAACCATGATATTAATACAACCTGGCACCTGCCCTCCATCATCACCTTGGTGAGGAAGTCCTGAGTGCCAGCCCCATTTAAAACACCAACCCCCCTGAGGGTCGACCTGGTATGAATGAGAACCTGCTCTGCACACACCCGCAGACGCTGTAGGGTAGGACCTACTGTGGACCGCGTGTCTTGGAACATGGCCCATCCTCCCCACTCTCTGCCTTCCCTGGTTCCTGGACAGCCCGGGGCTGAGGAGGTGGAGAGTCTCCGGGGCCCGAGGGGCTGGAACAGCCCAGCAGCTCCTGCCTGAGGCACCAAGGGAAAGCCAGGGGCACCTGGGACTCTTATGAACCCAAAGACATTAAGGTCATTTCCATCATTGCCTAAGATGTTGTTCAGAGTAGTTCTCACATTTTAACTTCTTTCTCACAGTTTTATGTGTGCATCTACATGTACCCATATCTGTGTGTTTGTGCAGGAAGCAAACACAGCAACACTTGTAAGGGGTTTACTGGTGCCCTCATGTTCTTAGAAGAGACTCAGAGGAAAAGGTAACCAAGGTGACTGGGATTCTCCGTGACCCTGGAATCATCCTGTCACCACTGCCATCTTGGGGTCCAGGGAAAGTAAAACCTGAGACCCCTGCAAAAAAGATGCCTATACAGTGGGCCAGGGTGGGGGTCCCTACACAGAAGGAGGCAGGCAGACCTCTGCAAACAAGGATGCCTGTGCCATCGGTTGCTCATGTATTTGGGGGTTGCCTTTCCTCTTATAAAACGTTCAGTGCCTCCCCTCCTCTGGGCCAATGCTCTACCTGGGGCCCCAGGCTGGGGTCTGAGACGCTGGCTTGCTCTCAGTACACACTGGTGGCCTGGCTGCTGACCACGTGGATGGAGCTAGAGGGAGCAGGTGCCAGCCTGGCATCTCACCTTTGCCCCCCACCCCCCTACCCTGTTTGGCACGCGGCCGGGAGATGATGCGGAGCAGCCCTGTCTGTGCCACCTGTCTCCCTCATAGCTGAGCTTCTCACAGTCATTTTGGGAGAACGAAAGGGACAGGAGTTGCTGTCACTGAAAAGGAAAAGAGAAGGACCACAAGCCGTACACCCTGATGGTGCCCCAACGTACCACATTCTACGAATAACCCAACAGGGAAGAGCCCAGTCCTCAGCCCTGCCCAGTGACCCTGGGGGTTACAGCACCACCGAGGGTGGGGACATACTCCCCTCCTCTGGGCCAATGCTCTACCTGGGGCCCCAGGCTGGGGTCTGAGACGCCATTTGCTCTCAGTACACACTGGTGGCCTGGCTGCTGACCACGTGGATGGAGCTAGAGGGAGCAGGTGCCAGCCTGGAATCTCACCTTTGCCCCCCACCCCCCTACCCCGTTTGGCACGCGGCCGGGAGATGATGCGGAGCAGCCCTGTCTGTGCCACCTGTCTCCCTCATAGCTGAGCTTCTCACAGTCATTTTGGGAGAACAAAAGGGACAGGAGTTGCTGTCACTGAAAAGGAAAAGAGAAGGACCACAAGCCGTACACCCTGATGGTGCCCCAACATACCACATTCTACGAATAACCCAACAGGGAAGAGCCCAGTCCTCAGCCCTGCCCAGTGACCCTGGGGGTTACAGCACCACCGAGGGTGGGGACATCCCCATCATATCATCAGAGGTCAGAGGTCTAAGATTCAGGAAACTCCAGTGGCCATGACCACAGTCTGGGTGGTCAGAGACCCTTGCATTGTCAGCAAACATGCGCTTGAATCTTATTTCTACTGTTCAGCAAGTGTGTGATTTACCTCTCTACCGTTGGTCTCCTCATCTCTAAGATGGGTACAGCACCTGTAAGTAAACAGCCCCAGCACCTGGCCTGGCACCTAGTGAGTGCTCAATGAAAACAAGGCTTCACTGCCCTCACTACCGGCCCTCTGAGCAGCCTGGGGGATGCTAACACAGGGAGGCTGGTCTTTGATCTGATAGAATCTATACTTGCTTAGGGCTTTGTGTGGAAACAAAACACTCTGATAAGAACACTATAGTTATTTCAGAATATACTATAGTCAGCAGTTGATAGGAACGAACCCTTTCCCCGGAGTCTCCTGCTACTTTGCAGACAAGACCATGAAAACTTCTGGTCCTTACAACGGGCTCCTGCAGCCAGATTCGGATCAGAGTGGCCAGCGTGTAGTACATCACCAGCAGGACGATGGGGTTGGCGTGGTGGTACCAGGACAGGTCGGGGTTGGCAATGATCTTCCACGTGCTGGAACAGTCCGTCTGAATGACTGATTTGATACCAAACAACCTGTTTAAAAACAAAGAGAAATATTAAAAAGATGCAACAAAGATCTGGGTCCGATCCACAGAATACAACCAGCTTGTCTGACACATTCTTGAGCTGCACTGTGCTCAGTCGCTCAGTTGTGTCTGACTCTTTGCGACCCCATAGTCGCAAAGCCCACCAGGCTCCTCTGTCCATGGGATTTTCCAGGCAAGAATACTGAAGTGGGTTGCCATTCCCTTCTCCAGGGGATCATCCCAACCCAGCAATTGAACCAAGGTCTTCAGCATTGCAGGCAGATTCTTTACTGTCTTGAGTCACCAGGGATGCCCCATATATAATATACGAATCTGTAAATCATACATATGTATGTTTGTCTATGTATAAAATTCATGCCAACATTACCCAGATGGCCTTTCCTCTGGTTCAACAATCTAGCTAATACTAAATCTTTGCACAGTTATTAGAAATTTATGTCTTAATTGTCAATAAGTGTTTTCTTAATGTAGATTTCTACTATATAACCAGATATGATATGATTGTATAATGGGAAATTGTGTAAATGCGCTTCATTAAGAAGCTCATTATATAAGAATTTTTCTCTCAGAAATGACTCTACTAAGTGAATGAAACATTTACATGTCAAGTGAGTCTCCCTGGAATGGAATCTTTCAATCGTTTGTACCTTTTACATGTGAACTTCCTTTGACTTTGGCGTCCTATTTTTTTGCTGCTCTAAGGTTTTCCAAGACTATGAATTCTCCACTTGTAAAACCTCTCAGAGATATTGCAGTTACTATCATGAGGCCAGGGCGATATTAGTGACCATCCCCACCCCCACTCCTATCAGATTCCTGCTTCTCTTCCTCCTCCTCCTTGGCAGGAAGCACAACTGTCTCTTCACTCCCCATGGAGTACTTGCTTTGTGATTTTTCTCCCCTTCCAAAGCACTCCCAACATCTGACAGCACGTGGTGGTTATGACTTGGCTGGGTGTTTGTTTCTCCCTGCACATGTTGGCAGATTTATAAAACCTCCACCTGTTTTCAGGTTCACTCCAGATCACATCTGTTGGTCTCTGGTAATACAGAAACCCAGCCATTTGCAAGAAATACGTAATACTGAAAATAACACCCTGCTCTAAAACATTAAATTGTGGTAAAATACAGATAACATACCCTGGGTTGGGAAGGTCCCCTGGAGAAGGGAACAGCTACCCACTCTAGTATTCTGGCCTGAAGAATTCCATGGACTGTATAGTTCATGGGGTTGCAAAGAGTCGGACACGACTGAGTGACTTTCTCCTTGCAATCTCCTATACAGATCTCACACATAACACAGAATTGATCATCTTACATTTTTAAGTGTACAGTTCAGGGGTATTAACTGCATTCACACTTTTGTACAACAAATCTCTAAACTTGTCATCTTGCAAAACTAAAATCCTGTCCCCATTAAACACTAAAACCCCACCCCATCTTCCCCCTCAGCTCTGGGTCACCACCATCCTACCTTCTGTCTCCATCAAGATGATTATGCCATGCACCTGGTAGACTCTAAGTGGAATCACACAGTATCTGTTCTTTAGTGACTGTTTATTTCACTCGGCATAATGTTCTCAAGGTTCATTCACTGGTGTAGCAGGTGTCAGAATTTCTTTCCTTTTGAAGGCTGAATAATATACCATTGTATGGATGGATCACATTTTCCTTATCCATTTCTCCAAGGATGGAGACTTACACCTTTTGGCTATTATCAATAAAGTTGCCATGAACACAGGTGTACAAATACCTTTTTTGAAGATCCCACTTTTGATATTTTTGGCCATATACCCAGAAGTAGAATTGTTGGATCATTTGGTAGTTCCATCTTTAATTGTTTGAGGAACCACTGTACTGTTTCCCACAGTGGCTAAAATCAGTTTATGATCCCACCAACAGTGCACAGAACTCCAATTTATGTACATCACTGCCATGTTTCAAGTTTTTTGATGGAGCCATCCTTGCGAGCGTGACCTTAGACACCATGCTTTTAATTTAGCCTTTTCTTTCAAGAGCTCAGAGATCTACAGTTCAAGCCCCTCATACTAATACCTGGAGGCATATTCTCCAATCAAATACACCCTCACTAACCAGCTGACACAATATCTTCACAAAACTTCACTGAGAGATAGTCAAGAGGTGAATCTTATTTCAGGAGCTTTTTATTTGTAACTCTGAGTTTTTATCAAGAATCACTTTCTTTAGTCTGAAAAACACCCTTTAATATTAAAAAATATATATATTGTGTGTCATGAAGATCTACTGGTGCCAAACACCCTGAGTTTCATATAAGAACATCTTTATTTGACCATATTTATGTTTTTCCATATATACCTTTGGATATAAAATCACACCTTGATTTTTTTTTTCCAGGAGAATGTGAAAGATGTTGTCCTCTAGCATTTAGACTGGCATAATTTCTGATGAGAAGTCTGTGATTCCCTTTCACAAAATGTACTTTCCACTGTGATGCTATTACTATTTTTCTCTATCATTGTTATTCACAATTTAATTGTACTGTGGCTTGGTGTGTCCAGAACCCTGCATTATGGGGTCAAAGGGCGGGGCAGGTGTGGGGGGGACGACCTTGCAGAACGGGGGGCCACCAGCAGACGAGGACAGAATGTCGTCCTCCAAAACCCCATGCATGGTACAGTCAGCACAAGTAAAGGCCAAAAATCTAACTGCTGGCAGGTGGGAAACAGAATTAGTTTTACACTAATTTACACTAATTTACAGAATAAGGCAAGGACATGCTGTCAAGAAGGCAAGACAGGTCAGATGTCCACAGAAAATGAGGTTTGAGCTTCCACCCCGCTGAAGGCATTTCCTCAAAGTTCAACAAATGTCTTTGCTGGAAGGAGACTGAATCTAGCTCTCAGTGGTCCTCCCAGCAAGATGCTCCCCTGTCCTTACAGCAGTCCATCTGGGTGAGGACAGACCACATTTACACACGTGTTCTTGCTGCTCTGGCTTCCAACCACCCTCCCCTCTGCATTGCATCATATGAAAAACACAGCCAGTGTTTAACGTCTTTTTTCATTAGTTTCCTACTTATGCTTTAAACACATTTCCATGCCAAACCCATAGACATTTTTGAGAAACTGGAGTTTGACAGTTTCCGCACAACATTGTTTTCTTAAGCCTGGAAAAACTCTGCATGGAGTCCCCTGGGCTCTGCATCACGCCTTTGAAGTCCTTTCTGGCACACGTGTGTCTTAACAGTCTGCCAGGTTGTTGTAATTGGGCTTAACCCTACACGCACGGAACCCTGCCTTATAATATAAGCATTCTGTCCATGGGACAGTTTTGCTCAGGTAGAAGGTGTGTTGTCTTCAGAAAGGGGGCAGCTGATGAACACACTGAGGCCATGTGGAAGTTCCTTGCCATTTCACCATTAAAGGCCCACTCCCCTACTTGAGATGATGCCACATCTCAAGAACATTTATATGCTATGAAAGTTGTAGATTTATGGTCTATTTTCTGTGTCCAAACACATTTTCACCTCTGAGAGCAGTGTAGAAATGAGTCAGAACCAGGACTTCCAGCACCAGTTGATCATCCCATACAGCTTCTTATGACAAGGCCAAGTTCGGCCCCTAAACCATGCAGCCTTCTATGTTGGGAGCACAGGATGAGAAATATAAAATGTGGGCATTTCTATTACCCACAAACATAATTTTACCCAAGTAGTTATAATGTAAGCATGGATTTGAATACCTCATTTTAAAGCCCTACATAGTTAATAACCAATGACGTTACAAACGCAAAAAGAAGGAGACCCAAGCCAACTCCGCAGTTCCCCTGAAAAAATCAGGCTCTATGTTGAATATCTGAGGCCAGCCCTTCTGGGGATCTGCTATTGGCTCCATTATACATATGGATTGAGGCACAAATGAATAAAAAGGTTTGTATGTGGTAGGGTTTATGTATCCAGGTCTGCTGGCTTCAAATCACACCACTCCATTTCTCAGGTGCAGCAAGTGGTGAAATAGGAAAACCCCAAGGGTATCAGGAAACCCTCAGGAAAGGGCATTAGTCATAGGAAGATTCCACTACAGGACACATTTAGTAAATTTGTCCTTTTAAGTGCTGAGTACTGAGTCTATTGAGTACTATAGTTATTGTCGAGGATGTGCAAACAAGATACTATCCCTGTCATCATAGAGAATTCATGATGGTGGGAATACTACTCAAATATGGCGGAATGATTTTAGGAAATGTGCTCTGAGCTGTTCACTCATTGGAAGGTGGTTATCAAGCTTTCCTTCCATAGAACTGTGTTGCCTGGATGATGGGTGCAGAGCGATGATTTGCACCAACCCTTTCTGAGCATCAGAGCAGCAGGCATTACCTCTGAAGGGCACAGGGGCACCTCACTGACCCCATGGGAGGGGTCTCACTCCCCAGTGGGGTAGTTAATTGTTGGCTCTTACATTTTAATTTATTTGAAGGGCACTAAAGAGAAACCTGTGAACTAATGACCAAGGAGTTTCATTTAGTGTCAGAAAGGTCAGAGATATAGAAGGAAAAAGACTGGATAATCCATCTATGGAGGCATGCTCAAACAGGGGAAAGCAAGAAGTCTTCTGTAAGAAAAGTTGTAACTAAAGTTACTCTAGGAAGAAGCCAACACATCTAGAAAAGGAAACAATTGGCAGAAGTCTAGCTAAAGCCCAGATCTTCTCCCTTTAAGTCCACATAAAAGGTTTCTATGTTTTCTAGGATAAAGCCCTAAGTTTCTCAGGTTCACATCATAGGAAACAGCTTTCCATGAAGTGTCCTTGTAATGTGATGCAACAAAAACTATAAGCTTTTCCCATTCTTGGGAATTTTCTCTTTTAGGGAAACATGAATATATTTTAATCGACATGTATCATGAAAGTATGGTAACATTAATCAGTTTCAAACCCAGTGAATCATGGAATGGATTCTAACATCTGGGTTAGAATCTGGGTTTTTTGTTTCTTTTTCTTTTTTTATTCAGGGAAGCAGTTATAAGGAAGGTGAGTGCAATTTTGCATCAATGTTAATATATAAAGTAACAATAATAAGAACTTCAGATTTATTGTCAGATACAATGCAAGTGAGAAGACAGTGAGGGAACATCTTTAAAGTAGCAAAATAAAAGCTATTACCCTAGAATTCTATACCCAGAAAAACTATCTAGCACCAGGAGGTGCACTACAAAAAATGTGAAAAATTATTTTATGCAGAAGAAAAAAAACATAGATGGAAATGTGGACATGTGGATAGATTAGGGAAAAAAGACAGTACAAATTCTCTGAATAAATTAAATAATTATTCTCTGCAATAAATTAAATAACATCATCACTGATTCTACAAATATTCAAAAGAAAACAAACTCAACATTATTAGCAACTTTATGCTCATAAATTTGACATCTTACATGCAAAGGAAAATTCCTTGAAAGACACAAATTACTAAAACTCATTCAAGAAGAAATAACCTAAGAATCTTATATTTTTCAGAGAAATTGAATCTGTGCTTAAATACCTTCCCATAAAGACAATTTCAGACTCACATAGCTTCATAAGTGAATTCTTCTTAAGGAAAAATTTAAAAATATAATAAAAAATTTGACACCAACTCTTCTGCCATACAAATTCAATCCCAGCAGGCTATGCCATAGACATTGACAAACTGATTTAAAATTCATATGGAAACATAATGGGCTTAGAATTGCTTAAACAACTTCAAATTAAAAGAAAAGAAAAAAGAAAGTCTGACATTGCTTAAATTCAAGACATTATCAAGCTACAAGTAATCAAGACAGTGACATAAAGATGAAGAGACAAATTGTATAGAATAGTCTACATATAAACCTAACCACACGATTTTCAACAGATGCAAAAGAAAACACAGTCATTTCAATAAATGATTCTGGACTACTTAACATCAAAGGCAAAACAAACTCTGAGAAGAAGATAAAGAGGAAACGTTTGTGAATTTGGGCTTGACAAATAATTCTTAACTACCACACCAAGAGCATAATTCACAAAAGAACAACTATGAAGTGTATTTCATCAAAACCAAAAACTCTGCTCTTCCAAAGACACTAGTAAAAGGATGATAACCCATAGACTGGGGAAATATTTGCAGAAATATATATGATAATTGATTCATGTCCTGGTTTTCTAAACAACTGTCAGAACTCAACTGTAAGAAAACAAAGTTAACATGATTTTTAAAAATGGGTAAAAGGTGAAAGATTTATACAATTTGAAAAGAGTGTGATGAAGAGACAGTAGCATCGACATACAGTCCATAGTGTTGCAAAGAGTTGGACACGACTGAAGTGTCTTAACATGCACGTGTATGTAAAATAGCTAGTTAGTGAAAAGTTCCTATAAAACACAACACGTCCAGCCTGGCACTCTGTGATGACCTAGAGGGGTAGAATGGGGGGAGGGGAAGGAGGCTCAAGAGGGAGGCGATATATGTATAATTATGGCTGATTCTCATTGTTGCACGGCAGAAGTCAACACAACATTGTAAAGCAGTTTCCCTTCATTTAAAAATAAATTTTAAAAGACAAATAAAAATGGGTAAAATACTTTGACAGACACTTCATCAGAAAGAAATATGAATGTAAAATCAGCTTATGAAAAAGATCCTCAGCCTCATTAGTCACTAGGGAAATGAATTAAATTAAAACCACAAAGAATTGCCTCTACACAACAATTAGAATGCCCAAATGTAAAAAGATTGACTTTACTAAGAGAGGATGAAAAAAGAAATGAACTCTCACACTGCAAAATGAGACCTGCCTCCTGCCCCACCCAGGATAATAATAATATTAATTACAACAACAATAATAGCAACAGTAACGTTAAAAAGTACATACCACAAGATTTCATTTACAGAAAGTCCTAGAAAATGTACTCTAATCAAGTCAGGGAGAGCCATCAGAGTTTACCTGGGGATGGGATGAAGGAGGATGAAGACAGGAGAGAGATTACAAAGGGGATGATGGTGCTCTTGGGACAGATGGGTATATTCATTCCCTTAATTATGGTGATGGTTTCACGGGTATGATTATGTCAAAACTGATCAAACTGTAAGCTTTGAATTATGCAGTTTATTTCATATCAATTATACATCAAGAAAGCTGTTAAGAAAAACAATTACACTACTTCCACCAAAAATGAATAACTAGCAACTTTATGAAAACCACTGTTAAGTTTTCTCAGGAAGAAAAGCTTCTTTAAAGAAACTCTGAAGAGAAAAATCAAAGCCTCTCAGTTCCCATTTCCAGAGCTAACCTCTTACTTCTGGGTCAGTTTGTTCAGAACTAAAATGAACACACTGCTATATTTAAAATGGATAACCAACAAGGACTTACTGTACAGAACATAAACTCTGCTCAATGTTATGTGGCAGTCTGGATTGGAGGGGGTTTGGGGAAGAAAGGATACATGTATATGTATGGCACATTCCCTTAGCTGTTCACCTGAAACTAACACAACATTGTTAATCAACTACACTCATACAAAATAAAAAGTTCAAAGTTTGGAAAAAGAAAAAAGAAAAAAATGAAGACAACAACAGCCACAGTTACTGCATAAGTAACATTCGGAACTTCAGAAAGCCAAGCAGTTATGAGGCAATATCCTTCTGTATGTTTG